TTCGACTTGCTTAATGCATCTCGAGACAGTCCCCAAGAACACTGTCACAAGTCTAGACGGACCCTGAGGTCACCCCAGCAATGCAAAGAGGCTCCATGTGCGCCAAATCAACTCGAGATGTGGCCCGATTCCCCTGCATTGACTCCAGAGCCATCCCCCTTTCCCCATTAAACAAGACCACTGGATTGACTTCCTTCAGGTAACTCCAGAGAGGCCCCGAGAACACTGTCCCAAGACTAGAGGAACACCAACTTCAGCAGAGCAACTCGAGGAATGCTCCGTGTACCACAAATCGTCTGGAGATGAGAGCTGATTCCCTGGCTTAGGCACAAGACGTATGCCAACTTTCCAGAAGCACCTCAAGAGGAGGCTTCTCTCAGCAATAGGTATGTTCATGGGACCCCGAGTTTGCTGCCTCAAGTGGAATATACAGCGAGAAGCCCTAACTTGAAAGGAGGCCGGATTTCCTTGCGGTGGCTTGAATACAGGCTCGTCTTTCATCTCACAGCAGGAAGGGATGTCTGAATCCCCTGTGGAGACCTTAGAGAAAGCCCTAGGTCCCTGCCTCATTTTGACGGAATGCCTCACATCCCGTTGTCACCTCGAGAGGCACGCGGAGTTCACTGCTTCAAAAGTTGATGATGCCTTACTCCTTTTGAATATTGATAGGAATCCCCAAATCCCTGTGACTATTGGAAAGGTTCCTTGGGTGCCCTGCCTCACCTCCAGAAGCGTCCCTTGTGCCCTGCCAAGCCTCGAAGAGATTCCTGAGCTGTCCCTCGTTACTGGACAGGAGTCCTGACGTCACTGAATAAACACGAGTTTTGAAGGGCCATCCCCGCCGTAACCCGAGTACATACTCCAGGTCCCCGCCGCAAGTCGAGAAAAACCATGAGACTTTCCCCTAGAGGCGAGATGAGGCACGATTCTCCTGCAGTGCATGCAGAGCAATTCCGTGATCCCCATCAAACAAGTCAGGACCTTCGACTTGCTTAATGGATCTCGAGACAGTCCCCAAAAATACTGTCACATGTCTAGACGGATCCTGAGGTCACCCCATCAACGCAAAGCAGCACAATGTGCCCCAAATCAACTCGGGATGATGCCAGATTCCCCAGTATTGACTCCAGAGCCATCCCCCGTTCCCCTTTAAACACGACCAGTGGCTTGACTTCCTTCAGGCAACTCCAGAGATGCCCCGAGAACACTGTCCCAAGTCTAGATTAACACCAACTTCAGCACAGCAACTCGAGGAATGCTCCATGTACCCCAAATCGTCTCGAGATGAGAGCTGATTCCCTGGATTAGGCTCAAGACGTATGCCAACTTTCCAGAAGCACCTCAAGGGGAGGCTTCTCTCAGCAATAGGTATGTTGGAGGGACCCCGAGTTTGCTGTCTCAAGTGGAATATACAGCGAGAAGCCCTAACTTGAAAGGAGGCCGGATTTCCTTGCAGTGTCTTGAATACAGGCTCGTCTTTCATCTCACAACAGGAAGGGATGTCTGAATCCCCTGTGGAGACTTTAGAGAAAGCCCTAGGTCCCTGCCTCATTTTGACGGAATGCCTCACATCCCGTTGACACTTCGAGAGGCATGCGGAGTTCACTGCTTCAAAAGGGGATGATGCCTGACTCGTCTTGAATATTGATAGGAATCCCAAAATCACTGTGGCTACTGGAAAGGGTCCTTGGGTGCCCTGCCTCACCTCGAGAAGCATACCTTTTGACCTGCCAAGCCTCGAAGAGATTCCTGAGGTGTCCCTCATTACTAGACAGGAGTCCTGACGGCACTGAATAAACATGTGTTTTGAAGGGCCATCCCCGCCGTAACTCGAGAAGATACCCCAGGTCCCCAGCGCAACTTGAGAGAAACCATGAGACTTCCCCCTAGATGCGAGATGAGTCCTGATTCCCTGCAGTGCATGTAGAGTATTCCCGTGATCCCCATCAAACAAGTCAGGAGCTTCGACTTGCTTAATGCATCTCGAGACAGTCCCCAAGAACACTGTCACAAGTCTAGACGGACCCTGAGGTCACCCCAGCAATGCAAAGAGGCTCCATGTGCGCCAAATCAACTCGAGATGTGGCCCGATTCCCCTGCATTGACTCCAGAGCCATCCCCCTTTCCCCATTAAACAAGACCACTGGATTGACTTCCTTCAGGCAACTCCAGAGAGGCCCCGAGAACACTGTCCCAAGACTAGAGGAACACCAACTTCAGCAGAGCAACTCGAGGAATGCTCCGTGTACCACAAATCGTCTGGAGATGAGAGCTGATTCCCTGGCTTAGGCACAAGACGTATGCCAACTTTCCAGAAGCACCTCAAGAGGAGGCTTCTCTCAGCAATAGGTATGTTCGTGGAACCCCGAGTTTGCTGCCTCAAGTGGAATATACAGCGAGAAGCCCTAACTTGAAAGGAGGCCGGATTTCCTTGCGGTGGCTTGAATACAGGCTCGTCTTTCATCTCACAGCAGGAAGGGATGTCTGAATCCCCTGTGGAGACCTTAGAGAAAGCCCTAGGTCCCTGCCTCATTTTGACGGAATGCCTCACATCCCGTTGTCACCTCGAGAGGCACGCGGAGTTCACTGCTTCAAAAGTTGATGATGCCTTACTCCTTTTGAATATTGATAGGAATCCCCAAATCCCTGTGACTATTGGAAAGGTTCCTTGGGTGCCCTGCCTCACCTCCAGAAGCGTCCCTTGTGCCCTGCCAAGCCTCGAAGAGATTCCTGAGCTGTCCCTCGTTACTGGACAGGAGTCCTGACGTCACTGAATAAACACGAGTTTTGAAGGGCCATCCCCGCCGTAACCCGAGTACATACTCCAGGTCCCCGCCGCAAGTCGAGAAAAACCATGAGACTTTCCCCTAGAGGCGAGATGAGGCACGATTCTCCTGCAGTGCATGCAGAGCAATTCCGTGATCCCCATCAAACAAGTCAGGACCTTCGACTTGCTTAATGGATCTCGAGACAGTCCCCAAAAATACTGTCACATGTCTAGACGGATCCTGAGGTCACCCCATCAACGCAAAGCAGCACAATGTGCCCCAAATCAACTCGGGATGATGCCAGATTCCCCAGTATTGACTCCAGAGCCATCCCCCGTTCCCCTTTAAACACGACCAGTGGCTTGACTTCCTTCAGGCAACTCCAGAGATGCCCCGAGAACACTGTCCCAAGTCTAGATTAACACCAACTTCAGCACAGCATCTCGAGGAATGCTCCATGTACCCCAAATCGTCTCGAGATGAGAGCTGATTCCCTGGATTAGGCTCAAGACGTATGCCAACTTTCCAGAAACACCTCAAGGGGAGGCTTCTCTCAGCAATAGGTATGTTGGAGGGACCCCGAGTTTGCTGTCTCAAGTGGAATATACAGCGAGAAGCCCTAACTTGAAAGGAGGCCGGATTTCCTTGCAGTGTCTTGAATACAGGCTCGTCTTTCATCTCACAACAGGAAGGGATGTCTGAATCCCCTGTGGAGACCTTAGAGAAAGCCCTAGGTCCCTGCCTCATTTTGACGGAATGTCTCACATCCCGTTGACACCTCGAGAGGCACACGGAGTTCACTGCTTCAAAATGTGACGATGCCTGACTCCTCCTGAACATTGATAGGAATACCAAAATCACTCTAGCTACAGGACAGGGTTCTTGGGTGCCCTGCCTCACCTCGAGAAGCATCCCTTTTGCCCTGCCATGCCTCGAAGAGATTCCTGAGGTGTCTCTCGTTACTAGACGGGAGTCCTGATGTCACTGAATAAACACGTGTTTTGAAGGGCCATCCCCGCCATAACTCGAGAACATACCCCAGGTCCCGCCGCAACTCGAGAAAAACCATGAGACTTCCCCTAGATGCGAGATGAGGCCTGATTCCCTGCAGTCCATGCAGAGCATTCCCGTGATTCCCATCAAGCAAGTCAGGAGCTTTGACTTGCTTAATTGAACTCGAGAAAGTCCCCAGGAACACTGTCACAAGTCTAGACAGACCCTGAGGTCACCACAGCAATGCAAAGCAGCTCCAAGTACCCCACATCAACTCGAGATGAGGCCCAATTCCCATGCATTGACTCCAGAGTGATCCCCCGTACCCCATTAAACACCAGCAGTGGCTTGACTTCCTTCAGGCAACTCCAAAGATGCCCCGAGAACACTGTCCCAAGTCTAGAGGAATACGAACTTCAGCACAGCAACTCGAGGAATGCTCCGTGTCCCCCAAATCATCTCGAGATGAGAGCTGAATCCCTGGCTTAGGCTCAAGACGTATGCCAACTTTCCAGAAGCACCTCAAGAGGAGGCTTCTCTCAGCAATAGGTATGTTCGTGGGCCCCCGACTTCGCTGCCTCAAGTGGAATATACAGCGAGAAGCCCTATCTTGAAAGGAGGCCGGATTTCCTTGCAGTGGCTTGAATACAGGCTCGTCTTTCATCTCACAGCATGAAGGGATGTCTGAATCCCCTGGGGAGACCTTAGAGAAAGCTCTAGGTCCCTGCCTCATTTTGACGGAATGCCTCACATCCCGTTGACACTTCGAGAGGCACGCGGAGTTCACTGCTTCAAAAGGGGATGATGCCTGACTCGTCTTGAATATTGATAGGAATCCCAAAATCACTGTGGCTACTGGAAAGGGTCCTTGGGTGCCCTGCCTCACCTCGAGAAGCATACCTTTTGACTTGCCAAGCCTCGAAGAGATTCCTGAGGTGTCCCTCATTACTAGACAGGAGTCCTGACGGCACTGAATAAACAAGTGTTTTGAAGGGCCATCCCCGCCTTAATTCGAGAAGATACCCCAGGTCCCCAGCGCAACTTGAGAGAAACCATGAGACTTCCCCCTAGATGCGAGATGAGTCCTGATTCCCTGCAGTGCATGTAGAGTATTCCCGTGATCCCCATCAAACAAGTCAGGAGCTTCGATTTGCTTAATGGATCTCGAGACAGTCCCCAAGAACACTGTCACAAGTCTAGACGGAACCTGAGGTCACCCCAGCAACGCAAAGCGGCTCCATGTGCGCCAAATCAACTCGAGATGTGGCCCGATTCCCCTGCATTGACTCCAGAGCCATCCCCCGTTCCCCATTAAACAAGACCACTGGATTGACTTCCTTCAGGCAACTCCAGAGATGCCCCGAGAACACTGTCCCAAGACTAGAGGAACACCAACTTCAGCAGAGCAACTCGACGAATGCTCCGTGTACCCCAAATCGTTTCGAGGTGAGAGCTGATTTCATGGCTTAGGCTCAAGACGTATGCCAACTTTCCAGAAGCACCTCAAGAGGAGGCTTCTCTCAGCAATAGGTATTTGGTAGGGACCCCGAGTTTGCTGCCTCAAGTGGAATATACAGCGAGAAGCCCTAACTTGAAAGGAGGCCGGATTTCCTTGCAGTGGCTTGAATACAGGCTCGTCTTTCATCTCACAGCATGAAGGGATGTCTGAATCCCCTGGGGAGACCTTAGAGAAAGCTCTAGGTCCCTGCCTTATTTTGACGGAATGCCTCCCATCCCGTTGACACTTCGAGAGGCACGCGGAGTTCACTGCTTCAAAAGGTGATGATGCCTCACTCGTCTTGAATATTGATAGGAATCCCAAAATCACTGTGGCTACTGGAAAGGGTCATTGGGTGCCCTGCCTCACCTCGAGAAGCATACCTTTTGACCTGCCAAGCCGCGAAGAGATTCCTGAGGTGTCCCTCGTTACTAGACAGGAGTCCTGACGGTACTGAATAAACTCGTGTTTTGAAGGGCCATCCCCGCCGTAACTCGAGAAGATACCCCAGGTCCCCAGCGCAACTTGAGAGAAACCATGAGACTTCCCCCTAGATGCGAGATGAGTCCTGATTCCATGCAGTGCATGCAGAGTATTCCCGTGATCCCCATCAAACAAGTCAGGAGCTTCGACTTGCTTAATGGATCTCGAGACAGTCCCCAAGAACACTGTCACAAGTCTAGACGGACCCTGAGGTCACCCCAGCAACACAAAGCAGCTCCATGTGCCCCAAATCAACCAGAGATGTGGCCCGATTCCCCTGCATTGACTCCAGAGCCATCCCCAGTTCCCCATTAAACAAGATCACTGGATGGACTTCCTTCAGGCAACTCCAGAGATGTCCCGAGAACACTGTCCAAAGACTAGAGGAACACCAACTTCAGCACAGCAACTCGAGGAATGCTCCGTGTCCAACAAATCGTCTCGAGATGAGAGCTGAATCCCTGGCTTAGGATCAAGACGTATGCCAACTTTCCAGAAGCACCTCAAGAGGAGGCTTCTCTCAGCAATAGGTATGTTCGTGGGACCCCGAGTTTGCTGCCTCAAGTGGAGTATACAGCGAGAAGCCCTAACTTGAAAGGATTCGGATTTCCTTGTAGAGGCTTGAATACAGGCTCGTCTTTCATCTCACAGCATGAAGGGATGTCTGAATCCCCTGTGGAGACCTTAGAGAAAGCCCTAGGTCCCTTCCTCATTTTGATGGAATGCCTCACATCCCGTTGTCTCCTCGAGAGGCACGCGGAGTTCACTGCTTCAAAAGTTGATGATGCCTTACTCCTCTTGAATATTGATAGGAATCCCCAAATCCCTGTGGCTATTGGAAAGGTTCCTTGTGTGCCCTGCCTCACCTCGAGAAGCGTCACTTGTGCCCTGCCAAGCCTCAAAGAGATTCCTGTGCTGTCCCTCGTTACTGGACAGGAGTCCTGACGTCACTGAATAAACACGAGTTTTGAAGGGCCATCCCCGCCGTAACCCGAGTACATACCCCAGGTCCCCGCCGCAAGTCGAGAAAAACCATGAGACTTTCCCCTAGAGGCGAGATGAGGCACGATTCTCCTGCAGTGCATGCAGAGTAATTCCGTGATCCCCATCAAACAAGTCAGGACCTTCGACTTGCTTAATGGATCTCGAGACAGTCCCCAAGAATACTGTCACATGTCTAGACGGATCCTGAGGTCACCGCATCAATGGAAAGCAGCACAATGTGCCCCAAATCAACTCGGGATGATGCCAGATTCCCCAGTATTGACTCCAGAGCCATCCCCCGTTCCCCTTTAAACACGACCAGTGGCTTGACTTCCTTCAGGCAACTCCAGAGATGCCCCGAGAACACTGTCCCAAGTCTAGATTAACACCAAATTCAGCACAGCAACTCGAGGAATGCTCCATGTACCCCAAATCGTCCGAGATGAGAGCTGAATCCCTGGCTTAGGCTCAAGACGTATGCCAACTTTCCAGAAGCACCTTAAGGGGAGGCTTCTCTCAGCAATAGGTATGTTGGAGGGACCCCGAGTTTGCTGTCTCAAGTGAAATATACAGCGAGAAGCCCTAACTTGAAAGGAGGCCGGATTTCCTTGCAGTGTCTTGAATACAGGGTCGTCTTTCATCTCACAACAGGAAGGGATGTCTGAATCCCCTGTGGAGACCTTAGAGAAAGCCCTAGGTCCCTGCCTCATTTTGACGGAATGTCTCACATCCCGTTGACACCTCGAGAGGCACACGGAGTTCACTGCTTCAAAATGTCACGATGCCTGACTCCTCCTGAACATTGATAGGAATCCCAAAATCACTGTAGCTACAGGACAGGGTTCTTGGGTGCCCTGCCTCACCTCGAGAAGCATCCCTTTTGCCCTGCCAAGCCTCGAAGAGATTCCTGAGGTGTCTCTCATTACTAGACAGGAGTCCTGACGTCACTGAATAAACACGTGTTTTGAAGGGCCATCCCCGCCATAACTCGAGAACATACCCCAGGTCCCGCCGCAACTCGAGAAAAACCATGAGACTTCCCCTAGATGCGAGATGAGGCCTGATTCCCTGCAGTCCATGCAGAGCATTCCCGTGATCCCCATCAAGCAAGTCAGGAGCTTCGACTTGCTTAATTGAACTCGAGAAAGTCCCCAGGAACACTGTCACAAGTCTAGACAGACACTGCGGTCTCCCCAGCAATGCAAAGCAGCTCCAAGTACCCCACATCAACTCGAGATGAGGCCTAATTCCCATGCATTGACTACAGAGTCATCCCCCGTACCCCATTAAACACCAGCAGTGGCTTGACTTCCTTCAGGCAACTCCAGAGATGCCCCGAGAACACTGTCCCAAGTCTAGAGGAATACGAACTTCAGCACAGCAACTCGAGGAATGCTCCGTGTCCCACAAATCGTCTCGAGATGAGAGGTGAATCCCTGGCTTAGGCTCAAGACGTATGCCAACTTTCCAGAAGCACCTCAAGAGGAGGCTTCTCTCAGCAATAGGTATGTTCGTGGGACCCCGAGTTTGCTGCCTCAAGTGGAATATACAGCGAGAAGCCCTAACTTGAAAGGAGGCCGGATTTCCTTGCAGTGGCTTGAATACAGGCTCGTCTTTCATCTCACAGCAGGAAGGGATGTCTGAATCCCCTGTGGAGACCTTAGAGAAAGCCCTAGGTCCCTGCCTCATTTTGACGAAATGCCTCACATCCCGTTGTCACCTCGAGAGGCACGCGGAGTTCACTGCTTCAAAAGTTGACGATGCCTGACTCCTCTTGAATATTGATAGGAATCCCCAAATCCCTGTGGCTATTGGAAAGGTTCCTTGGGTGCCCTGCCTCACCTCGAAAAGCGTCCCTTGTGCCCTGCCAAGCCTCGAACAGATTCCTGAGCTGTCCCTCGTTACTGGACAGGAGTGCTGACGTCACTCAATAGACAGGAGTTTTGAAGGGCCATCCCCGCCGTAACCCGAGTACATACCCCAGGTCCCCAGCGCAACTTGAGAGAAACCATGAGACTTCCCCCTAGATGCCAGATGAGTCCTGATTCCCTGCAGTGCATGCAGAGTATTCCCGTGATCCCCATCAAACAAGTCAGGAGCTTCGACTTGCTTAATGGATCTCGAGACAGTCCCCAAGAACACTGTCACAAGTCTAGACGGACCCTGAGGTCACCCCAGCAACGCAAAGCAACTCCGTGTGCCCCAAATCAACCCGAGTAGTGGCCCGATTCCCCTGCATTGACTCCAGAGCCATCCCCAGTTCCCCATTAAACAAGACCACTGGCTTGACTTCCTTCAGGCAACTTCAGAGATGCCCCGAGAACACTGTCCCAAGTCTACAGGAACACCAACTTCAGCACAGCAACTCGAGGAATGCTCCGTGTACCCCAAATCGTTTCGAGGTGAGAGGTGATTCCCTGGCTTAGGCTCAAGACTTATGCCAACTTTCCAGAAGCACCTCAAGAGGAGGCTTCTCTCAGCAATCGGTATGTGGGAGGGACCCCGAGTTTGCTGCCTCAAGTGGAATATACAGCGAGAAGCCCTAACTTGAAAGGAGGCCAGATTTCCTTGCAGTGTCTTGAATACAGGATCGTCTTTCATCTCACAACAGGAAGGGATGTCTGAATCCCCTGTGGAGACCTTAGAGAAAGGCCTAGGTCCCTGCCTCATTTTGACGGAATGTCTCACATCCCGTTGACACCTCGAGAGGCACACGGAGTTCACCGCTTCAAAATGTAACGATGCCTGACTCCTCTTGAGCATTGATAGGAATCCCAAAATCACTCTGGCTACAGGAAAGGGTTCTTGGTGCCCTGCCTCACCTCGAGAAGCATCCCTTTTGCCCTGCCAAGCCACGAAGATATTCCTGAGGTGTCCCTCGTTACTAGACAGGAATCCTGACGGCACTGAATAAACACGTGTTTTGAAAGGCCATCCCCGCCGTAACTCGAGAAGATACCCCAGGTCCCCAGCGCAACTTGAGAGAAACCATGAGAATTTCCCCTATATGCGAGATGAGTCCTGATTCCCTGCAGTGCATGCAGAGTATTCCCGTGATCCCCATCAAACAAGTCAGGAGCTTCGACTTGCTTAATGGATCTCGAGACAGTCCCCAAGAACACTGTCACAAGTCTAGACCGACCCTGAGGTCACCAAAGCAACGCAAAGCAGCTCCATGTGCCCAAAATCAACCCGAGATGTGGCCCGATTCCCCTGCATTGACTCCAGAGCCATCCCCAGTTCCCCATTAAACAAGACCACTGGCTTGACTTCCTTCAGGCAACTTCAGAGATGCCCCGAGAACACTGTCCCAAGTCTACAGGAACACCAACTTCAGCACAGCAACTCGAGGAATGCTCCGCGTACCCCAAATTGTCTCGAGATGAGAGCTGATTCCCTGGCTTAGGCTCAAGACGTATGCCAACTTTCCAGAAGCACCTCAAGGGGAGGCTTCTCTCAGCAATAGGTATGTTGGAGGGACCCCCAGTTTGCTGCCTCAAGTGGAATATACAGCGAGAAGCCCTAACTTGAAAGGAGGCCGGATATCCTTGCAGTGTCTTGAATACAGGCTCGTCTTTCATCTCACAACTGGAAGGGATGTCTGAATCCCCTGTGGAGACCTTAGAGTAAGCCCTAGGTCCCTGCCTCATTTTGACGGAATGCCTCACATCCCGTTGACACCTCGAGAGGCACACGGAGTTCACCGCTTCAAAATGTAACGATGCCTGACTCCTCTTGAACATTGATAGGAATCCCAAAATCACTCTGGCTACAGGAAAGGGTTCTTGGTGCCCTGCCTCACCTCGAGAAGCATCCCTTTTGCCCTGCCAAGCCACGAAGAGATTCCTGAGGTGTCCCTCGTTACTAGACAGGAATCCTGACGGCACTGAATAAACACGTGTTTTGAAGGGCCATCCCCGCCGTAACTCGAGAAGATACCCCAGGTCCCCAGCGCAACTTGAGAGAAACCATGAGAATTTCCCCTATATGCGAGATGAGTCCTGATTCCCTGCAGTGCATGCAGAGTATTCCCGTGATCCCCATCAAACAAGTCAGGAGCTTCGACTTGCTTAATGGATCTCGAGACAGTCCCCAAGAACACTGTCACAAGTCTAGACCGACCCTGAGGTCACCCCAGCAACGCAAAGCAGCTCCATGTGCCCAAAATCAACCCGAGATGTGGACCGATTCCCCTGCATTGACTCCAGAGCCATCCCCAGTTCCCCATTAAACAAGACCACTGGCTTGACTTCCTTCAGGCAACTTCAGAGATGCCCCGAGAACACTGTCCCAAGTCTAGAGGAACACCAACTTCAGCACAGCAACTCGAGGAATGCTCCGCGTACCCCAAATTGTCTCGAGGTGAGAGCTGATTCCCTGGCTTAGGCTCAAGACGTATGCCAACTTTCCAGAAGCACCTCAAGGGGAGGCTTCTCTCAGCAATAGGTATGTTGGAGGGACCCCCAGTTTGCTGCCTCAAGTGGAATATACAGCGAGAAGCCCTAACTTGAAAGGAGGCCGGATATCCTTGCAGTGTCTTGAATACAGGCTCGTCTTTCATCTCACAACTGGAAGGGATGTCTGAATCCCCTGTGGAGACCTTAGAGTAAGCCCTAGGTCCCTGCCTCATTTTGACGGAATGCCTCACATCCCGTTGACACCTCGAGAGGCACACGGAGTTCACTGCTTCAAAATGTGACGATGCCTGACTCCTCCTGAACAATGATAGGAATCCCAAAATCACTGTGGCTACAGGAAAGGGTTCTTGGGTGCCCTGCCTCACCTCGAGAAGCATCCCTTTTGCCCTGCCAAGCCTCGAAGAGGTTCCTGAGGTGTCTCTCGTTACTAGACAGGAGTCCTGATGTCACTGAATAAACACGTGTTTTGAAGGGCCATCCCCGCCATAACTCGAGAACATACCCCAGGTCCCGCTGCAACTCGAGCAAAACGATGAGACTTCCCCTAGATGGGAGATGAGGTCTGATTCCCTACAGTTATGCAGGGCAGTCCCGTGATCCCCATCAATCAAGTCAGGAGCTTAGACTTGCTTAATTGATCTCGAGAGAGTCCCCAGGAACACTGTCACAAGTCTAGACAGACCCTGAGGTCACCCCAGCAATGCAAAGTAGCTCCAAGTGCCCCACATCAACTCGAGATCAGGCCCGATTCTCCGGCATTGACTCCAGAGCCATCTTCCGTACCACATTAAACACCACCAGTGGCTTGACTTCCTTCAGGCAACTCCAGAGATGCCCCGAGAACACTGTCCCAAGTCTAGAGGAACACCAACTTCAGCACAGCAACTCGAGGAATGCTCCGTGTACCCCAAATCGTTTCGAGGTGAGAGGTGATTCCCTGGCTTAGGCTCAAGACGTATGCCAACTTTCCAGAAGCACCTCAAGAGGAGGCTTCTCTCAGCAATCGGTATGTGGGAGGGACCCCGAGTTTGCTGCCTCAAGTGGAATATACAGCGAGAAGCCCTAACTTGAAAGGAGGCCGGATTTCCTTGCAGTGGCTTGAATACAGGCTCGTCTTCATCTCACAGCATGAAGGGATGTCTGAATCCCCTGTGGAGACCTTAGAGAAAGCTTTAGGTCCCTGCCTCATTTTGACGGAATGCCTCACATCCCGTTGACACTTCGAGAGGCACGCGGAGTTCACTGCTTCAAAAGGTGATGATGCCTCACTCGTCTTGAATATTGATAGGAATCCCAAAATCACTGTGGCTACTGGAAAGGGTCCTTGGGTGCCCTGCCTCACCTCGAGAAGCATACCTTTTGACCTGCCAAGCCTCGAAGAGATTCCTGAGGTGTCCCTCGTTACTAGACAGGAGTCCTGACGGCACTGAATAAACACGTGTTTTGAAGGGACATCCCCGCCGTAACACGTGAAGATACCCCAGGTCCCCCGCGCAACTTGAGAGAAACCATGAGACTTCCCCCTAGATGCGAGATGAGTCCTGATTCCCTGCAGTGCATGCAGAGTATTCCCGTGATCCCCATCAAACAAGTCAGGAGCTTCGACTTGCTTAATGGATCTCGAGACAGTCCCCTAGAACACTGTCACAAGTCTAGACGGACCCTGAGGTCACCCCCGCAACACAAAGCAACTCCATGTGCCCCAAATCAACCCGAGATGTGGCCCGATTCCCCTGCATTGACTCCAGAGCCATCCCCAGTTCCCCATTAAACAAGACCACTGGATTGACTTCTTTCAGGCAACTCCAGAGATGCCCCGAGAACACTGTCCCAAGACTAGAGGAACACCAACTTCAGCACAGCAACTCGAGGAATGCTCCGTGTACCACAAATCGTCTCGAGATGAGAGCTGATTCCCTGGCTTAGGCTCAAGACGTATGCCAACTTTCCAGAAGCACCTCAAGAGGAGGCTTCTCTCAGCAATAGGTATGTTCGTGGGACCCCGAGTTTTCTGCCTCAAGTGAAATATACAGCGAGAAGCCCTAACTTGAAAGGAGGACGGATTTCCTTGCAGTGGCTTGAATAAAGGCTCGTCTTTCATCTCACAGCATGAAGGGATGGCTGAATCCCCTGTGGAGACCTTAGAGAAAGCCCTAGGTCCCTGCCTCATTTTGACGGAATGCCTCACATCCCGTTGTCACCTCGAGAGGCACGCGGAGTTCACTGCTTCAAAAGGTGACGATACCTGACTCCTCTTGAATATTGACAGGAATCCCAAAATCCCTGTGGCTATTGGAAAGTTTCCTTGGGTGCCCTGCCTCACCTCGAGAAGCGTCCCTTGTGCCCTGCCAAGCCTCGAAGAGATTCCTGAGCTGTACCTCGTTACTGGACAGGAGTCCTGACGTCACTGAATAAACACGAGTTTTGAAGGGCCATCCCCGCCGTAACCCGAGTACATACCCCAGGTCCCCGCCGCAAGTCGAGAAAAACCATGAGACTTTCCCCTAGAGGCGAGATGAGGCACGATTCTCCTGCAGTGCATGCAGAGCAATTCCATGATCCCCATCAAACAAGTCAGGACCTTCGACTTGCCTAATGGATCTCGAGACAGTCCCCAAGAATACTGTCACATGTCTAGACGGATCCTGAGGTCACCCCATCAACGCAAAGCAGCACAATGTGCCCCAAATCAACTCGGGATGATGCCAGATTCCCCTGCTTTGACTCCAGAGCCATCCCCCATTCCCCATTAAACACGACCAGTGGCTTGACTTCCTTCAGGCAACTCCAGAGATGCCCCGAGAACACTGTCCCAAGTCTAGAGGAACGCCAACTTCAGCACAGCAACTCGAGGAATGCTCCGTGTACCCCAAATCGTCTCGAGATGAGAGCTGATTCCCTGGCTTAGGCTCAAGACTTATGCCAACTTTCCAGAAGCACCTCAAGAAGAGGCTTCTCTCAGCAATAGGTATGTTGGAGGGACCCCCAGTTTGCTGCCTCAAGTGTAATATACAGCGAGAAGCCCTAACTTGAAAGGAGGCCATATTTCCTTGCAGTGTCTTGAATGCAGGCTCGTCTTTCATCTCACAACCGCAAGGGATGTCTGAATCCCCTGAGGAGACCTTAGAGAAAGCCCTAGGGCCCTTCCTCATTTTGAAGGAATGCCTCACATCCCCTTGACACATCGAGAGGCACACGGAGTTCACTGCTTCAAAATGTGACGATGCCTGACTCCTATTGAACATTGATAGGAATCCCAAAATCACTCTGGCTACAGGAAAGGGTTCGTGGTGCCCTGCTTCACCTCGAGAAGCGTCCCTTGTGCACTGCCAAGCCTCAAAGAGATTCCTGAGGTGTCTCTCATTACTAGACAGGAGTCCTGACGTCACTGAATATACACAAGTTTTGAAGGGCCATCCCCGCCGTAACCCGAGTGCATACCCCAGGTCCCCGCCACAACTCGAAAAAAACCTTGAGACTTCCATCTGAATACGAGATGAGGCCCGATTCACCTGCAGTGCATGCAGAGCAATTCCGTGATCCCCATCAACCAAGTCAGGAGCTTCGATTTGCTTAATGGATCTCGAGACAGTACCCAAGAACACTGTCACATGTCTAGACGGATCCTGAGGTCACCCCATCAAAGCAAAGCAGCACCATGTGCCCCAAATCAACTCCAGATAATGCCCGATTCCCCTGCATTGACTCCAGAGCCATCCCCCGTTCCACATTAAACACCACCAGTGGCTTGACTTCCTTCAGACAATTGCAGAGATGCCCTTAGAACACTGTCCCAAGTCTAGAGGAACACCATCTTCAGCACAGCAACTCGAGGAATGCTCCGTGTACCCCAAATCATCTCGAGATGAGAGCTGATTCCCTGGCTTAAGCTCAAGACGTATGCCAACTTTCCAGAAGCACCTCAAGGGGAGACTACTCTCAGCAATAGGTATGTTGGAGGGACCCCCAGTTTGCTGCCTGAAGTGGAATATGCAGCGAGAAGCCCTAACTTGAAAGGAGGCCGGGTTTCCTTGCAGTGTCTTGAATACAGGCTCGTCTTTCATCTCACAACCAGAAGGGATGTCTGAATCCCCTGTGGAGACCTTAGAGAAAGCCCTAGGTCCCTGCCTCATTGTGACGGAATGCCTCACATCCCGTTGACACTTCGAGAGGCACACGGAGTTCACTGCTTCAAAATGTGAAGATGCCTGACTCCTCTTGAACATTGATAGGAATCCCAAAATCACTGTGGCTACAGGAATGGTTCTTGTGTGCCCTGCCTCACCTCGAGAAGCATACCTTTTCCCCTGCCAAGCCTCGAAGAGATTCCTGAGGTGTCCCTCAATACTAGTCAGGAGTCCTGACGTCACTGAATAAACACGTGTTTTGACGGGCCATGCCCGCCATAACTCGAGAACATACCCCACGTCCCGCCGCAACTCGAGAAAAACCATGAGACTTCCCCTAGATGTGAGATGAGGCCTGATTCCCTGCAGTCCATGCAGAGCATTCCCGTCATCCCCATCAAGCAAGTCAGCAGGTTCGATTTGCTTAATGGATCTCGAGAGAGTCCCCAGGAACACTGTCACAAGTGTAGACGGACCCTGACGTAACCCCAGCAACGCAAAGCAGCTCCATGTGCCCCAAATAAACTCGAGATGATGCCAGATTCTCCGGCATTGACTCCAGAGCCATCCGCCGTACCTCATTAAACACCAGCAGTCGCATGACTTCCTTCTGGCAACTCCAGAGATGCCCCGAGAACACTGTCCCAAGTCTAGAGGAACACCAACTTCAGCACAGCAACTCGAGGAATGCTCCGTGTACCCCAAATCGTTTCGAGGTGAGAGCTGATTCCCTGGCTTAGGCTCAAGACGTATGCCAAGTTTCCAGAAGCACATCAAGAGGAGGCTTCTCTCAGCAATCGGTATGTGGGAGGGACCCCGAGTTTGCTGCCTCAAGTGGAATATACAGCGAGAAGCCCTAACTTGAAAGGAGGCCGGATTTCCTTGCAGTGGCTTGAATACAGGCTCCTCTTTCATCTCACAGCATGAAGGGATGTCTGAATCCCCTGTGGAGACCTTAGAGAAATCTTTAGGTCCCTGCCTCATTTTGACGGAATGCCTCACATCCGGTTGACACTTCGAGAGGCACGCGGAGTTCACTGCTTCAAAAGGTGATGATGCCTCACTCGTCTTGAATATTGATAGGAATCCCAAAATCACTGTGGCTACTGGAAAGGGTCCTTGGGTGCCCTGCCTCACCTCGAGAAGCATACCTTTTGACCTGCCAAGCCTCGAAGAGATTCCTGAGGTGTCCCTCGTTACTAGACAGGAGTCCTGACGGCAATGAATAAACACGTGTTTTGAAGGGACATCCCCGCCGTAACACGTGAAGATACCCCAGGTCCCCCGCGCAACTTGAGAGAAACCATGAGACTTCCCCCTAGATGCGAGATGAGTCCTGATTCCCTGCAGTGCATGCAGAGTATTCCCGTGATCCCCATCAAACAAGTCAGGAGCTTCGACTTGCTTAATGGATCTCGAGACAGTCCCCTAGAACACTGTCACAAGTCTAGAAGGACCCTGAGGTCACCCCAGCAACGCAAAGCAACTCCATGTGCCCCAAATCAACCCGAGATGTGGCCCGATTCCCCTGCATTGACTCCAGAGCCATCCCCAGTTCCCCATTAAACAAGACCACTGGATTGACTTCTTTCAGGCAACTCCAGAGATGCCCCGAGAACACTGTCCCAAGACTAGAGGAACACCAACTTCAGCACAGCAACTCGAGGAATGCTCCGTGTACCCCAAATCGTCTCGAAATGAGAGCTGATTCCCTGGCTTAGGCTCAAGACGTATGCCAACTTTCCAGAAGCACCTCAAGAGGAGGCTTCTCTCAGCAATAGGTATGTTCGTGGGACCCCGAGTTTTCTGCCTCAAGTGAAATATACAGCGAGAAGCCCTAACTTGAAAGGAGGACGGATTTCCTTGCAGTGGCTTGAATAAAGGCTCGTCTTTCATCTCACAGCATGAAGGGATGTCTGAATCCCCTGTGGAGACCTTAGAGAAAGCTCTAGGTCCCTGCCTCATTTTGACGGAATGCCTCACATCCCGTTGTCACCTCGAGAGGCACGCGGAGTTCACTGCTTCAAAAGGTGACGATGCCTGACTCCTCTTGAATATTGACAGGAATCCCAAAATCCCTGTGGCTATTGGAAAGTTTCCTTGGGTGCCCTGCCTCACCTCGAGAAGCGTCCCTTGTGCCCTGCCAAGCCTCGAAGAGATTCCTGAGCTGTACCTCGTTACTGGACAGGAGTCCTGACGTCACTGAATAAACACGAGTTTTGAAGGGCCATCCCCGCCGTAACCCGAGTACATACCCCAGGTCCCCGCCGCAAGTCGAGAAAAACCATGAGACTTTCCCCTAGAGGCGAGATGAGGCCCGATTCTCCTGCAGTGCATGCAGAGCAATTCCGTGATCCCCATCAACAAGTCAGGACCTTCGACTTGCCTAATGGATCTCGAGACAGTCCCCAAGAATACTGTCACATGTCTAGACGGATCCTGAGGTCACCCCATCAACGCAAAGCAGCACAATGTGCCCCAAATCAACTCGGGATGATGCCAGATTCCCCTGCTTTGACTCCAGAGCCATCCCCCATTCCCCATTAAACACGACCAGTGGCTTGACTTCCTTCAGGCAACTCCAGAGATGCCCCGAGAACACTGTCCCAAGTCTAGAGGAACGCCAACTTCAGCACAGCAACTCGAGGAATGCTCCGTGTACCCCAAATCGTCTCGAGATGAGAGCTGATTCCCTGGCTTAGGCTCAAGACTTATGCCAACTTTCCAGAAGCACCTTAAGAAGAGGCTTCTCTCAGCAATAGGTATGTTGGAGGGACCCCCAGTTTGCTGCCTCAAGTGTAATATATAGCGAGAAGCCCTAACTTGAAAGGAGGCCATATTTCCTTGCAGTGTCTTGAATGCAGGCTCGTCTTTCATCTCACAACCGCAAGGGATGTCTGAATCCCCTGTGGAGACCTTAGAGAAAGCCCTAGGGCCCTTCCTCATTTTGAAGGAATGCCTCACATCCCCTTGACACATCGAGAGGCACACGGAGTTCACTGCTTCAAAATGTGACGATGCCTGACTCCTATTGAACATTGATAGGAATCCCAAAATCACTCTGGCTACAGGAAAGAGTTCTTGGTGCCCTGCCTCACATCGAGAAGCATCCCTTTTGCCCTGCCAAGCCTCGAAGAGATTACTGAGGTGTCTCTCATTACTAGACAGGAGTCCTGACGTCACTGAATAAACACGTGTTTTGAAGGGCCATCCCCGCCATAACTCGAGAACATACCCCAGGTCCCGGCGCAACTCGAGAAAAACGATGAGACTTCCCCTAGATGCGAGATGAGGTCTGATTCCCTGCAGTCCATGCAGAGCAGTCCCGGGATCCCCATCAAGCAAGTCAGGAGCGTCGACTGGCTTAATGGATCTCGAGAGAGTCCCCAGGAACACTGTCAGAAGTCTAGACAGATCCTGAGGTCACCCCAGCAATGCAAAGCAGCTGCAAGTGCCCCACATCAACTCGAGATGAGGCCCGATTCTCCGGCATTGACTCCAGAGCCATCCCCCGTACCCCATTAAACACCACCAGTGGCTTGACTTCCTTCAGGCAACACCAGAGATGCCCTGAGAACACTGTCCCAAGGCTAGAGGAATACGAACTTCAGCACAGCAACTCGAGGAATGCTCCGTGTACCCCAAATCTTTTCGAGGTGAGAGCTGATTCCATGGCTTAGGCTCAAGATGTATGCCAACTTTCCAGAAGCACCTCAAGAGGAGGCTTCTCTCAGCAATAGGTATTTGGGAGGGACCCCGAGTTTGCTGCCTCAAGTGGAATATACAGCGAGAAGCCCTAACTTGAAAGGAGGACGGATTTCCTTGCAGTGGCTTGAATACAGGCTTGTCTTTCATCTCACAGCATGAAGGGATGTCTGAATCCCCTGTGGAAACCTTAGAGAAAGCTCTAGGTGCCTGCCTCATTTTGATGGAATGCCTCACATCCCGTTGTCACCTCGAGAGGCACGCGGAGTTCAGTGCTTCAAAAGGTGACGATGCCTGACTCCTCTTGAATATTGATAGGAATCCCACAATCCCTGTGGCTATTGGAAATGTTCCTTGGGTGCCCTGCCTCACCTCGAGAAGCGTCCCTTGTGCACTGCCAAGCCTCGAAGAGATTCCTGAGCTGTCCCTCGTTACTGGACAGGAGTCCTTACATCACTGAATAAACACGAGTTTTGAAGGGCCATCCCCGCCGTAACCCGAGTACATACCCCAGGTCCCCGCCACAAGTCGAGAAAAACCATGAGACTTTCCCCTAGAGGCGAGATGAGGCCCGATTCTCCTGCAGTGCATGCAGAGCAATTCCGTGATCACCATCAAACAAGTCAGGACCTTCGACTTGCTTAATGGATCTCGAGACAGTCCCCAAGAATACTGTCACATGTCTTGACGAATCCTGAGGTCACCCCATCAACGCAAAGCAGCACAATGTGCCCCAAATCAACTCGGGATGATGCCAGATTCCCCTGCTTTGACTCCAGAGCCATCCCCCGTTCCCCATTAAACACGACCAGTGGCTTGACTTCCTTCAGGCAAATCCAGAGATGCCCCAAAAACACTGTCCCAAGTCTAGAGGAACACCAACTTCAGCACAGCAACTCGAGGAATGCTCCGTGTACCCCAAATCGTCTCGAGATGAGAGCTGATTCCCTGGCTTAGGCTCAAGACGTATGTCAACTTTCCAGAAGCACCTCAAGGGGAGGCTTCTCTCAGCAATAGGTATGTTGGAGGGATCCCCAGTTTGCTGCCTCAAGGGGAATATACAGCGAGAAGCCCTAACTTGAAAGGAGGACGTATTTCCTTGCAGTGTCTTGAATGCAGGCTCGTCTTTCATCTCACAACCGGAAGGGATGTCTGAATCCCCTGTGGAGACCTTAGAGAAAGCCCTAGGGCCCTTCCTCATTTTGAAGGAATGCCTCACATCCCGTTGACACATCGAGAGGCACACGGAGTTCACTGCTTCAAAATGTGACGATGCCTGACTCCTATTGAACATTGATAGGAATCCCAAAATCACTCTGGCTACAGGAAAGGGTTCGTGGTGCCCTGCTTCACCTCGAGAAGCGTCCCTTGTGCACTGCCAAGCCTCAAAGAGATTCCTGAGGTGTCTCTCATTACTAGACAGGAGTCCTGACGTCACTGAATATACACGAGTTTTGAAAGGCCATCCCCTCCGTAACCCGAGTACATACCCCAGGTCCCCGCCGCAACTCGAAAAAAACCTTGAGACTTCCATCTGGATGCGAGATGAGGCCCGATTCACCTGCAGTGCATGCAGAGCAATTCCGTGATCCCCATCAACCAAGTCAGGAGCTTCGATTTGCTTAATGGATCTCGAGACAGTACACAAGAACACTGTCACATGTCTAGACGGATCCTGAGGTCAACCCATCAAAGCAAAGCAGCACCATGTGCCCCAAATTAACTCGAGATAATGCCCGATTCCCCTGCATTGACTCCAGAGCCATCCCCCGTTCCACATTAAACACCACCAGTGGCTTGACTTCCTTCAGACAATTGCAGAGATGCCCTTAGAACACTGTCCCAAGTCTAGAGGAACACCATCTTCAGCACAGCAACTCGAGGAATGCTCCGTGTACCCCAAATCATCTCGAGATGAGAGCTGATTCCCTGGCTTAAGCTCAAGACGTATGCCAACTTTCCAGAAGCACCTCAAGGGGAGACTGCTCTCAGCAATAGGTATGTTGGAGGGACCCCCAGTTTGCTGCCTGAAGTGGAATATGCAGCGAGAAGCCCTAACTTGAAAGGAGGCCGGGTTTCCTTGCAGTGTCTTGAATACAGGCTCGTCTTTCATCTCACAACCAGAAGGGATGTCTGAATCCCCTGTGGAGACCTTAGAGAAAGCCCTAGGTCCCTGCCTCATTTTGACGGAATGCCTCACATCCCGTTGACACTTCGAGAGGCACACGGAGTTCACTGCTTCAAAATGTGAAGATGCCTGACTCCTCCTGAACATTGATAGGAATCCCAAAATCACTGTGGCTACAGGAAAGTGTTCTTGTGTTCCCTGCCTCACCTCGAGAAGCATACCTTTTCCCCTGCCAAGCCTCGAAGAGATTCCTGAGGTGTCCCTCATTACTAGTCAGGAGTCCTGACGTCACTGAATAAACACGTGTTTTGACGGGCCATGCCCGCCATAACTCGAGAACATACCCCACGTCCCGCCGCAATTCGAGAAAAACCATGAGACTTCCCCTAGATGTGAGATGAGGCCTGATTCCCTGCAGTCCATGCAGAGCATTCCCGTCATCCCCATCAAGCAAGTCAGCAGGTTCGATTTGCTTAATGGATCTCGAGAGAGTCCCCAGGAACACTGTCACAAGTGTAGACGGACCCTGACGTAACCCCAGCAACGCAAAGCAGCTCCATGTGCCCCAAATAAACTCGAGATGATGCCAGATTCTCCGGCATTGACTCCAGAGCCATCCGCGTACCTCATTAAACACCAGCAGTGGCTTGACTTCCTTCTGGCAACTCAAGAGATGCCCCGAGAACACTGTCCCAAGTCTAGAGGAACACCAACTTCAGCACAGCAACTCGAGGAATGCTCCGTGTACCCCAAATCGTTTCGAGGTGAGAGCTGATTCCCTGGCTTAGGCTCAAGACGTATGCCAACTTTCCAGAAGCACCTCAAGAGGAGGCTTCTCTCAGCAATAGGTATGTGGGAGGGACCCCGAGTTTGCTGCCTCAAGTGGCATATACAGCGAGAAGCCCTAACTTGAAAGGAGGCCGGATTTCCTTGCAGTGTCTTGAATACAGGCTCGTCTTTCATCTCACACCCGGAAAGGATGCCTGAATCCCCTGTGGAGACCTTAGAGAAAGCCCTAGGTCTCTGCCTCATTTTGACGGAATGCCTCACATCCCGTTGACACCTCGAGAGGCACACGTAGTTCACTGCTTCAAAATGTGACGATGCCTGACTCCTCCTGAATTTTGATAGGAATCCCAAAATCCCTATGGCTATTGGAAAGGTTTCTTGGGTACCCTGCCTCACCTCGAGAAGCGTCCCTTGTGCCCTGCCAAGCCTCGAAGAGATTCCTGAGGTGTCTCTCGTTACTAGACAGGAGTCCTGACGTCACTGAATAAACACGTGTTTTGAAGGGCCATCCCCCCCATAACTCGAGAACATACCCCAGGTCCGGCCGCAACTCGAGCAAAACGAAGAGACTTCCCCTAGATGCGAGATGAGGTCTGATTCCCTGCAGTCCATGCAGAGCAGGCCCGTGATCCCCATCAAGCAAGACAGGAGCTTCGACTTGCTTAATGGATCTCGAGAGAGTCACCAGGAACACTGTCACAATTCTAGACAGACGCTGAGGTCACCCCATCAATGCAAAGCAGCACAATGTGCCCCAAATCAACTCGGGATGATGCCAGATTCCCCTGCTTTGACTCCAGAGCCATCCCCCGTTCCCCATTAAACACGACCAGTGGCTTGACTTCCTTCAGGCAAATCCAGAGATGCCCCAAAAACACTGTCCCAAGTCTAGAGGAACACCAACTTCAGCACAGCAACTCGAGGAATGCTCCGTGTACCCCAAATCGTCTCGAGATGAGAGCTGATTCCCTGGCTTAGGCTCAAGACGTATGTCAACTTTCCAGAAGCACCTCAAGGGGAGGCTTCTCTCAGCAATAGGTATGTTGGAGGGATCCCCAGTTTGCTGCCTCAAGGGGAATATACAGCGAGAAGCCCTAACTTGAAAGGAGGACGTATTTCCTTGCAGTGTCTTGAATGCAGGCTCGTCTTTCATCTCACAACCGGAAGGGATGTCTGAATCCCCTGTGGAGACCTTAGAGAAAGCCCTAGGGCCCTTCCTCATTTTGAAGGAATGCCTCACATCCCGTTGACACATCGAGAGGCACACGGAGTTCACTGCTTCAAAATGTGACGATGCCTGACTCCTCTTGAACATTGATAGGAATCCCAAAATCACTGTGGCTACAGGAAAGGGTTCGTGGTGCCCTGCTTCACCTCGAGAAGCGTCCCTTGTGCACTGCCAAGCCTCAAAGAGATTCCTGAGGTGTCTCTCATTACTAGACAGGAGTCCTGACGTCACTGAATATACACGACTTTTGAAAGGCCATCCCCTCCGTAACCCGAGTACATACCCCAGGTCCCCGCCGCAACTCGAGAAAAACCTTGAGACTTCCATCTGGATGCGAGATGAGGCCCGATTCACCTGCAGTGCATGCAGAGCAATTCCGTGATCCCCATCAACCAAGTCAGGAGCTTCGATTTGCTTAATGGATCTCGAGACAGTACACAAGAACACTGTCACATGTCTAGACGGATCCTGAGGTCAACCCATCAACGCAAAGCAGCACCATGTGCCCCAAATCAACTCGAGATAATGCCCGATTCCCCTGCATTGACTCCAGAGCCATCCCCCGTTCCACATTAAACACCACCAGTGGCTTGACTTCCTTCAGACAATTGCAGAGATGCCCTTAGAACACTGTCCCAAGTCTAGAGGAACACCATCTTCAGCACAGCAACTCGAGGAATGCTCCGTGTACCCCAAATCATCTCGAGATGAGAGCTGATTCCCTGGCTTAGGCTCAAGACGTATGCCAACTTTCCAGAAGCACCTCAAGAGGAGGCTTCTCTCAGCAATCGGTATGTGGGAGGGACCCCGAGTTTGCTGCCTCAAGTGGCATATACAGCGAGAAGCCCTAACTTGAAAGGAGGCCGGATTTCCTTGCAGTGTCTTGAATACAGGCTCGTCTTTCATCTCACACCCGGAAAGGATGCCTGAATCCCCTGTGGAGACCTTAGAGAAAGCCCTAGGTCTCTGCCTCATTTTGACGGAATGCCTCACATCCCGTTGACACCTCGAGAGGCACACGTAGTTCACTGCTTCAAAATGTGACGATGCCTGACTCCTCCTGAATTTTGATAGGAATCCCAAAATCCCTATGGCTATTGGAAAGGTTTCTTGGGTACCCTGCCTCACCTCGAGAAGCGTCCCTTGTGCCCTGCCAAGCCTCGAAGAGATTCCTGAGGTGTCTCTCGTTACTAGACAGGAGTCCTGACGTCACTGAATAAACACGTGTTTTGAAGGGCCATCCCCCCCATAACTCGAGAACATACCCCAGGTCCGGCCGCAACTCGAGCAAAACGAAGAGACTTCCCCTAGATGCGAGATGAGGTCTGATTCCCTGCAGTCCATGCAGAGCAGGCCCGTGATCCCCATCAAGCAAGACAGGAGCTTCGACTTGCTTAATGGATCTCGAGAGAGTCACCAGGAACACTGTCACAATTCTAGACAGACCCTGAGGTCACCCCATCAATGCAAAGCAGCACAATGTGCCCCAAATCAACTCGGGATGATGCCAGATTCCCCTGCATTGACTCCGGAGCCATCCCCCGTTCCCCATTAAACACGACCAGTGGCTTGACTTCCTTCAGGAAACTCCAGAGATGCACCGAGAACACTGTCCCAAGTCTAGAGGAACACCAACTTCAGCACAGCAACTCGAGGAATGCTCCGTGTACCCCAAAACGTTTCGAGGTGAGAGCTGATTCCCTGGCTTAGGCTCAAGACGTATGCCAACTTTCCAGAAGCACCTCAAGAGGAGGCTTCTCTCAGCAATCGGTATGTGGGAGGGACCCCCAGTTTCCTGCCTCAAGTGGAATATACAACGAGAAGACCTAACTTGAAAGGAGGCCGGATTTCCTTGCAGTGTCTTGAATACAGGCTCGTCTTTCATCTCACAACAGGAAGGGATGTCTGAATCCCCTGAGGAGACCTTAGAGAAAGCCCTAGGTCCCTGCCTCATTTTGACGGAATGTCTCACATCCCGTTGACACTTCGAGAGGCACACGGAGTTCACTGCTTCAAAATGTGACGATGCCTGACTCCTCTTGAACATTGATAGGACTCCCAAAATCACTGTAGCTACAGGACAGGGTTCTTGGGTGCCCTGCCTCACCTCGAGAAGCATCCCTTTTGCCTGCCAAGCCTCGAAGAGATTCCTGAGCTGTCCCTCGTTATTGGACAGGAGTCCTGTCGTCACTGAATAAACACGAGTTTTGAAGGGTCATCCCCGCCGTAACCGGAGTACATACCCTAGGTCCCCGCCGCAAGTCGAGAAAAACCATGAGACTTTCCCCTAGAGGCGAGATAAGGCCCGATTTTCCTGCAGTGCATGCAGAGCAATTCCGTGATCCCCATCAAACAAGTCAGGACCTTCGTCTTGCTTAATCGAACTCGAGAAAGTCCCCAGGAACACTGTGACAAGTCTAGACAGAACCTGAGGTCACCCCAGCAATGCAAAGCAGCTCCAAGTACCACACATCAACTCGAGATGAGGCCCGATTCCCCTGCAGTGACTCCAGAGCCATCCCCCGTACCCCATTAAACACCACCAGTGGCTTGACTTCCCTCAGGCAACTCCAGAGATTCCCTGAGAACACTGTCCCAAGTCTAGAGGAATACGAACTTCAGCACAGGAACACGAGGAATGCTCCGTGTACCCCAAATCGTCTCGAGATGAGAGCTGATTCCCTGGCTTAGGCTAAAGACGTATGCCAACTTTCCAGAAGCACCTCAAGAGGAGGCTTCTCTCAGCAATAGGTATGTTGGAGGGACCCCCAGTTTGCTGCCTCAAGTGGAATATACCGCGAGAAGCCCTAACTTGAAAGGAGGCCGGATTTCCTTGCAGTGTCTTGAATACAGGCTCGTCTTTCATCTCACACGCGGAAAGGATGCCTGAATCCCCTGTGGTGACCTTAGAGAAAGCCCTAGGTCTCTGCCTCATTTTGACGGAATGCCTCATATCCCGTTGACATGTCGAGAGGCACACGGAGTTCACTGCTTCAAAATGTGACGATGCCTGACTCCTCCTGAATTTTGATAGGAATCCCAAAATCACTGTGGCTACAGGAAAGGATTCTTGGGTGCCCTGCCTCACCTCGGGAAGCATCCCTTTTGCCCTGCCAAGCTTCGAAGAGATTCCTGAGGTGTCTCTCGTTACTAGACAGGAGTCCTGACGTCACTGAATAAACACGTGTTTTGAAGGGCCATCCCCGCCATAACTCGAGAACATACACCAGGTCCGGCCGCAACTCGAGCAAAACGAAGAGACTTCCCCTAGATGCGAGATGAGGTCTCTTTCCCTGCAGTCCATGCAGAGCAATCCCGTGATCCCCATCAAGCAAGTCAGGAGCTTCGACTTGCTTAATGGATCTCGAGAGAGTCCCCAGGAACACTGTCACAAGTCTAGACAGACCCTGAGGTCACCCCAGCAATGCAAAGCAGCACAATGTGCCCCAAATCAACTCGGGATGATGCCATATTCCCCTGCATTGACTCCGGAGCCATCCCCCGTTCCCCATTAAACACGACCAGTGGCTTGACTTCCTTCAGGCAACTCCAGAGATGCCCCGAGAACACTGTCCCAAGTCTAGAGGAACACCAACTTCAGCACAGCAACTCGAGGAATGCTCCGTGTACCCCAAATCGTTTCGAGGTGAGAGCTGATTCCCTGGCTTAGGCTCAAGACGTATGCCAACTTTCCAGAAGCACCTCAAGAGGAGGCTTCTCTCAGCAATAGGTATGTTCATGGGACCCCGAGTTTGCTGCCTCAAGTGGAATATACAGCGAGAAGCCCTAACTTGAAAGGAGGCCGGATTTCCTTGCAGTGTCTTGAATACAGGCTCGTCTTTCATCTCACAACAGGAAGGGATGTCTGAATCCCCTGAGGAGACCATAGAGAAAGCCGTAGGTCCCTGCCTCATTTTGACGGAATGCCTCACATCCCGTTGACACCTCGAGAGGCACACGAAGTTCACTGCTTCAAAATGTGACGATGCCTGACTCCTCTTGAACATTGATAGGAATCACAAAATCACTGTAGCTACAGGACAGGGTTCTTGGGTGCCCTGCCTCACCTCGAGAAGCATCCCTTTTGCCTGCCAAGCCTCGAAGAGATTCCTGAGGTGTCTCTCGTTACTAGACAGGAGTCCTGACGTCACTGAATAAACACGTGTTTTGAAGGGCCATCCCCGCCATAACTCGAGAACATACCCCAGGTCCTGCCGCAACTCGAGAAAAACCATGAGACTTCCCCTAGATGCGAGATGAGGCCTGATTCCCTGCTGTCCATGCAGAGCATTCCCGTGATCCCGATCAAGCAAGTCAGGAGCTTAGACTTGCTTAATCGAACTCGAGAAAGTACCCAGGAACTCTGTCACAAGTCTAGACAGACCCTGAGGTCACCCCGGCAATGCAAAGCAGCTCCAAGTGCCCCACATCAACTCGAGATGAGGCCCGATTCTCCGGCATTGACTCCAGAGCCATCCCCCGTTCCACATTAAACACCACCAGTGGCTTGACTTCCTTCTGGTAACTCCAGAGATGCCCCGAGAACACTGTCCCAAGTCTAGACGGATCCTGAGGTCACACCTTCAAAGCAAAGCAGCACCATGTGCCCCAAATCAACTCGAGATAATGCCCGATTCCCCTGCATTGACTCCAGAGCCATCCCCCGTTCCACATTAAACACCACCAGTGGCTTGACTTCCTTCAGATAACTGCAGAGATACCCTGAGAACACTGTCCCAAGTCTAGAGGAACACCATCTTCAGCACAGCAACTCGAGGAATGCTCCGTGTACCCCAAATCATCTCGAGATGAGAGCTGATTCCCTGGCTTAAGCTCAAGACGTATGCCAACTTTCCAGAAGCACCACAAGGGGAGTCTGCTCTCAGCAATAGGTATGTTGGAGGGACCCCCAGTTTGCTGCCTAAAGTGGAAAATACAGCGAGAAGCCCTAACTTGAAAGGAGGCCGGGTTTCCATGCAGTGTCTTGAATACAGGCTTGTCTTTCATCTCACAACCAGAAGGAATGTCTGAATCCCCTGTGGAGACCTAGGAGAAAGCCCTAGGTCCCTGCCTCATTTTGACGGAATGCCTCACATCCCGTTGACACTTCGAGAGGCACACGGAGTTCAATGCTTCAAAATGTGAAGATGCCTGACTCCTCCTGAACATTGATAGGAATCCCAAAATCACTGTGGCTACAGGAAAGGGTTCTTGTGTGCCGTGCCTCACCTCGAGAAGCATACCTTTTCCCCTGCCAAGCCTCGAAGAGATTCCTGAGGTGTCCCTCATTACTAGTCAGGAGTCCTGACGTCACTGAATAAACACGTGTTTTGAAGGGCCATGCCCGCCATAACTCGAGAACATACCCCACGTCCCGCCGCAACTCGAGAAAAACCATGAGACTTCCCCTAGATGTGAGATGAGGCCTGATTCCCTGCAGTCCATGCAGAGCATTCCCGTGATCCCCATCAAGCAAGTCAGCAGGTTCGATTTGCTTAATGGATCTCGAGAGAGTCCCCAGGAACACTGTCACAAGTGTAGACGGACCCTGACGTCACCCCAGCAACGCAAAGCAGCTCCATGTGCCCCAAATAAACTCGAGATGATGCCAGATTCTCCGGCATTGACTCCAGAGCCATCCCCCGTACCTCATTAAACACCACCAGTGGCTTGACTTCCTTCTGGTAACTCCAGAGATGCCCCGAGAACACTGTCCCAAGTCTAGAGGAACACCAACTTCAGCACAGCAACTCGAGGAATGCTCCGTGTACCCCATATCGTTTCGAGGTGAGAGCTGATTCCCTGGCTTAGGCTCAAGACGTATGCCAACTTTCCAGAAGCACCTCAAGAGGAGGCTTCTCTCAGCAATCGGTATGTGGGAGGGACCCCGAGTTTGCTGCCTCAAGTGGATTATACAGCGAGAAGACCTAACTTGAAAGGAGGCCGGATTACCTTGCAGTGTCTTGAATACAGGCTCGTCTTTCATCTCACAACAGGAAAGGATGTCTGAATCCCCTGTGGAGACCTTAGAGAAAGCCCTAGGTCCCTGCCTTATTTTGACGGAATGCCTCACATCCCGTTGACACCACGAGAGGCACGCGGAGTTCAGTGCTTCAAAAGGTGACGATGCCTGACTCCTCTTGAATATTAATAGGAATCCCAAAATCCCTGTGGCTATTGGAAAGGTTCCTTGTGTGCCCTGCCTCACCTCGAGAAGCGTCCCTTGTGCCCTGCCAAGCCTCGAAGAGATTCCTGAGCTGTCCCTCGTTACTAGACAGGAGTCCTGACGTCATTGAATAAACACGTGTTTTGAAGGGCCATCCCCGCCATAACTCGAGAACATACCCCAGGTCCCGCCGCAACTCGAGAAAAACCATGAGACTTCCCCTAGATGCGAGATGAGGCCTTATTCCCTGCAGTCCATGCAGAGCATTCCCGTGATCCCCATCAAGCAAGTCAGGAGCTTCGATTTGCTTAATCGAACTCGCGAAAGTCCCCAGGAACACTGTCACAAGTCTAGACAGACCCTGAGGTCATCCCAGCAATGCAAGGCAGCTCGAAGTCCCCCACATCAACACGAGATGAGGCCCGATTCCCCTGCATTGACTCCAGAGCCATCCCCCGTACCCCATCAAACACCACGAGTGGCTTGACTTCCTTCATGCAACTCCAGAGTTGCCCCGAGAACACTGTCCCAAGTCTAGAGGAATACGAACTTAAGCACAGCAACTCCAGGAATGCTCCGTGTACCCCAAATCGTCTCGAGATGAGAGCTGATACCCTGGGTTAGGCTCAAGACATATGCCAACTTTCCAGAATCACCTCAAGAGGAGGCTTCTCTCAGCAATAGGTATGTTGGAGGGACCCCCAATTTGCTGCCTCAAGTGGAATATACAGCGAGAAGCCCTAACTTGAAAGGAGGCCGGATTTCCTTGCAGTGTCTTGAATAAAGGCTCGTCTTTCATCTCACACCCAGAAAGGATGCCTGAATCCCCTGTGGAGACCTTAGATAAAGCCCTAGGTCTCTGCCTCATTTTGACGGAATGCCTCACATCCCGTTGACAACTCGAGAGGCACACGGAGTTCACTGCTTCAAAATTTGACGATGCCAAACTCCTCCTGAATTTTGATAGGAATCCCAAAATCACTGTGGCTACAGGAAAGGGTTCTTGGGTGCCCTGCCTCACTTCGGGAAGCATCCCTTTTGCCCTGCCAAGCTTCGAAGAGATTCCTGAGATGTCTCTCGTTACTAGACAGGAGTCCTGACGTCACTGAATAAACACGAGTTTTGAAGGGTCATCCCTGCCGTAACCGGACTACATACCCTAGGTCCCCGCCGCAAGTTGAGAAAAACCATGAGACTTTCCCCTATAGGCGAGATGAGGCCCGATTTTCCTGCAGTGCATGCAGAGCAATTCCGTGATCCCCATCAAACAAGTCAGGACCTTCGACTTGCTTAATGGATCTCGAGAGAGTCCCCAAGAATACAGTCACATGTCTAGACGGATCCTGAGGTCACCCCATCAATGCAAAGCAGCACAATGTGCCCCAAATCAACTCGGGATGATGCCAGATTCCCCTGCATTGACTCTAGAGCCATCCCCAGTTCCCCATTAAACAAGACCACTGGATTGACTTCCTTCAGGCAACTCCAGAGATGCCCGGAGAACACTGTCCCAAGACTAGAGGAACACGAACTTCAGCACAGCAACTCGAGGAATGCTCCGTGTACCACGAATCATCTCGAGATGAGAGCTGAATCCCTGGCTTAGGCTCAAGACGTATGCCAACTTTCCAGAAGCACCTCAAGAGGAGGCTTCTCTCAGCAATAGGTATGTGGGAGAGACCCCGAGTTTGCTGCCTCAAGTGGAATATACAGCGAGAAGCCCTAACTTGAAAGGAGGCCGGTTTTCCTTGCAGTGGCTTGAATACAGGCTCGTCTTCCATCTCACAGCATGAAGGGATGTCTGAATCCCCTGTGGAGACCTTAGAGAAAGCTCTAGGTCCCTGCCTCATTTTGACGGAATGCCTCACATCCCGTTGTCACCTCGAGAGGCACGCGGAGTTCACTGCTTCAAAAGGTGACGATGCCTGACTCCTCTTGAATATTGACAGGAATCCCCAAATCCCTGTGGCTATTGGAAAGGTTCCTTGGGTGCCCTGCCTCACCTCGAGAAGCGTCCCTTGTGCCCTGCCAAGCCTCGAAGAGATTCCTGAGCTGTCCCTCGTTATTGGACAGGAGTCCTGACGTCACTGAATAAACACGAGTTTTGAAGGGTCATCCCCGCCATAACCGGAGTACATACCCTAGGTCCCAGCCACAAGTCGAGAAAAACCATGAGACTTTCCCCTATAGGCGAGATGAGGCCCGATTTTACTGCAGTGCATGCAGAGCAATTCCGTGATCCCCATCAAACAAGTCAGGACATTCGACTTGCTTAATGGATCTCGAGACAGTCCCCAAGAATACTATCACATGTCTAGACGGATCCTGAGGTCACCCCATCAACGCAAAGCAGCACAATGTGCCCCAAATCAACTCGGGATGATGCCAGATTCCCCTGCATTGACTCCAGAGCCATCCCCTCGTTCCCCATTAAACACGACCAGTGGCTTGACTTCCTTCAGGCAACTCCAGAGATGCCCCGAGAACACTGTCCCAAGTCTAGATTAACACCAACTTCAGCACAGCAACTCGAGGTATGCTCCATGTACCCCAATCGTCTCGAGATGAGAGCTGATTCCCTGGCTTAGGCTCAAGACGTATGCCAACTTTCCAGAAGCACCTCAAGGGGAGGCTTCTCTCAGCAATAGGTATGTTGGAGGGAGCCCCAGTTTGCTGCCTCAAGTGGAATATACAGCGAGAAGCCCTAACTTGAAAGGAGGCCGGATTTCCTTGCAGTGTCTTGAATACAGGCTCGTCTTTCATCTCACAACCGGAAGGAATGCCTGAATCCCCTGTGGAGACATTAGAGAAAGCCCTAGGTCCCTGCCTCATTTTGACGGAATGCCTCACATCCCGTTGACACTTCGAGAGGCACACGGAGTTCACTGCTTCAAAATGTGACGATGCCTGTCTACTCCTGAACATTGATAGGAATCCCAAAATCACTGTGGCTACAGGAAAGGGTTTCTTGGTTGCCCTGCCTCACTTCGAGAAGCATCCCTTTTGCCCTGCCAAGCCTCGAAGAGATTCCTGAGGTGTCTCTCGTTACTAGACAGGAGTCCTGACGTCACTGAATAAACACGTGTTTTGAAGGGCCATCCCCGCCATAACTCGAGAACATACCCCAGGTCCCGCCGAAATTCGAGCAAAACGATGAGACTTCCCCTAGATGCGAGATGAGGTCTGATTCCCTGCAGTCCATGCACAGCAGTCCTCTGATCCCCATCAAGCAAGTCAGGAGCTTCGACTTGCTTAATGGATCTCGAGAGAGTCCCCAGGAACACTGTCACAAGTCTAGACAGACCCTGAGGTCACCCCAGTAATGCAAAGCAGCTCCAAGGGCCCCACATCAACTCGAGATGAGGCCCGATTCCCTGCATTGACTCCAGAGCTATCCCCCGTACCCCATTAAACACCACCAGTGGCTTGACTTCCTTCAGGCAACTCCAGAGATGCCCCGAGAACACTGTCCCAAGTCTAGAGGAACACCAACTTCAGCACAGCAACTCGAGGAATGCTCCGTGTACCCCAAATCGTTTCGAGGTGAGAGCTGATTCCGTGGCTTAGGATCAAGACGTATGCCAACTTTCCAGAAGCACCTCAAGAGGAGGCTTCTCTCAGCAATCGGTATGTGGGAGGGTCCCCGAGTTTGCTGCCTCAAGTGGAATATACAGCGAGAAGCCTTAACTTGAAAGGAGGCTGGATTTCCTTGCAGTGTCTTGAATACAGGCTCGTCTTTCATCTCACAACAGGAAGGGATGTCTGAATCACCTGTGGAGACCTTAGAGAAAGCCCTAGGTCCCTGCCTTATTTTGAAGGAATGCCTCACATCCCGTTGACACATCAAAAGGCACACGGAGTTCACTGCTTCAAAATGTGACGATGCCTGACTCCTATTGAACATTGATAGGAGTCCCAAAATTACTCTGGCTACAGGAAAGGGTTCTTGGTGCCATGCCTCACCTCGAGAAGCATCCCTTTTGCCCTGCCAAGCCTCGAAGATTCCTGAGGTGTCTCTCATTACTAGACAGGAGTCCTGACATCACTGAATAAACACGTGTTTTGAAGGGCCATCCCCGCCATAACTCGAGAACATACCCCAGGTCCAGCCGCAACTCGAGCAAAAAGATGAGACTTCCCCTAGATTCGAGATGAGGTCTGATTCCCTGCAGTCCATGCAGAGCATTCCCGAGATCCCCATCAAGCAAGTCAGGAGCGTCGACTGGCTTAATGGATCTCGAGAGAGTCCCCAGGAACACTGTCACAAGTCAAGACTGACCCTGAGGTCACCGCAGCAATGCAAAGCAGCTCCAAGTGCCCCCCATCAACTCGAGATGAGGCCCGATTCTCCGGCATTGACTCCAGAGTCATCCCCCGTACCCCATTAAACACCACCAGTGGCTTGACTTCCTTCAGGAAACTCCAGAGATGCCCTGAGAACACTGTCCCAAGTCTAGAGGAATACGAACTTCAGCACAGCAACTCGAGGAATGCTCCGTGTACCCCAAATCGTTTCGAGGTGAGAGCTGATTCCCTGGCTTAGGCTCAAGACGTATGCCAAATTTCCTGAAGCACCTCAAGAGGAGGCTTCTCTCAGCAATAGGTATTTGGGAGGGACCCCGAGTTTGCTGCCTCAAGTGGAATATACAGCGAGAAGCCCTAACTTGAAAGGAAGACGGATTTTCTTGCAGTGGCTTGAATACAGGCTCGTCTTTCATCTCACAGCATGAAGGGATGTCTGAGTCCCCTGTGGAGACCTTAGAGAAAGTTCTAGGTCCCTGCCTCATTTTGATGGAATGCCTCACATCCCGTTGTCACCTCGAGAGGCACGCGGAGTTCAGTGCTTCAAAAGGTGACGATGCCTGACTCCTCTTGAATATTGATAGGAATCCCAAAATCCCTGTGGCTATTGGAAAGGTTCCTTGGGTGCCCTGCTTCACCTCGAGAAGCGTCCCTTGTGCTCTGCCAAGCCTCGAAGAGATTCCTGAGCTGTCCCTCGTTACTGGACAGGAGTCCTGACGTCACTGAATATACACGAGTTTTGAAGGGCCATCCCCGCCGTAACCCGAGTACATACCCCAGGTCCCCGCCACAACTCGAAAAAAACCTTGAGACTTCCTTCTGGATGCGAGATGAGGCCCGATTCACCTGCAGTGCATGCAAAGCAATTCCGTGATCCCCATCAAACAAGTCAGGACTTTTGACTTGCTTAATGGATCTCGAGAGAGTCCCCAAGAATACAGTCACATGTCTAGACGGATCCTGAAGTCACCCCATCAATGCAAAGCAGCACAATGTGCCCCAAATCAACTCGGGATGATGCCAGATTCCCCTGCATTGACTCCAGAGCCATCCCCAGTTCCCCATTAAACAAGACCACTGGATTGACTTCCTTCAGGCAACTCCAGAGATGCCCGGAGAACACTGTCCCAAGACTAGAGGAACACGAATTCAGCACAGCAACTCGAGGAATGCTCCGTGTACCACGAAACATCTCGAGATGAGAGCTGAATCCCTGGCTTAGGCTCAAGACGTATGCCAACTTTCCAGAAGCACCTCAAGAGGAGGCTTCTCTCAGCAATAGGTATGTTCGTGGGACCCCGAGTTTGCTGCCTCAAGTGGAATATACAGCGAGAAGCCCTAACTTGAAAGGAGGCCGGATTTCCTGCAGTGTCTTGAATACAGGCTCGTCTTTCATCTCACAGCATGAAGGGATGTCTGAATCCCCTGTGGAGACTTAGAGAAAGCCCTAGGTCCCTGCCTCATTTTGACAGAATGCCTCACATCCCGTTGTCACCTCGAGAGGCACGCGGAGTTCACTGCTTCAAAAGTTGACGATGCCTGACTCCTCTTGAATATTGATAGGAATCTCCAAATCCCTGTGGCTAATGGAAAGGTTCCTTGGGTGCCCTGCCTCACCTCGAGGAGCGTCCCTTGTGCCCTGCAAGCCTCGAAGAGATTCCTGAGCTGTCCCTCTTTACTGGACAGGAGTCCTGACGTCACTGAATAAACACGAGTTTTGAAGGTCCATCCCCGCCATAACCCGTGTACATACCCCAGGTCCCCACCGCAAGTCGAGAAAAACCACGAGACTTTCCCCTAGAGGCGAGATGAGGCCCGATTCTCCTGCAGTGCATGCAGAGCAATTCCGTGATCCCCATCAAACAAGTCAGGACCTTCGACTTGCTTAATGGATCTCGAGACAGTCCCCAAGAATACTGTCACATGTCTAGACGGATCCTGAGGTCACCCCATCAACGCAAAGCAGCACAATGTGCCCCAAATCAACGCGGGATGATGCCAGATTCCCCTGCATTGACTCCAGAGCCATCCCCTCGTTCCCCATTAAACACGACCAGTGGCTTGACTTCATTCAGGCAACTCCAGAGATGCCCCGAGAACACTGTCCGAAGTCTAGATTAACACCAACTTCAGCACAGCAACTCGAGGTATGCTCCATGTACCCCAAATCGTCTCAAGATGAGAGCTGATTCCCTGGCTTAGGCTCAAGACGTATGCCAACTTTCCAGAAGCACCTCAAGGGGAGGCTTCTCTCAGCAATAGGTATGTTGGAGGGACCCCAGTTTGCTGCCTCAAGTGGAATATACAGCGAGAAGCCCTAACTTGAAAGGAGGCCGGATTTCCTTGCAGTGTCTTGAATACAGGCTCGTCTTTCATCTCACAACCGGAAGGGATGTCTGAATCCCCTGTGGAGACCTTAGAGAAAGCCCTAGGTCCCTGCCTCATTTTGACGGAATGCCTCACATCCCGTTGACACCTCGAGAGGCACGCGTAGTTCACTGCTTCAAAAGGTGACAATGCCTGACTCCTCTGGAATATTTATTGGAATCCCAAAATCCCTATGGCTATTGGAAGGGTTCCTTGGGTGCCCTGCCTCACCTCGAGAAGCGTCCCTTGTGCCCTGCCAAGCCTCGAAGAGATTCCTGAGGTGTCTCTCGTTACTAGAGAGGAGTCCTGACCTCACTGAATAAACACGTGTTTTGAAGGGCCATCCCCACCATAACTCGAGAACATACCCCAGGTCTCGCCGCAACTCGAGAAAAACCATGAGACTTCCCCTAGATGAGAGATGAGGCCTTATTCCCTGCAGTCCATGCAGAGCATTCCCGTGATCCCCATCAAGCAAGTCAGGAGCTTCGACTTGCTTAATGGATCTCGAGAGAGTCCCCAGGAACACTGTCACAAGTCTAGACAGACCCTGAGGTCACCGCAGCAATGCAAATCAGATCCATGTGCCCCACATCAACTCGAGATGAGGCCCGATTCTCCGGTATTGACTCCAGAGCCATTCCCCATACCCCTTAAACACCACCAGTGGCTTGACTTCCTTCAGGCAACTCCAGAGATGCCCCGAGAACACTGTCCCAAGTCTAGAGGAACACCAACTTCAGCACAGCAACTCGAGGAATGCTCTGTGTACCCCAAATCGTTTCGAGGTGGGAGCTGATTCCCTGGCTTAGGCTCAAGACATATGCCAACTTTCCAGAAGCACCTCCAGAGGAGGCTTCTCTCAGCAATAGGTATGTTCGTGGGACCCCGAGTTTGCTGCCTCAAGTGGAATATACAGCGAGAAGCCTTAACTTGAAAGGAGGCCGGTTTTCCTTGCAGTGGCTTGAATACAGGCTCGTCTTCCATCTCACAGCATGAAGGGATGTCTGAATCCCCTGTGGAGACCTTAGAGAAAGCTCTAGGTCCCTGCCTCATTTTGACGGAATGCCTCACATCCCGTTGTCACCTCGAGAGGCACGCGGAGTTCACTGCTTCAAAAGGTGACGATGCCTGACTCCTCTTGAATATTGACAGGAATCCCAAAATCCCTGTTCCTTGGGTGCCCTGCCTCACCTCGAGAAGCGTCCCTTGTGCCCTGCCAAGCCTCGAAGAGATTCCTGAGGTGTCTCTCGTTACTAGAGAGGAGTCCTGACCTCACTGAATAAACACGTGTTTTGAAGGGCCATCCCCACCATAACTCGAGAACATACCCCAGGTCTCGCCGCAACTCGAGAAAAACCATGAGACTTCCCCTAGATGAGAGATGAGGCCTTATTCCCTGCAGTCCATGCAGAGCATTCCCGTGATCCCCATCAAGCAAGTCAGGAGCTTCGACTTGTTTAATCGAACTCGCGAATGTCCCCAGGAACACTGTCAAAAGTCTAGACAGAACCTGAGGTCACCCCAGCAATGCAAAGCAGCTCCAAGTACCACACATCAACTCGAGATGAGGCCCGATTCCCCTGCATTGTCTCCAGAGCCATCCCCCGTACCCCATTAAACACCACCAGTGGCTTGACTTCCTTCAGGCAACTCCAGAGATGCCCTGAGAACACTGTCCCAAGTCTAGAGGAATACGAACTTCAGCACAGCAACTCGAAGAATGCTCCGTGTACCCCAAATCGTCTCAAGATGAGAGCTGATTCCCTGGCTTAGGCTCAAGACGTATGCCAACTTTCCAGAAGCACCTCAAGAGGAGGCTTCTCTCAGCAATAGGTATGTTGGAGGGACCCCCAGTTTGCTGCCTCAAGTGGAATATACAGCGAGAAGCCCTAACTTGAAAGGAGGCCGGATTTCCTTGCAGTGTCTTGAATACAGGCTCGTCTTTCATCTCACACGCGGAAAGGATGCCTGAATCCCCTGTGGAGACCTTAGATAAAGCCCTAGATCTCTGCCTCATTTTGACGGAATGCCTCACATCCCGTTGACAACTCAAGAGGCACACGGAGTTCACTGCTTCAAAATTTGACGATGCCTGACTCCTCCTGAATTTTGATAGGAATCCCAAAATCACTGTGGCTACAGGAAAGGGTTCTTGGGTGCCCTGCCTCACTTCGGGAAGCATCCCTTTTGCCCTGCCAAGCTTCGAAGAGATTCCTGAGGTGTCTCTCGTTACTAGACAGGAGTCCTGACGTCACTGAATAAACACGTGTTTTGAAGGGCCATCCCCGCCATAACTCGAGAACATACCCCAGGTCCGGCCGCAACTCGAGCAAAACGAAGAGACTTCCCCTAGATGAGAGATGAGGTCTGATTCCCTGCAGTCCATGCAGAGCAGGCCCGTGATCCCCATCAAGCAAGTCAGGAGCTTCGACTTGCTTAATGGATCTCGAGAGAGTCACCAGGAACACTGTCACAAGTCTAGACAGACCCTGAGGTCACCGCAGCAATGCAAAGCAGCTCCATGTGCCCCACATAAACTCGAGATGAGGCCCGATTCTCCGGCATTGACTCCAGAGCCATTCCCCATACCCCATTAAACACCACCAGTGGCTTGACTTCCTTCAGGCAACTCCAGAGATGCCCCGAGAACACTGTCCCAAGTCTAGAGGAACACCAACTTCAGCACAGCAACTCGAGGAAAGCTCCGTGTACCCCAAATCGTTTCGAGGTGAGAGCTCATTCCCTGGCTTAGGCTCAAGACATATGCCAACTTTCAGAAGCAACTCCAGAGGAGGCTTCTCTCAGCAATAGGTATGTTCGTGGGACCCCGAGTTTGCTGCCTCAAGTGGAATATACAGCGAGAAGCCTTAACTTGAAAGGAGGCCGGTTTTCCTTGCAGTGGCTTGAATACAGGCTCGTCTTTCATCTCACAGCATGAAGGGATGTCTGAACCTCTGTGGAGACGTTAGAGAAAGCTCTAGGTCCCTGCCTCATTTTGACGGAATGCCTCACATCCCGTTGTCACCTCGAGAGGCACGCGGAGTTCACTGCTTCAAAAGGTAACGATGCCTGACTCCTCTTGAATATTGACAGGAATCCCAAAATCCCTGTGGCTATTGGAAAGGTTCCTTGGGTGCCCTGCCTCACTTCGAGAAGCGTCCCTTGTGCCCTGCCAAGCCTCGAAGAGATTCCTGAGCTGTCCCTCGTTATTGGATAGGAGTCCTGACGTCACTGAATAAACACGAGTTTTGAAGGTTCATCCCTGCCGTAAACGGACTACATACCCTAGGTCCCCGCCACAAGTCGAGAAAAACCATGAGACTTTCCCCTATAGGCGAGATGAGGCCCGATTTTCCTGCAGTGCATGCAGAGCAATTCCGTGATCCCCATCAAACAAGTCAGGACTTTCGACTTGCTTAATGGATCTCGAGAGAGTCCCCAAGAATACAGTCACATGTCTAGACGGATCCTCAAGTCACCCCATCAATGCAAAGCAGCACAATGTGCCCCAAATCAACTCGGGATGATGCCAGATTCCCCTGCAATGACTCCAGAGCCATCCCCAGTTCCCCATTAAACAAGACCACTGGATTGACTTCCTTCAGGCAACTCCAGAGATGCCCGGAGAACACTGTCCCAAGACTAGAGGAACACGAACTTCAGCACAGCAACTTGAGGAATGCTCCGTGTACCACGAAACATCTCGAGATGAGAGCTGAATCCCTGGCTTAGGCTCAAGACGTATGCCAACTTTCCAGAAGCACCTCAAGAGGAGGCTTCTCTCAGCAATAGGTATGTTCGTGGGACCCCGAGTTTGCTGCCTCAAGTGGAATATACAGCGAGAAGCCATAACTTGAAAGGAGGCCGGATTTCCTTGCAGTGGCTTGAATACAGGCTCGTCTTTCATCTCACAGCATGAAGGGATGTCTGAATCCCCTGTGGAGACTTAGAGAAAGCCCTAGGTCCCTGCCTCATTTTGACAGAATGCCTCACATCCCGTTGTCACCTCGAGAGGCACGCGGAGTTCACTGCTTCAAAAGTTGACGATGCCTGACTCCTCTTGAATATTGATAGGAATCTCCAAATCCCTGTGGCTAATGGAAAGGTTCCTTGGGTGCCCTGCCTCACCTCGAGGAGCGTCCCTTGTGCCCTGCAAGCCTCGAAGAGATTCCTGAGCTGTCCCTCTTTACTGGACAGGAGTCCTGACGTCACTGAATAAACACGAGTTTTGAAGGTCCATCCCCGCCATAACCCGTGTACATACCCCAGGTCCCCACCGCAAGTCGAGAAAAACCATGAGACTTTCCCCTAGAGGCGAGATGAGGCCCGATTCTCCTGCAGTGCATGCAGAGCAATTCCGTGATCCCCATCAAACAAGTCAAGACCTTCGACTTGCTTAATGGATCTCGAGACAGGCCCCAAGAATACTGTCACAGGTCTAGACGGATCCTGAGGTCACCCCATCAACGCAAAGCAGCACAATGTGCCCCAAATCAACGCGGGATGATGCCAGATTCCCCTGCATTGACTCCAGAGCCATCACCTCGTTCCCCATTAAACACGACCAGTGGCTTGACTTCATTCAGGCAACTCCAGAGATGCCCCGAGAACACTGTCCCAAGTCTAGATTAACACCAACTTCAGCACAGCAACTCGAGGTATGCTCCATGTACCCCAAATCGTCTCGAGATGAGAGCTGATTCCCTGGCTTAGGCTCAAGATGTATGCCAACTTTCCAGAAGCACCTCAAGGGGAGGCTTCTCTCAGCAATAGGTATGTTGGAGGGACCCCCAGTTTGCTGCCTCAAGTGGAATATACAGCGAGAAGCCCTAACTTGAAAGGAGGCCGGATTTCCTTGCAGTGTCTTGAATACAGGCTCGTCTTTCATCTCACAACCGGAAGGGATGTCTGAATCCCCTGTGGAGACCTTAGAGAAAGCCCTAGGTCCCTGCCTCATTTTGACGGAATGCCTCACATCCCGTTGACACCTCGAGAGGCACACGGAGTTCACTGCTTCAAAATGTGACGATGCCTGTCTACTCCTGAACATTGATAGGAATCCCAAAATCACTGTGGCTACAGGAAAGGGTTTCTTGGGTGCCCTGCCTCACTTCGAGAAGCATTCCTTTTGCCCTGCCAAGCCTCGAAGAGATTCCTGAGGTGTCTCTCGTTACTAGACAGGAGTCCTGACCTCACTGAATAAACACGTGTTTTGAATGGCCATCCCCGCCATAACTCGAGAACATACCCCAGGTCCCGGCGCAACTCGAGCAAAAAGATGAGACTTCCCCTAGATGCGAGATGAGGTCTGATTCAGTGCAGTCCATGCAGAGCAGTCCCGTGATCACCATCAAGCAAGTTAGGAGCTTCGACTGGCTTAATGGATCTCGAGAGAGTCCCCAGTAACACTGTCACAAGTCTAGACAGACCCTGAGGTCACCCCAGCAATGCAAAGCAGCTTCAAGTGCCCCACATCAACTCGAGATGAGGCCCGATTCTCCGGCATTGACTCCAGAGCCATCCCCCGTACCCCATTAAACACCACCAGTGGCTTGACTTCCTTCAGGCAACTCCAGAGATGCCCTGAGAACACTGTCCCAAGTCTAGAGGAATACGAACTTCAGCACAGCAACTCGAGGAATGCTCCGTGTACACCAAATCGTTTCGAGGTGAGAGCTGATTCCCTGGCTTAGGCTCAAGACGTATGCCAACTTTCCAGAAGCACCTCAAGAGGAGGCTTCTCTCAGCAATCGGTATGTGGGAGGGACCCCGAGTTTGCTGCCTCAAGTGGATTATACAGCGAGAAGACCTAACTTGAAAGGAGGCCGGATTTCCTTGCAGTGTCTTGAATACAGGCTCGTCTTTCATCTCACAACAGGAAGGGATGTCTGAATCCCCTGTGGAGACCTTAGAGAAAGCCCTAGGTCCCTGCCTTATTTTGACGGAATGCCTCACATCCCGTTGACACCACGAGAGGCACGCGGAGTTCACTGCTTCAAAATGTGACGATGCCTGACTCCTCTTGAATATTGATAGGAATCCCAAAATCCCTGTGGCTATTGGAAAGGTTCCTTGGGTGCCCTGCCTCACCTCGAGAAGCGTCCCTTGTGCCCTGCCAAGCCTCGAAGAGATTCCTGAGCTGTCCCTCGTTACTAGACAGGAGTCCTGACGTCATTGAATAAACACGTGTTTTGAAGGGCCATCCCCGCCATAACTCGAGAACATACCCCAGGTCCCGCCGCAACTCGAGAAAAACCATGAGACTTCCCCTAGATGCGAGATGAGGCCTTATTCCCTGCAGTCCATGCAGAGCATTCCCGTGATCCCCATCAAGCAAGTCAGGAGCTTCGACTTGCTTAATCGAACTCGCGAAAGTCCCCAGGAACACTTTCACAAGTCTAGACAGACCCTGAGGTCATCCCAGCAATGCAAAGCAGCTCGAAGTCCCCCACATCAACACGAGATGAGGCCCGATTCCCCTGCATTGACTCCAGAGCCATCCCCCGTTCCCCATTAAACACCACGAGTGGCTTGACTTCCTTCATGCAACTCCAGAGTTGCCCCGAGAACACTGTCCCAAGTCTAGAGGAATACGAACTTAAGCACAGCAACTCCAGGAATGCTCCGTGTACCCCAAATCTTCTCGAGATGAGAGCTGATACCTGGCTTAGGCTCAAGACGTATGCCAACTTTCCAGAAGCACCACAAGAGGACGCTTCTCTCAGCAATAGGTTTGTTCGTGGGACCCCGAGTTTGCTGCCTCAAGTGGAATATACAGCGAGAAGCCCTAACTTGAAAGGAGGCCGGATTTCCTTGCAGTGTCTTTTATACAGGCTCGTCTTTCATCTCACAACAGGAAGGGGATGTCTGAATCCCCTGTGAAGACCTTAGAGAAAGCCCTAGGTCCCTGCCTCATTTGGACGGAATGCCTCACATCCTGTTGTCACCTCGAGAGGCACGCGGAGTTCACTGCTTCAAAAGGTGACGATGCCTGACTCCTCTTGAATATTTATTGGAATCCCAAAATCCCTATGGCTATTGGAAAGGTTCCTTGGGTGCCCTGCCTCACCTCGAGAAGCGTCCCTTGTGCCCTGCCAAGCCTCGAAGAGATTCCTGTGGTGTCTCTCGTTACTAGACAGGAGTCCTGATGTCACTGAATAAACACGTGTTTTGAAGGGCCATCCCCACCTTAACTCGAGAACATACCCCAGGTCTCGCCGCAACTCGAGAAAAACCATGAGACTTCCCCTAGATGCGAGATGAGGCCTTATTCCCTGCAGTCCATGCAGAGCATTCCCGTGATGCCCATCAAGCAAGTCAGGAGCTTCGACTTGCTTAATCGAACTGGCGAAAGTCCCCAGGAACACTGTCAAAAGTCTAGACAGAACCTGAGGTCACCCCAGCAATGCAAAGCAGCTCCAAGTACCACACATCAACTCGAGATGAGGCCCGATTCCCCTGCATTGACTCCAGAGCCATCCCCCGTACCCCATTAAACACCACCAGTGGCTTGACTTCCTTCAGGCAACTCCAGAGATGCCCTGAGAAGACTGTCCCAAGTCTAGAGAAATACGAACTTCAGCACAGCAACTCGAAGAATGCTCCGTGTACCCCAAATCGTCTCGAGATGAGAGCTGATTCCCTGGCTTAGGCTCAAGACGTATGCCAACTTTCCAGAAGCACCTCAAGAGGAGGCTTCTCTCAGCAATAGGTATGTTGGAGGGACCCCCAGTTTGCTGCCTCAAGTGGAATATACAGCGAGAAGCCCTAACTTGAAAGGAGGCCGGATTTCCTTGCAGTGTCTTGAATACAGGCTCGTCTTTCATCTCACACCCGGAAAGGATGCCTGAATCCCCTGTGGAGACCTTAGAGAAAGCCCTAGGTCTCTGCCTCATTTTGACGGAATGCCTCACATCCCGTTGACATGTCGAGAGGCACACGGAGTTCACTGCTTCAAAATGTGACGATGTCTGACTACTCCTGAATTTTGATAGGAATCCCAAAATCACTGTGGCTACAGGAAAGGGTTCTTGGGTGCCCTGCCTCACCTCGGGAAGCATCCCTTTTGCCCTGCCAAGCTTCGAAGAGATTCCTGAGGTGTCTCTCGTTACTAGACAGGAGTCCTGACGTCACTGAATAAACACGTGTTTTGAAGGGCCATCCCCGCCATAACTCGAGAACATACCCCAGGTCCGGCCGCAACTCGAGCAAAACGAAGAGACTTCCCCTAGATGCGAGATGAGGTCTGATTCCCTGCAGTCCATGCAGAGCAGGCCCGTGATCCCCATCAAGCAAGTCAGGAGCTTCGACTTGCTTAATGGATCTCGAGAGAGTCCCCAGGAACACTGTCACAAGTCTAGACAGACCCTGAGGTCACCCCAGCAATGCAAAGCAGATCCATGTGCCCCACATCAACTCGAGATGAGGCCCGATTCTCCGGCATTGACTCCAGAGCCATTCCCCATACCCCTTCAACACCACCAGTGGCTTGACTTCCTTCAGGCAACTCCAGAGATGCCCCGAGAACACTGTCCCAAGTCTAGAGGAACACCAACTTCAGCACAGCAACTCGAGGAATGCTCTGTGTACCCCAAATCGTTTCGAGGTGGGAGCTGATTCCCGGCTTAGGCTCAAGACATATGCCAACTTTCCAAAAGCACCTCCAGAGGAGGCTTCTCTCAGCAATAGGTATGTTCGTGGGACCCCGAATTTGCTGCCTCAAGTGGAATATACAGCGAGAAGCCCTAACTTGAAAGGAGGCCGGATTTCCTTGCAGTGGCTTGAATACAGGCTCGTCTTCCATCTCACAGCATGAAGGGATGTCTGAATCCCCTGTGGAGACCTTAGAGAAAGCTCTAGGTCCCTGCCTCATTTTGACGGAATGCCTCACATCCCGTTGTCACCTCGAGAGGCACGCGGAGTTCACTGCTTCAAAAGGTGACGATGCCTGACTCCTCTTGAATATTGACAGGAATCCCAAAATCCCTGTGGCTATTGGAAAGTTTCCTTGGCTGCCCTGCCTCACCTCGAGAAGCGTCCCTTGTGCCCTGCCAAGCCTCGAAGAGATTCCTGAGCTGTCCCTCGTTATTGAACAGGAGTCCTGACGTCACTGAATAAACACGAGTTTTGAAGGGTCATCCCCGCCGTAACCGGAGTACATACCCTAGGTCCCCGCCACAAGTCGAGAAAAACCATGAGACTTTCCCCTATAGGCGAGATGAGGCCCGATTTTCCTGCAGTGCATGCAGAGCAATTCCATGATCCCCATCAAACAAGTCAGGACATTCGACTTGCTTAATGGATCTCGAGACAGTCTCCAAGAATACTGTCACATGTCTAGACGGATCCTGAGGTCACCCCATCAACGCAAAGCAGCACAATGTGCCCCAAATCAACTCGGGATGATGCCAGATTCCCCTGCATTGACTCCAGAGCCATCCCCTCGTTCCCCATTAAACACGACCAGTGGCTTGACTTCCTTCAGGCAACTCCAGAGATGCCCCGAGAACACTGTCCCAAGTCTAGATTAACACCAACTTCAGCACAGCAACTCGAGGTATGCTCCATGTACCCCAAATCATCTCGAGATGAGAGCTGATTCCCTGGCTTAGGCTCAAGACGTATGCCAACTTTCCAGAAGCACCTCAAGGGGAGGCTTCTCTCAGCAATAAGTATGTTGGAGGGACCCCCAGTTTGCTGCCTCAAGTGGAATATACAGCGAGAAGCCCTAACTTGAAAGGAGGCCGGATTTCCTTGCAGTGTCTTGAATACAGGCTCGTCTTTCATCTCACAACCGGAAGGGATGTCTGAATCCCCTGTGGAGACCTTAGAGAAAGCCCTAGGTCCCTGCCTCATTTTGACGGAATGCCTCACATCCCGTTGACACCTCGAGAGGCACACGGAGTTCACTGCTTCAAAATGTGACGATGCCTGTCTACTCCTGAACATTGATAGGAATCCCAAAATCACTGTGGCTACAGGAAAGGGTTCTTGGGTGCCCTGCCTCACTTCGAGAAGCATCCCTTTTGCCCTGCCAAGCCTCGAAGAGATTCCTGAGGTGTCTCTCGTTACTAGACAGGAGTCCTGACGTCACTGAATAAACACGTGTTTTGAAGGGCCATCCCCGCCATAACTCGATAACATACCCCAGGTCCCGCCGCAATTCGAGCAAAACGATGAGACTTCCCCTAGATGCGAGATGAGGTCTGATTCCCTGCAGTCCATGCAGAGCAGTCCCGTGATCCCCATCAAGCAAGTCAAGACCTTCGACTTGCTTAATGGATCTCGAGAGAGTCACCAGGAACACTGTCACAAGTCTAGACAGACACTGAGGTAACCCCAGTAATGCAAAGCAGCTCCAAGTGCCCCACATCAACTCGAGATGACGCCCGATTCCCTGCATTGACTCCAGAGCTATCCCCCGTACCCCATTAAACACCACCAGTGGCTTGACTTCCTTCAGGCAACTACAGAGATGCCCCGAGAACACTGTCCCAAGTCTAGAGGAACACCAACTTCAGCACAGCAACTCGAGGAAAGCTCCGTGTACCCCAAATCGTTTCGAGGTGAGAGCTCATTCCCTGGCTTAGGCTCAAGACATATGCCAACTTTCCAGAAGCAACTCCAGAGGAGGCTTCTCTCAGCAATAGGTATGTTCGTGGGACCCCGAGTTTGCTGCCTCAAGTGGAATATACAGCGAGAAGCCTTAACTTGAAAGGAGGCCGGTTTTCCTTGCAGTGGCTTGAATACAGGCTCGTCTTTCATCTCACAGCATGAAGGGATGTCTGAACCCCTGTGGAGACCTTAGAGAAAGCTCTAGGTCCCTGCCTCATTTTGACGGAATGCCTCACATCCCGTTGTCACCTCGAGAGGCACGCGGAGTTCACTGCTTCAAAAGGTAACAATGCCTGACTCCTCTTGAATATTGACAGGAATCCCAAAATCCCTGTGGCTATTGGAAAGGTTCCTTGGGTGCCCTGCCTCACCTCGAGAAGCGTCCCTTGTGCCCTGCCAAGCCTCGAAGAGATTCCTGAGCTGTCCCTCGTTACTGGACAGGAATGCTGACGTCACTGAATAAACACGAGTTTTGAAGGGTCATCCCTGCCGTAACCGGACTACATACCCTAGGTCCCCGCCGCAAGTCGAGAAAAACCCTGAGACTTTCCCCTATAGGCGAGATGAGGCCCGATTTTCCTGCAGTGCATGCAGAGCAATTCCGTGATCCCCATCAAACAAGTCAGGACTTTCGACTTGCTTAATGGATCTCGAGAGAGTCCCCAAGAATACAGTCACATGTCTAGACGGATCCTGAAGTCACCCCATCAATGCAAAGCAGCACAATGTGCCCCAAATCAACTCGGGATGATGCCAGATTCCCCTGCAATGACTCCAGAGCCATTCCCAGTTCCCCATTAAACAAGACCACTGGATTGACTTCCTTCAGGCAACTCCAGAGATGCCCGGAGAACACTGTCCCAAGACTAGAGGAACACGAACTTCAGCACAGCAACTTGAGGAATGCTCCGTGTACCACGAAACATCTCGAGATGAGAGCTGAATCCCTGGCTTAGGCTCAAGACGTATGCCAACTTTCCAGAAGCACCTCAAGAGGAGGCTTCTCTCAGCAATAGGTATGTTCGTGGGACCCCGAGTTTGCTGCCTCAAGTGGAATATACAGCGAGAAGCCCTAACTTGAAAGGAGGCCGGATTTCCTTGCAGTGGCTTGAATACAGGCTCGTCTTTCATCTCACAGCATGAAGGGATGTCTGAATCCCCTGTGGAGACTTAGAGAAAGCCCTAGGTCCCTGCCTCATTTTGACAGAATGCCTCACATCCCGTTGTCACCTCGAGAGGCACACGGAGTTCACTGCTTCAAAAGTTGACGATGCCTGACTCCTCTTGAATATTGATAGGAATCTCCAAATCCCTGTGGCTAATGGAAAGGTTCCTTGGGTGCCCTGCCTCACCTCGAGGAGCGTCCCTTGTGCCCTGCAAGCATCGAAGAGATTCCTGAGCTGTCCCTCTTTACTGGACAGGAGTCCTGACGTCACTGAATAAACACGAGTTTTGAAGGTACATCCCCGCCATAACCCGTGTACATACCCCAGGTCCCCACCGCAAGTCGAGAAAAACCATGAGACTTTCCCCTAGAGGCGAGATGAGGCCCGATTCTCCTGCAGTGCATGCAGAGCAATTCCGTGATCCCCATCAAACAAGTCAGGACCTTCGACTTGCTTAATGGATCTCGAGACAGTCCCCAAGAATACTGTCACATGTCTAGACGGATCCTGAGGTCACCCCATCAACGCAAAGCAGCACAATGTGCCCCAAATCAACGCGGGATGATGCCAGATTCCCCTGCATTGACTCCAGAGCCATCACCTCGTTCCCCATTAAACACGACCAGTGGCTTGACTTCATTCAGGCAACTCCAGAGATGCCCCGAGAACACTGTCCCAAGTCTAGATTAACACCAACTTCAGCACAGCAACTCGAGGTATGCTCCATGTACCCCAAATCGTCTCGAGATGAGAGCTGATTCCCTGGCTTAGGCTCAAGACGTATGCCAACTTTCCAGAAGCACCTCAAGGGGAGGCTTCTCTCAGCAATAGGTATGTTGGAGGGACCCCCAGTTTGCTGCCTCAAGTGGAATATACAGCGAGAAGCCCTAACTTGAAAGGAGGCCGGATTTCCTTGCAGTGTCTTGAATACAGGCTCGTCTTTCATCTCACAACCGGAAGGGATGTCTGAATCCCCTGTGGAGACCTTAGAGAAAGCCCTAGGTCCCTGCCTCATTTTGACGGAATGCCTCACATCCCGTTGACACCTCGAGAGGCACACGGAGTTCACTGCTTCAAAATGTGACGATGCCTGTCTACTCCTGAACATTGATAGGAATCCCAAAATCACTGTGGCTACAGGAAAGGGTTTCTTGGGTGCCCTGCCTCACTTCGAGAAGCATTCCTTTTGCCCTGCCAAGCCTCGAAGAGATTCCTGAGGTGTCTCTCGTTACTAGACAGGAGTCCTGACCTCACTGAATAAACACGTGTTTTGAAGGGCCATCCCCGCCATAACTCGAGAACATACCCCAGGTCCCGGCGCAACTCGAGCAAAAAGATGAGACTTCCCCTAGATGCGAGATGAGGTCTGATTCAGTGCAGTCCATGCAGAGCAGTCCCGTGATCACCATCAAGCAAGTTAGGAGCTTCGACTGGCTTAATGGATCTCGAGAGAGTCCCCAGTAACACTGTCACAAGTCTAGACAGACCCTGAGGTCACCCCAGCAATGCAAAGCAGCTTCAAGTGCCCCACATCAACTCGAGATGAGGCCCGATTCTCCGGCATTGACTCCAGAGCCATCCCCCGTACCCCATTAAACACCACCAGTGGCTTGACTTCCTTCAGGCAACTCCAGAGATGCCCTGAGAACACTGTCCCAAGTCTAGAGGAATACGAACTTCAGCACAGCAACTCGAGGAATGCTCCGTGTACACCAAATCGTTTCGAGGTGAGAGCTGATTCCCTGGCTTAGGCTCAAGACGTATGCCAACTTTCCAGAAGCACCTCAAGAGGAGGCTTCTCTCAGCAATCGGTATGTGGGAGGGACCCCGAGTTTGCTGCCTCAAGTGGATTATACAGCGAGAAGACCTAACTTGAAAGGAGGCCGGATTTCCTTGCAGTGTCTTGAATACAGGCTCGTCTTTCATCTCACAACAGGAAGGGATGTCTGAATCCCCAGTGGAGACCTTAGAGAAAGCCCTAGGTCCCTGCCTTATTTTGACGGAATGCCTCACATCCCGTTGACACCACGAGAGGCACGCGGAGTTCACTGCTTCAAAAGGTGACGATGCCTGACTCCTCTTGAATATTGATAGGAATCCCAAAATCCCTGTGGCTATTGGAAAGGTTCCTTGGGTGCCCTGCCTCACCTCGAGAAGCGTCCCTTGTGCCCTGCCAAGCCTCGAAGAGATTCCTGAGCTGTCCCTCGTTACTAGACAGGAGTCCTGACGTCATTGAATAAACACGTGTTTTGAAGGGCCATCCCCGCCATAACTCGAGAACATACCCCAGGTCCCGCCGCAACTCGAGAAAAACCATGAGACTTCCCCTAGATGCGAGATGAGGCCTTATTCCCTGCAGTCCATGCAGAGCATTCCCGTGATCCCCATCAAGCAAGTCAGGAGCTTCGACTTGCTTAATCGAACTCGCGAAAGTCCCCAGGAACACTTTCACAAGTCTAGACAGACCCTGAGGTCATCCCAGCAATGCAAAGCAGCTCGAAGTCCCCCACATCAACACGAGATGAGGCCCGATTCCCCTGCATTGACTCCAGAGCCATCCCCCGTTCCCCATTAAACACCACGAGTGGCTTGACTTCCTTCATGCAACTCCAGAGTTGCCCCGAGAACACTGTCCCAAGTCTAGAGGAATACGAACTTAAGCACAGCAACTCCAGGAATGCTCCGTGTACCCCAAATCTTCTCGAGATGAGAGCTGATACCCTGGCTTAGGCTCAAGACGTATGCCAACTTTCCAGAAGCACCACAAGAGGACGCTTCTCTCAGCAATAGGTTTGTTCGTGGGACCCCGAGTTTGCTGCCTCAAGTGGAATATACAGCGAGAAGCCCTAACTTGAAAGGAGGCCGGATTTCTTGCAGTGTCTTTTATACAGGCTCGTCTTTCATCTCACAACAGGAAGGGGATGTCTGAATCCCCTGTGAAGACCTTAGAGAAAGCCCTAGGTCCCTGCCTCATTTGGACGGAATGCCTCACATCCTGTTGTCACCTCGAGAGGCACGCGGAGTTCACTGCTTCAAAAGGTGACGATGCCTGACTCCTCTTGAATATTTATTGGAATCCCAAAATCCCTATGGCTATTGGAAAGGTTCCTTGGGTGCCCTGCCTCACCTCGAGAAGCGTCCCTTGTGCCCTGCCAAGCCTCGAAGAGATTCCTGAGGTGTCTCTCGTTACTAGACAGGAGTCCTGATGTCACTGAATAAACACGTGTTTTGAAGGGCCATCCCCACCTTAACTCGAGAACATACCCCATGTCTCGCCGCAACTCGAGAAAAACCATGAGACTTCCCCTAGATGCGAGATGAGGCCTTATTCCCTGCAGTCCATGCAGAGCATTCCCGTGATGCCCATCAAGCAAGTCAGGAGCTTCGACTTGCTTAATCGAACTGGCTAAAGTCCCCAGGAACACTGTCAAAAGTCTAGACAGAACCTGAGGTCACCCCAGCAATGCAAAGCAGCTCCAAGTACCACACATCAACTCGAGATGAGGCCCGATTCCCCTGCATTGACTCCAGAGCCATCCCCCGTACCCCATTAAACAACACCAGTGGCTTGACTTCCTTCAGGCAACTCCAGAGATGCCCTGAGAACACTGTCCCAAGTCTAGAGAAATACGAACTTCAGCACAGCAACTCGAAGAATGCTCCGTGTACCCCAAATCGTCTCGAGATGAGAGCTGATTCCCTGGCTTAGGCTCAAGACGTATGCCAACTTTCCAGAAGCACCTCAAGAGGAGGCTTCTCTCAGCAATAGGTATGTTGGAGGGACCCCCAGTTTGCTGCCTCAAGTGGAATATACAGCGAGAAGCCCTAACTTGAAAGGAGGCCGGATTTCCTTGCAGTGTCTTGAATACAGGCTCGTCTTTCATCTCACACCCGGAAAGGATGCCTGAATCCCCTGTGGAGACCTTAGAGAAAGCCCTAGGTCTCTGCCTCATTTTGACGGAATGCCTCACATCCCGTTGACATGTCGAGAGGCACACGGAGTTCACTGCTTCAAAATGTGACGATGTCTGACTCCTATTGAACATTGATAGGAATCCCAAAATCACTCTGGCTACAGGAAAGGGTTCTTGGTGCCCTGCCTCACCTCGAGAAGCATCCCTTTTGCCCTGCCAAGCCACGAAGAGATTCCTGAGGTGACTCTCATTACTAGACAGGAGTCCTGACGTCACTGAATAAACACGTGTTTTGAAGGGCCATCCCCGCCATAACTCGAGAACATAACCCAGGTCCCGCCGCAACTCGAGAAAAACGATGAGACTTCCCCTAGATGCGAGATGAGGTCTGATTCCCTGCAGTCCATGCAGAGCAGTCCCGTGATCCCCATCAAGCAAGTCAGGAGCGTCGACTGGCTTAATGGATCTCGAGAGAGTCCCCAGGAACACTGTCACAAGTCTACACAGACCCTGAGGTCACCCCAGCAATGCAAAGCAGCTCCAAGTGCCCCACATCAACTCGAGATGAGGCCCGATTCTCCGGCATTGACTCCAGAGCCATCCCCCGTACCCCATTAAACACCACCAGTGGCTTGACTTCCTTCAGGCAATTCCAGAGATGCCCTGAGAACACTGTCCAAAGTCTAGAGGAATACGAACTTCAGCACAGCAACTCGAGGAATGCTCCGTGTACCCCAAATCGTTTCGAGGTGAGAGGTGATTCCCTGGCTTAGGTTGAAAATGTATGCCAACTTTCCAGAAGCACCTCAAGAGGAGGCTTCTCTCAGCAATAGGTATTTGGGTGGGACCCCGAGTTTGCTGCCTCAAGTGGAATATACAGCGAGAAGCCCTAACTTGAAAGGAGGATGGATTTCCTTGCAGTGGCTTGAATACAGGCTCGTCTTTCATCTCACAGCATGAAGGGATGTCTGAATCCCCTGTGGAGACCTTAGAGAAAGCTCTAGGTCCCTGCCTCCTTTTGACGGAATGCCTCTCATCCCGTTGTCACCTCGAGAGGCACGCGGAGTTCAGTGCTTCAAAAGGTGACGATGCCTGACTCCTCTTGAATATTGATAGGAATCCCAAAATCCCTGTGGCTATTGGAAAGGTTACTTGGGTGCCCTGCCTCACCTCGAGAAGCGTCTCTTGTGCACTGCCAAGCCTCGAAGAGATACCTGAGCTGTCCCTCGTTACTGGACAGGAGTCCTGACGTCACTGAATAAACACGAGTTTTGAAGGGCCATCCCCGCCATAACCCGAGTACATACCGCAGGTCCCCGCCACAAGTCGAGAAAAACCATGAGACTTTCCCCTAGAGGCGAGATGAGGCCCGATTCTCCTGCAGTGCATGCAGAGCAATTCCGTGATCCCCATCAAACAAGTCAGGACTTTCGACTTGCTTAATGGATCTCGAGACAGTCCCCAAGAATACTGTCACATGTCTAGACGGATCCTGAGGACACCCCATCAACGCAAAGCAGCACAATGTGCCCCAAATCAACTCGGGATGATGCCAGATTCCCCTGCTTTGACTCCAGAGCCATCTTCCATTCCCCATTAAACACGACCAGTGGCTTGACTTCCTTCAGGCAACTCCAGAGATGCCCCAAGAACACTGTCCCAAGTCTAGAGGAACACCAACTTCAGCACAGCAACTCGAGGAATGCTCCGTGTACCCCAAATCCTCTCGAGATGAGAGCTGATTCCCTGGCTTAGGCTCAAGACGTATGCCAACTTTCCAGAAGCACCTCAAGATGAGGCTTCTCTCAGCAATAGGTATGTTGGAGGGATCCCCAGTTTGCATCTTCAAGTGGAATATACAGCGAGAAGCCCTAACTTGAAAGGAGGACGGATTTCCTTGCAGTGTCTTGAATACAGGCTCGTCTTTCATCTCACAACCGGAAGGGATGTCTGAATCCCCTGTGGAGACGTTAGAGAAAGCCCTAGGTCCCTGCCTCATTTTGAAGGAATGCCTCACATCCCGTTGTCACCTCGAGAGGCACGCGGAGTTCAATGCTTCAAAAGGTGACGATGCCTGACTCCTCTTTTATATTGATTGGAATCCCAAAATCCCTATGGCTACTGGAAAGGTTCCTTGGGTGCCCTGTCTCTCCTCGAGAAGCGTCCCTTGTGCCCTGCCAAGCCTTGAAGAGATTCCTGAGGTGTCTCTCGTTACTAGACAGGAGTCCTGACGTCACTGAATAAACACGTGTTTTGAAGGGCCATCCCCACCATAACTCGAGAACATACCCCAGGTCCCGCCGCAACTCGAGAAAAACCATGAGACTTCCCCTAGATGCGAGATGAGGCCTTATTCCCTGCAGTCCATGCAGAGCATTCCCGTGATCCCCATCAAGCAAGTCAGGAGCTTCGACTTGGTTAATCGAACTCGCGAAAGTCCCCAGGAACACTGTCACAAGTCTAGACAGACCCTGAGGTCACCCCAGCAATGCAAAGCAGCTCCAAGTACACCACATCAACTCGAGATCAGGCCCAATTCCCCTGCATTGACTCCAGAGCCATCCCCCGTACCCCATTAAACACCACCAGTGGCTTGACTTCCTTCAGGCAACTCCAGAGTTGCCCTGAGAACACTGTCCCACGTCTAGAGGAATACGAACTTCAGCACAGCAACTAGAGGAATGCTCCGTGTACCCCAAATCGTTTCGAGGTGACAGCTGATTCCCTGGCTTAGGCTCAAGACGTATGCCAACTTTCCAGAAGCACCTCAAGAGGAGGCTTCTCTCAGCAATAGGTATGTGGTAGGGACCCCGAGTTTGCTGCCTCAAGTGGAATATACAGCGAGAAGCCCTAACTTGAAAGGAGGCCGGAATTCCTTGCAGTGTCTTGAATACAGGCTCGTCTTTCATCTCACAACAGGAAGGGATGTCTGAATCCCCTGTGAAGACCATAGAGAAAGCCCTAGGTCCCCGCCTCATTTTGACGGAATGTCTCACATCCCGTTGACACCTCGAGAGCCACTCGGAGTTCACTGCTTCAAAATGCGACGATGCCTGACTCCTCCTGAACATTGATAGGAATCCCAAAATCACTGTAGCTACATGACAGGGTACTTGAGTGCCCAGCCTCACCTCGAGAAGCATCCCTTTTGCCCTGCCAAGCTTCGAAGATATTCCTGAGGTGTCTCTCGTTACTAGACAGGAGTCCTGACGTCACTGAATAAACACGTGTTTTGAAGGGCCATCCCCGCCATAACTCGAGAACATACCCCAGGTCCGGCCGCAACTCGAGCAAAACGAAGAGACTTCCCCTAGATGCGAGATGAGGTCTGATTACCTGCAGTCCATGCAGAGCAGGCCCGTGATCCCCATCAAGCAAGTCAGGAGCTTCGACTTGCTTAATGGATCTCGAGAGAGTCCCCAGGAACACTGTCACAAGTCTAGACAGACCCTGAGGTCACCGCAGCAATGCAAAGCAGATCCATGTGCCCCACATCAACTCGAGATGAGGCCCGATTCTCTGGCATTGACTCCAGAGCCATTCCCCATACCCCTTAAACACCACCAGTGGCTTGACTTCCTTCAGGCAACTCCAGAGATGCCCCGAGAACACTGTCCCAAGTCTAGAGGAACACCAACTTCAGCACAGCAACTCGAGGAATGCTCTGTGTACCCCAAATCGTTTCGAGGTGGGAGCTGATTCCCTGGCTTAGGCTCAAGACATATGCCAACTTTCCAAAAGCACCTCCAGAGGAGGCTTCTCTCAGCAATAGGTATGTTCGTGGGACCCCGAATTTGCTGCCTCAAGTGGAATATACAGCGAGAAGCCCTAACTTGAAAGGAGGCCGGTTTTCCTTGCAGTGGCTTGAATACAGGCTCGTCTTCCATCTCACAGCATGAAGGGATGTCTGAATCCCCTGTGGAGACCTTAGAGAAAGCTCTAGGTCCCTGCCTCATTTTGACGGAATGCCTCACATCCCGTTGTCACCTCGAGAGGCACGCGGAGTTCACTGCTTCAAAAGGTGACGATGCCTGACTCCTCTTGAATATTGACAGGAATCCCAAAATCCCTGTGGCTATTGGAAAGTTTCCTTGGGTGCCCTGCCTCACCTCGAGAAGCGTCCCTTGTGCCCTGCCAAGCCTCGAAGAGATTCCTGAGCTGTCCCTCGTTATTGAACAGGAGTCCTGACGTCACTGAATAAACACGAGTTTTGAAGGGTCATCCCCGCCGTAACCGGAGTACATACCCTAGGTCCCCGCCACAAGTCGAGAAAAACCATGAGACTTTCCCCTATAGGCGAGATGAGGCCCGATTTTCCTGCAGTGCATGCAGAGCAATTCCGTGATCCCCATCAAACAAGTCAGGACATTCGACTTGCTTAATGGATCTCGAGACAGTCTCCAAGAATACTGTCACATGTCTAGACGGATCCTGAGGTCACCCCATCAACGGAAAGCAGCACAATGTGCCCCAAATCAACTCGGGATGATGCCAGATTCCCCTGCATTGACTCCAGAGCCATCCCCTCGTTCCCCATTAAACACGACCAGTGGCTTAACTTCCTTCAGGCAACTCCAGAGATGCCCCGAGAACACTGTCCCAAGTCTAGATTAACACCAACTTCAGCACAGCAACTCGAGGTATGCTCCATGTACCCCAAATCATCTCGAGATGAGAGCTGATTCCCTGGCTTAGGCTCAAGACGTATGCCAACTTTCCAGAAGCACCTCAAGGGGAGGCTTCTCTCAGCAATAAGTATGTTGGAGGGACCCCCAGTTTGCTGCCTCAAGTGGAATATGCAGCGAGAAGCCCTAACTTGAAAGGAGGCCGGATTTCCTTGCAGTGTCTTGAATACAGGCTCGTCTTTCATCTCACAACCGGAAGGGATGTCTGAATCCCCTGTGGAGACCTTAGAGAAAGCCCTAGGTCCCTGCCTCATTTTGACGGAATGCCTCACATCCCGTTGACACCTCGAGAGGCACACGGAGTTCACTGCTTCAAAATGTGACGATGCCTGTCTACTCCTGAACATTGATAGGAATCCCAAAATCACTATGGCTACAGGAAAGGGTTCTTCGGTGCCCTGCCTCACTTCGAGAAGCATCCCTTTTGCCCTGCCAAGCCTCGAAGAGATTCCTGAGGTGTCTCTCGTTACTAGACAGGAGTCCTGACGTCACTGAATAAACACGTGTTTTGAAGGGCCATCCCCGCCATAACTCGATAACATACCCCAGGTCCCGCCGCAATTCGAGCAAAACGATGAGACTTCCCCTAGATGCGAGATGAGGTCTGATTCCCTGCAGTCCATGCAGAGCAGTCCCGTGATCCCCATCAAGCAAGTCAGGAGCGTCGACTGGCTTAATGGATCTCGAGAGAGTCCCCGGGAACACTGTCACAAGTCTAGACAGACCCTGAGGTCACCCCAGCAATGCAAAGCAGCTCCAAGTGCCCCACATCAACTCGAGATGAGGCCCGATTCTCCGGCATTGACTCCAGAGCCATCCCCCGTACCCCATTAAACACCACCAGTGGCTTGACTTCCTTCAGGCAACTCCAGAGATGCCCTGAGAACACTGTCCAAAGTCTAGAGGAATACGAACTTCAGCACAGCAACTCGAGGAATGCTCCGTGTACCGCAAATCGTTTCGAGGTGAGAGGTGATTCCCTGGCTTAGGCTCAAGATGTATGCCAACTTTCCAGAAGCACCTCAAGAGGAGGCTTCTCTCAGCAATAGGTATTTGGGAGGGACCCCGAGTTTGCTGCCTCAAGTGGAATATACAGCGAGAAGCCCTAACTTGAAAGGAGGCCGGATTTCCTTGCAGTGGCTTGAATACAGGCACGTCTTTCATCTCACAGCATGAAGGGATGTCTGAATCCCCTGTGGAGACCTTAGAGAAAGCTCTAGGTCCCTGCCTCATTTTGACGGAATGCCTCACATCCCGTTGTCACCTCGAGAGGCACGCGGAGTTCAGTGCTTCAACAGGTGACGATGCCTGACTCCTCTTGAATATTGATAGGAATCCCAAAATCCCTGTGGCTATTGGAAAGGTTCCTTGGGTGCCCTGCCTCACCTCGAGAAGCGTCTCTTGTGCACTGCCAAGCCTCGAAGAGATTCCTGAGCTGTCCCTCGTTACTGGACAGGAGTCCTGACGTCACTGAATATACACGAGTTTTGAAGGGCCATCCCCGCCGTATCCCGAGTACATACCCCAGGTCCCCGCCACAACTCGAAAAAAACCTTGAGACTTCCATCTGGATGCGAGATGAGGCCCGATTCACCTGCAGTGCATGCAGAGCAATTCCGTGATCCCCATCAAGCAAGTCAGGAGCTTCGACTTGCTTAATGGATCTCGAGACAGTACCCAAGAACACTGTCACATGTCTAGACGGATCCTGAGGTCACCCCATCAAAGCAAAGCAGCACCATGTGCCCCAAATCAACTCGACATGATGCCCGATTCCCCTGCATTGACTCCAGAGCCATCCTCCATTCCACATTAAACACCACCATTGGCTTGACTTCCTTCAGACAACTGCAGAGATGCCCTGAGAACACTGTCCCAAGTCTAGAGGAACACCATCTTCAGAACAGCAACTCGAGGAATGCTCCGTGTACCCCAAATCATCTCGAGATGAGAGCTGATTCCCTGGCTTAAGCTCAAGACGTATGCCAACTTTCCAGAAGCACCTCAAGGGGAGTCTGCTCTCAGCAATAGGTATGTTGGAGGGACCCCCAGTTTGCTGCCTCAAGTGGAATATACAGCGAGAAGCCCTAACTTGAAAGGAGGCCGGATTTCCTTGCAGTGTCTTGAATACAGGCTCGTCTTTTATCTCACAACCGGAAGGAATGACTGAATCCCCTGTGTAGACCTTAGAGAAAGCCCTAGGTCCCTGCCTCATTTTGAAGGAATGCCTCACATCCCGTTGACACCTCGAGAGGCACACGGAGTTCACTGCTTCAAAATGTGACGATGCCTGACTCCTCCTGAATTTTGATAGGAATCCCAAAATCACTGTGGCTACAGGAAAGGGTTCTTGGGTGCCCTGCCTCACTTCGGGAAGCATCCCTTTTGCCCTGCCAAGCTTCGAAGAGATTCCTGAGGTGTCTCTCGTTACTAGACTGGAGTCCTGACGTCACTGAATAAACACGTGTTTTGAAGGGCCATCCCCGCCGTAACTCGAGATGATACCCCAGGTCCCCAGCGCAACTTGAGAGAAATCATGAGACTTCCCCCTAGATGCGAGATGAGTCCTGATTCCCTGCAGTGCATGCTGAGTATTCCCGTGATCCCCATCAAACAAGTCAGGAGCTTCGACTTGCTTAATGGATCTCGAGATAGTCCCCAAGAACACTGTCACAAGTCTAGACGGACCCTGAGGTCACCCCAGCAACGCAAAGCAGCTCCATGTGCGCCAAATCAACTCGAGATGTGGCCCGATTCCCCTGCATTGACTCCAGAGCCATCCCCCGTTCCCCATTAAACAAGACCACTGGATTGACTTCCTTCAGCCAACTCCAGAGATGCCCCGAGAACACTGTCCCAAGACTAGAGGAACACCAACTTCTGCAGAGCAACTCGAGGAATGCTCCGTGTACCACAAATCGTCTCGAGATGAGAGCTGATTCCCTGGCTTAGGCTCAAGACGTATGCCAACTTTCCAGAAGAACCTCAAGAGGAGGCTTCTCTCAGCAATAGGTATGTTCGTGGGACCACGAGTTTGCTGCCTCAAGTGGAATATACAGCGAGAAGCCCTAACTTGAAAGGAGGCCGGATTTCCTTGCAGTGGCTTTAATACAGGCTCGTCTTTCATCTCACAGCATGAAGGGATGTCTGAATCCCCTGTGGAGGCCTTAGAGAAAGCCCTAGGACCCTGCCTCATTTTGACGGAATGCCTCACATCCCGTTGTCACCTCGAGAGGCACGCGGAGTTCACTGCTTCAAAAGGTGACGATGCCTGACAACTCTTGAATATTGATAGGAATCCCCAAATCCCTGTGGCTATTGGAAAGGTTCCTTGGGTGCCATGCCTCACCTCGAGAAGCGTCCCTTGTGCCCTGCCAAGACTCGAAGAGATTCCTGAGCTGTCCCTCGTTACTGGACAGGAGTCCTGACGTCACTGAATAAACACGAGTTTTGAAGGGCCATCCCGGCCGTAACCCGAGTACATACCCCAGGTCCCCACCGCAAGTCCAGAAAAACCATGAGATTTTTCCCCTAGAGGCGAGATGAGGCCCGATTCTCCTGCAGTGCATGCAGAGCAATTCCGTGATCCCCATCAAACAAGTCAGGACCTTCGACTTGCTTAATGGATTTCGAGACAGTCCCCAAGAAAACTGTCACATGTCTAGACGGATCCTGAGGTCACACCATCAAAGCAAAGCAGCACAATGTGCCCCAAATCAACTCGGGATGATGCCAGATTCCCCTGCATTGACTCCAGAGCCATCCCCCGTTCCCCATTAAACACGACCAGTGGCCTGACTTCCTTCAGGCAACTCCAGAGATGCCCCGAGAACACTGTCCCAAGTCTAGATTAACACCAACTTCAGCACAGCAACTCGAGGAATGCTCCATGTACCCCAAATCGTCTCGAGATGAGAGCTGATTCCCTGGCTTAGGCTCAAGACGTATGCCAACTTTCCAGAAGCACCTCAAGGGGAGGCTTCTCTCAGCAATAGGTATGTTGGAGGGACACCGAGTTTGCTGCCTCAAGTGGAATATACAGCGAGAAGCCCTAACTTGAAAGGAGGCCGGATATCCTTGCAGTGTCTTGAATATAGGCTCGTCTTTCATCTCACAACCGGAAGGGATGTCTGAATCCCCTGTGGAGACCTTAGAGTAAGCCCTTGGTCCCTGCCTCATTTTGACGGAATGCCTCACATCCCGTTGACACCTCGAGAGGCACACGGAGTTCACTGCTTCAAAATGTGACGATGCCTGACTCCTCCTGAACAATGATAGGAATCCCAAAATCACTGTGGCTACAGGAAAGGGTTCTTGGGTGCCCTGCCTCACCTCGAGAAGCATCCCTTTTGCCCTGCCAAGCCTCGAAGAGGTTCCTGAGGTGTCTCTCGTTACTAGACAGGAGTCCTGACGTCACTGAATAAACACGTGTTTTGAAGGGCCATCCCCGCCATAACTCGAGAACACACCCCAGGTCCCGCCGCAACTCGAGCAAAACGATGAGACTTCCCCTAGATGCGAAATGAGGTCTGATTCCCTGCAGTCCATGCAGAGCAGTCCCGTGATCCCCATCAAGCAAGTCAGGAGCTTCGACTTGCTTAATTGATCTCGAGAGAGTCCCCAGGAACACTGTCACAAGTCTAGACAGACCCTGAGGTCACCCCAGCAATGCAAAGCAGCTCCAAGTGCCCCACATCAACTCGAGATGAGGCCCGATTCTCCGGCATTGACTCCAGAGCCATCCCCCGTACCACATTAAACACCACCAGTGGCTTGACTTCCTTCAGGCAACTCCAGAGATGCCCCGAGAACACTGTCCCAAGTCTAGAGGAACACCAACTTCAGCACAGCAACTCGAGGAATGCTCCGTGTACCCCAAATCGTTTCGAGGTGAGAGGTGATTCCCTGGCTTAGGCTCAAGACGTATGCCAACTTTCCAGAAGCACCTCAAGAGGAGGCTTCTCTCAGCAATCGGTATGTGGGAGGGACCCCGAGTTTGCTGCCTCAAGTGGAATATACAGCGAGAAGCCCTAACTTGAAAGGAGGCCGGAATTCCTTGCAGTGTCTTGAATACAGGCTCGTCTTTCATCTCACAACAGGAAGGGATGTCTGAATCCCCTTTGGAGACCTTAGAGAAAGCCCTAGGTCCCTGCCTCATTTTGACGGAATGCCTCACATCCCGTTGACACCTCGAGAGGCACACGGAGTTCACCGCTTCAAAATATAACGATGCCTGACTCCTCTTGAACATTGATAGGAATCCCAATATCACTGTAGCTACAGGACAGGGTTCTTGGGTGCCCTGCCTCACCTCGAGAAGCATCCCTTTTGCCCTGCCAAGCCTCGAAGAGATTCCTGAGGTGTCTCTCATTACTAGACAGGAGTCCTGACGTCACTGAATAAACACGTGTTTTGAAGGGCCATTCCCGCCATAACTCGAGAACATACCCCAGGTCCCGCCGCAACTCGAGAAAAACCATGAGACTTCCCCTAGATCCGAGATGAGGCCTGATTCACTTCAGTCCATGCAGAGCATTCCCCTGATCCCCATCAAGGAAGTCAGGAGCTTCGACTTGCTTAATCGAACTAGAGAAAGTCCCCAGGAACACTGTCACATGTCTAGACAGACCCTGAGGTCACACCAGCAATGCAAAGCAGCTCCAAGTACCCCACATCAACTCGAGATGAGGCCCGATTCTCCTGCATTGACTCCAGAGCCATCCCCCGTAACACATTAAACACCACCAGTGGCTTGACTTCCTTCAGGCAACTCCAGAGATTCCCTGAGAACACTGTCTCAAGTCTAGAGGAATACGAACTTCAGCACAGCAACTCGAGGAATGCTCCGTGTACCCCAAATCGTTTCGAGTTGAGAGCTGATTCCATGGCTTAGGCTCAAGACGTATGCCAACTTTCCAGAAGCACCTCAAGAGGAGGCTTCTCTCAGCAATAGGTATTTGGGAGGGACCCCGAGTTTGCTGCCTCAAGTGGAATATACAGCGAGAAGCCCTAACTTGAAAGGAGGCCGGATTTCCTTGCAGTGGCTTGAATACAGGCTCGTCTTTCATCTCACAGCATGAAGGAATGTCTGAATCCCCTGTGGAGACCTTAGAGAAAGCTCTAGGTCCCTGCCTCATTTTGACGGAATGCCTCACATACCGTTGACACTTCGAGAGGCACGCGGAGTTCACTGCTTCAAAAGGTGATGATGCCTCACTCGTCTTGAATATTGATAGGAATCCCAAAATCACTGTGGCTCCTGGAAAGGGTCCTTGGGTGGCCTGCCTCACGTCAAGAAGCGTCCCTTGTGCCCTGCCAAGCCTCGAAGAGCTTCCTGAGCTGTCCCTCGTAACTGGACAGGAGTCATGACGTCACTGAATAAACACGAGTTTTGAAGAGCCATCCCTGCCGTAACCCGAGTACATACCCCAGGTCCCCGCCGCAAGTCGAGAAAAACCATGAGACTTTCCCCTAGAGGCGAGATGAGGCCCGATTCTCCTGCAGTGCATGCAGAGCAATTCCGTGATCCCCATCAAACAAGTCAGGACCTTCGACTTGCCTAATGGATCTCGAGACAGTCCCCAAGAATACTGTCACATGTCTAGACGGATCCTGAGGTCACCCCGTCAAGGGAAAGCAGCACAATGTGCCCCAAATTAACTCGGGATGATGCCAGATTCCCCTGCATTGACTCCAGAGCCATCCCCCGTTCCCCATTAAAAACGACCAGTGGCTTGACTTCCTTCAGGCAACTCCAGAGATGCCCCGAGAACACTGTCCCAAGTCTAGAGGAACACCAACTTCAGCACAGCAACTCGAGGAATGCTCCGTGTACCCCAAATCGTCTCGAGATGAGAGCTGATTCCCTGGCTTAGGCTCAAGACGTATGCCAACTTTGCAGAAGCACCTCAAGGGGAGGCTTCTATCAACAATAGGTATGTTGGAGGGATCCCCAGTTTGCTGCCTCAAGGGGAATATACAGCGAGAAGCCCTAACTTGAAAGGAGGACGGATTTCCTTGCAGTGTCTTGAATGCAGGCTTGTCTTTCATCTCACAACCGGAAGGGATGTCTGAATCCCCTGTGGAGACCTTAGAGAAAGCCCTAGGTCCCTTCCTCATTTTGAAGGAATGCCTCACATCCCGTTGACACATCAAGAGGCACACGGAGTTCACTGCTTCAAAATGTGACGATGCCTGACTCCTATTGAACATTGATAGGAATCCCAAAATCACTGTGGCTACAGGAAAGGGTTCTTGGTGCCCTGCCTCACCTCGAGAAGCATCCCTTTTGCCCTGCCAAGCCTCGAAGATTCCTGAGGTGTCTCTCATTACTAGACAGGAGTCCTGACGTCACTGAATAAACACGTGTTTTGAAGGGCCATCCCCGCCATAACTCGAGAACATACCCCAGGTCCCGCCGCAACTCGAGAAAAACGATGAGACTTCCCCTAGATGCGAGATGAGGTCTGATTCCCTGCAGTCCATGCAGAGCAGTCCCGTGATCCCCATCAAGCAAGTCAGGAGCGTCGACTGGCTTAATGGATCTCGAGAGAGTCCCCAGGAACACTATCACAAGTCTACACAGACCCTGAGGTCACCCCAGCAATGCAAAGCAGCTCCAAGTGCCCCACATCAACTCGAGATGAGGCCCGATTCTCCGGCATTGACTCCAGAGCCATCCCCCGTACCCCATTAAACACCACCAGTGGCTTGACTTCCTTCAGGCAACTCCAGAGATGCCCTGAGAACACTGTCCAAAGTCTAGAGGAATACGAACTTCAGCACAGCAACACGAGGAATGCTCCGTGTACCCCAAATCGTTTCGAGGTGAGAGGTGATTCCCTGGCTTAGGCTCAAGATGTATGCCAACTTTCCAGAAGCACCTCAAGAGGAGGCTTCTCTCAGCAATAGGTATTTGGGAGGGACCCCGAGTTTGCTGCCTCAAGTGGAATATACAGTGAGAAGCCCTAACTTGAAAGGAGGACGGATTTCCTTGCAGTGGCTTGAATACAGGCTCGTCTTTCATCTCACAGCATGAAGGGATGTCTGAATCCCCTGTGGAGACCTTAGAGAAAGCTCTAGGTCCCTGCCTCATTTTGACGGAATGCCTCACATCCCGTTGTCACCTCGAGAGGCACGCGGAGTTCAGTGCTTCAAAAGTTGACGATGCCTGACTCCTCTTGAATATGGATAGGAATCCCAAAATCCCTGTGGCTATTGGAAAGGTTCCTTGGGTGCCCTGCCTCACCTCGAGAAGCGTCTCTTGTGCACTGCCAAGCCTCGAAGAGATTCCTGAGCTGTCCCTCGTTACTGGACAGGAGTCCTGACGTCACTGAATATACACGAGTTTTGAAGGGCCATCCCCGCCGTAACCCGAGTACATAACCCAGGTCCCCGCCACAACTCGAAATAAACCTTGAGACTTCCATTTGGATGCGAGATGAGGCCCGATTCACCTGCAGTGCATGCAGAGCAATTCCGTGATCCCCATCAAGCAAGTCAGGAGCTTCGACTTGCTTAATGGATCTCGAGACAGTACCCAAGAACACTGTCACATGTCTAGACGGATCCTGAGGTCACCCCATTAAAGCAAAGCAGCACCATGTGCCCCAAATCAACTCGAGATAATGCCCGATTCCCCTGCATTGACTCCAGAGCCATCCCCCGTTCCACATTAAACACAACCAGTGGCTTGACTTCCTTCAGACAACTGCAGAGAATCCCTGAGAACACTGTCCCAAGTCTAGAGGAACACCATCTTCAGCACAGCAACTCGAGGAATGCTCCGTGTACCCCAAATCATCTCGAGATGAGAGCTGATTCCCTGGCTTAAGCTCAAGACGTATGCCAACTTTCCAGAAGCACCTCAAGGGGAGTCTGCTCTCAGCAATAGGTATGTTGGAGGGACCCCCAGTTTGCTGCCTCAAGTGGAATATACAGCGAGAAGCCCTAACTTGAAAGGAGGACGGGTTTCCTTGCAGTGTCTTGAATACAGGCTCGTCTTTCATCTCACAACCAGAAGGAATGTCTGAATCCCCTGTGGAGACCCTAGAGAAAGCCCTAGGTCCCTGCCTCATTTTGACGGAATGCCTCACATCCCATTGATACTTCGAGAGGCACATGGAGTTCACTGCTTCAAAATGTGAAGATGCCTGACTCCTCCTGAACATTGATAGGAATCCCAAAATCACTGTGGCTACAGGAATGGTTCTTGTGTGCCCTGCCTCACCTCGAGAAGCATACCTTTTCCCCTGCCAAGCCTCGAAGAGATTCCTGAGGTGTCCCTCATTACTAGTCAGGAGTCCTGACGTCACTGAATAAACACGTGTTTTGAAGGGCCATGCCCGCCATAACTCGAGAACATACCCCACGTCCAGCCGCAACTCGAGAAAAACCATGAGACTTCCCCTAGATGTGAGATGAGGCCTGATTCCCTGCAGTCCATGCAGAGTATTCCCGTGATCCCCATCAAGCAAGTCAGCAGGTTCGATTTGCTTAATGGATCTCGAGAGAGTCCCCAGGAACACTGTCACAAGTGTAGACGGACCCTGACGTCACCCCAGCAACGCAAAGCAGCTCCATGTGCCCCAAATAAACTCGAGATGATGCCAGATTCTCCGGCATTGACTCCAGAGCCATCCCCCGTACCTCATTAAACACCAGCAGTGGCTTGACTTCCTTCTGGCAACTCCAGAGATGCCCCGAGAACACTGTCCCAAGTCTAGAGGAACACCAACTTCAGCACAGCAACTCGAGGAATGCTCCGTGTACCACAAATCGTTTCGAGGTGAGAGCTGATTCCCTGGCTTAGGCTCAAGAGGTATGCCAACTTTCCAGAAGCACCTCAAGAGGAGGCTTCTCTCAGCAATAGGTATGTTCGTGGGACCCCGAGTTTGCTGCCTCAAGTGGATTATACAGCGAGAAGACATAACTTGAAAGGAGGCCGGATTTCCTTGCAGTGTCTTGAATACAGGCTCGTCTTTCATCTCACAACAGGAAGGGATGTCTGAATCCCCTGTGGAGACCTTAGAGAAAGCCCTAGGTCCCTGCCTTATTTTGAAGGAATGCCTCACATCCCGTTGACACCACGAGAGGCACGCGGAGTTCACTGCTTCAAAAGGTGACGATGCCTGACTCCTCTTGAATATTGATAGGAATCCCAAAATCCCTGTGGCTATTGGAAAGGTTCCTTGTGTGCCCTGCCTCACCTCGAGAAGCGTCCCTTGTGCCCTGCCAAGCCTCGAAGAGATTCCTGAGCTGTCCCTCGTTACTAGGCAGGAGGCCTGACGTCATTGAATAAACACGTGTTTTGAAGGGCCATCCCCGCCATAACTCGAGAACATACCCCAGGTCCCGCCGCAACTCGAGAAAAACCATGAGACTTCCCCTAGATGCGAGATGAGGCCTTATTCCCTGCAGTCCATGCAGAGCATTCCCGTGATCCCCATCAAGCAAGTCAGGAGCTTCGACTAGCTTAATCGAACTCGCGAAAGTCCCCAGGAACACTGTCACAAGTCTAGACAGACCCTGAGGTCATCCCAGCAATGCAAAGCAGCACGAAGTCCCCCACATCAACACGAGATGAGGCCCGATTCCCCTGCATTGACTCCAGAGCCATCCCCCGTACCCCATTAAACACCACGAGTGGCTTGACTTCCTTCATGCAATTCCAGAGTTGCCCCGAGAACACTGTCCCAAGTCTAGAGGAATACGAACTTAAGCACAGCAACTCCAGGAATGCTCCGTGTACCCCAAATCGTCTCGAGATGAGAGCTGATTCCCTGGCTTAGGCTCAAGACGTATGCCAACTTTCCAGAAGCACCACAAGAGGACGCTTCTCTCAGCAATAGGTTTGTTCGTGGGACCCCGAGTTTGCTGCCTTAAGTGGAATATACAGCGAGAAGCCCTAACTTGAAAGGAGGCCGGATTTCCTTGCAGTGTGTTGAATACAGGCTCGTCTTTCATCTCACAACAGGAAGGGATGTCTGAATCCCCTGTGGTGACCTTAGAGAAAGCCCTAGGTCTCTGCCTCATTTTGACGGAATGCCTCACATCCCGTTGACACCTCGAGAGGCACACGGAGTTCACTGCTTCAAAATGTGACGATGCCTGACTCCTCCTGAATTTTGATAGGAATCCCAAAATCACTGTGGCTACAGAAAAGGGTTCTTGGGTGCCCTGCCTCACTTCGGGAAGCATCCCTTTTGCCCTGCCAAGCTTCGAAGAGATTCCTGACGTGTCTCTCGTTACTAGACAGGAGTCCTGACGTCACTGAATAAACACGTGTTTTGAAGGGCCATCCCCGCCGTAACTCGAGAAGATACCCCAGGTCCCCAGCGCAACTTGAGAGAAACCATGAGACTTCCCCCTAGATGCGAGATGAGTCCTGATTCCCTGCAGTGCATGCTGAGTATTCCCGTGATCCTCATCAAACAAGTCAGGAGCTTCGACTTGCTTAATGGATCTCGAGACAGTCCCCAAGAACACTGTCACAAGTCTAGACGGACCCTGAGGTCACCCCAGCAACGCAAAGCAGCTCCATGTGCGCCAAATCAACTCGAGATGTGGCCCGATTCCCCTGCATTGACTCCAGAGCCATCCCCCGTTCCCCATTAAACAAGACCACTGGATTGACTTCCTTCAGCCAACTCCAGAGATGCCCCGAGAACACTGTCCCAAGACTAGAGGAACACCAACTTCAGCAGAGCAACTCGAGGAATGCTCCGTGTACCACAAATCGTCTCGAGATGAGAGCTGATTCCCTGGCTTAGGCTCAAGACGTATGCCAACTTTCCAGAAGCACCTCAAGAGGAGGCTTCTCTCAGCAATAGGTATGTTCGTGGGACCCCGAGTTTGCTGCCTCAAGTGGAATATACAGCGAGAAGCCCTAACTTGAAAGGAGGCCGGATTTCCTTGCAGTGGCTTGAATACAGGCTCGTCTTTCATCTCACAGCATGAAGGGATGACTGAATGCCCTGTGGAGACCTTAGAGAAAGCCCTAGGTACCTGCCTCATTTTGACGGAATGCCTCACATCCCGTTGTCACCTCGAGAGGCACGCGGAGTTCACTGCTTCAAAAGGTGACGATGCCTGACAACTCTTGAATATTGATAGGAATCCCCAAATCCCTGTGGCTATTGGAAAGGTTACTTGGGTGCCATGCCTCACCTCGAGAAGCGTCCCTTGTGCCCTGCCAAGACTCGAAGAGATTCCTGAGCTGTCCCTCGTTACTGGACAGGAGTCCTGACGTCACTGAATAAACACGAGTTTTGAAGGGCCATCCCGGCCGTAACGCGAGTACATACCCCAGGTCCCCACCGCAAGTCCAGAAAAAACATGAGATTTTTCCCCTAGAGGCGAGATGAGGCCCGAATCTCCTGCAGTGCATGCAGAGCAATTCCGTGATCCCCATCAAACAAGTCAGGACCTTCGACTTGCTTAATGGATTTCGAGACAGTCCCCAAGAATACTGTCACATGTCTAGACGGATCCTGAGGTCACACCATCAAAGCAAAGCAGCACAATGTGCCCCAAATCAACTCGAGATGATGCCAGATTCCCCTGCATTGACTCCAAAGCCATCCCCCGTTCCCCATTAAACACGACCAGTGGCTTGACTTCCTTCAGGCAACTCCAGAGATGCCCCGAGAACACTGTCCCAAGTCTAGATTAACACCAACTTCAGCACAGCAACTCGAGGAATGCTCCATGTACCCCAAATCGTCTCGAGATGAGAGCTGATTCCCTGGCTTAGGCTCAAGACGTATGCCAACTTTCCAGAAGCACCTCAAGGGGAGGCTTCTCTCAGCAATAGGTATGTTGGAGGGACACCGAGTTTGCTGCCTCAAGTGGAATATACAGCGAGAAGCCCTAACTTGAAAGGAGGCCGGAATTCCTGGCAGTGTCTTGAATACAGGCTCGTCTTTCATCTCACAACAGGAAGGGATGTCTGAATCCCCTGTGGAGACCTTAGAGAAAGCCCTAGGTCCCTGCCTCATTGTGACGGAATGCCTCACATCCCGTTGACACCTCGAGAGGCACACAGAGTTCACCGCTTCAAAATATAACGATGCCTGACTCCTCTTGAACATTGATAGGAATCCCAATATCACTGTAGCTACAGGACAGGGTTCTTGGGTGCCCTGCCTCACCTAGAGAAGCATCCGTTTTGCCCTGCCAAGCCTCGAAGAGATTCCTGAGGTGTCTCTCATTACTAGACAGGAGTCCTGACGTCACTGAATAAACACGTGTTTTGAAGGGCCATTCCCGCCATAACTCGAGAACATACCCCAGGTCCGGCCGCAACTCGAGAAAAACCATGAGACTTCCCCTAGATCCGAGAAGAGGCCTGATTCACTGCAGTCCATGCAGAGCATTCCCCTGATCCCCATCAAGCAAGTCAGGAGCTTCGACTTGCTTAATCGAACTAGAGAAAGTCCCCAGGAACACTGTCACAAGTCTAGACAGACACTGAGGTCACACCAGCAATGCAAAGCAGCTCCAAGTACCCCACATCAACTCGAGATGAGGCCCGATTCTCCTGCATTGACTCCAGAGCCATCCCCCGTAACACATTAAACACCACCAGTGGCTTGACTTCCTTCAGGCAACTCCAGAGATTCCCTGAGAACACTGTCTCAAGTCTAGAGTAATAAGAACTTCAGCACAGCAACTCGAGAAATTCTCCGTGTACCCCAAATCGTTTCGAGTTGAGAGCTGATTCCATGGCTTAGGCTCAAGACGTATGCCAACTTTCCAGAAGCACCTCAAGAGGAGGCTTCTCTCAGCAATAGGTATTTGGGAGGGACCCCGAGTTTGCTGCCTCAAGTGGAATATACAGCGAGAAGCCCTAACTTGAAAGGAGGCCGGATTTCCTTGCAGTGGCTTGAATACAGGCTCGTCTTTCATCTCACAAACGGAAGGGATGTCTGAATCCCCTGTGGAGACCTTAGAGAAAGTTCTAGGTCCCTGCCTCATTTTGACGGAATGCCTCACATCCCGTTGACACTTCGAGAGGCACGCGGAGTTCACTGCTTCAAAAGGTGATGATGCCTCACTCGTCTTGAATATTGATAGGAATCCCAAAATCACTGTGGCTACTGGAAAGGGTCCTTGGGTGCCCTGCCACTCGTCGAGAAGCGTCCCTTGTGCCCTGCCAAGCCTCGAAGAGATTCCTGAGCTGTCCCTCGTAACTGGACAGGAGTCATGACGTCACTGAATAAACACGAGTTTTGAAGGGCCATCCCCGCCGTAACCCGAGTACATACCCCAGGTCCCCGCCGCAAGTCGAGAAAAACCATGAGACTTTCCCCTAGAGGCGAGATGAGGCCCGATTCTCCTGCAGTGCATGCAGAGCAATTCCGTGATCCCCATCAAACAAGTCAGAACCTTCGACTTGCCTAATGGATCTCGAGACAGTCCCCAAGAATACTGTCACATGTCTAGACGGATCCTGAGGTCACCCCGTCAACGGAAAGCAGCACAATGTGCCCCAAATTAACTCGGGATGATGCCAGATTCCCCTGCATTGACTCCAGAGCCATCCCCCGTTCCCCATTAAACACCACCAGTGGCTTGACTTCCTTCAGGCAACTCCAGAGATGCCCCGAGAACACTGTCCCAAGTCTAGAGGAACACCAACTTCAGCACAGCAACTCGAGGAATGCTCCGTGTACCCCAAATCGTCTCGAGATGAGAGCTGATTCCCTGGCTTAGGCTCAAGACGTATGCCAACTTTCCAGAAGCACCTCAAGGGGAGGCTTCTCTCAACAATAGGTATGTTGGAGGGATCCCCAGTTTGCTGCCTCAAGGGGAATATAGAGCGAGAAGCCCTAACTTGAAAGGAGGACGGATTTCCTTGCAGTGTCTTGAATGCAGGCTCGTCTTTCATCTCACAAACGGAAGGGATGTCTGAATCCCCTGTGGAGACCTTAGAGAAAGCCCTAGGTCCCTTCCTCATTTTGAAGGAATGCCTCACATCCCGTTGACACATCAAGAGGCACACGGAGTTCACTGCTTCAAAATGTGACGATGCCTGACTCCTATTGAACATTGATAGGAATCCCAAAATCACTCTGGCTACAGGAAAGGGTTCTTGGTGCCCTGCCTCACCTCGAGAAGCATCCCTTTTGCCCTGCCAAGCCACGAAGAGATTCCTGAGGTGACTCTCATTACTAGACAGGAGTCCTGACGTCACTGAATAAACACGTGTTTTGAAGGGCCATCCCCGCCATAACTCGAGAACATAACCCAGGTCCCGCCGCAACTCGAGAAAAACGATGAGACTTCCCCTAGATGCGAGATGAGGTCTGATTCCCTGCAGTCCATGCAGAGCAGTCCCGTGATCCCCATCAAGCAAGTCAAGAGCGTCGACTGGCTTAATGGATCTCGAGAGAGTCCCCAGGAACACTGTCACAAGTCTACACAGACCCTGAGGTCACCCCAGCAATGCAAAGCAGCTCCAAGTGCCCCACATCAACTCGAGATGAGGCCCGATTCTCCGGCATTGACTCCAGAGCCATCCCCCGTACCCCATTAAACACCACCAGTGGCTTGACTTCCTTCAGGCAATTCCAGAGATGCCCTGAGAACACTGTCCAAAGTCTAGAGGAATACGAACTTCAGCACAGCAACTCGAGGAATGCTCCGTGTACCCCAAATCGTTTCGAGGTGAGAGGTGATTCCCTGGCTTAGGTTGAAGATGTATGCCAACTTTCCAGAAGCACCTCAAGAGGAGGCTTCTCTCAGCAATAGGTATTTGGGTGGGACCCCGAGTTTGCTGCCTCAAGTGGAATATACAGCGAGAAGCCCTAACTTGAAAGGAGGATGGATTTCCTTGCAGTGGCTTGAATACAGGCTCGTCTTTCATCTCACAGCATGAAGGGATGTCTGAATCCCCTGTGGAGACCTTAGAGAAAGCTCTAGGTCCCTGCCTCCTTTTGACGGAATGCCTCTCATCCCGTTGTCACCTCGAGAGGCACGCGGAGTTCAGTGCTTCAAAAGGTGACGATGCCTGACTCCTCTTGAATATTGATAGGAATCCCAAAATCCCTGTGGCTATTGGAAAGGTTCCTTGGGTGCCCTGCCTCACCTCGAGAAGCGTCTCTTGTGCACTGCCAAGCCTCGAAGAGATACCTGAGCTGTCCCTCGTTACTGGACAGGAGTCCTGACGTCACTGAATAAACACGAGTTTTGAAGGGCCATCCCCGCCATAACCCGAGTACATACCGCAGGTCCCCGCCACAAGTCGAGAAAAACCATGAGACTTTCCCCTAGAGGCGAGATGAGGCCCGATTCTCCTGCAGTGCATGCAGAGCAATTCCGTGATCCCCATCAAACAAGTCAGGACTTTCGACTTGCTTAATGGATCTCGAGACAGTCCCCAAGAATACTGTCACATGTCTAGACGGATCCTGAGGACACCCCATCAACGCAAAGCAGCACAATGTGCCCCAAATCAACTCGGGATGATGCCAGATTCCCCTGCTTTGACTCCAGAGCCATCTTCCATTCCCCATTAAACACGACCAGTGGCTTGACTTCCTTCAGGCAACTCCAGAGATGCCCCAAGAACACTGTCCCAAGTCTAGAGGAACACCAACTTCAGCACAGCAACTCGAGGAATGCTCCGTGTACCCCAAATCCTCTCGAGATGAGAGCTGATTCCCTGGCTTAGGCTCAAGACGTATGCCAACTTTCCAGAAGCACCTCAAGATGAGGCTTCTCTCAGCAATAGGTATGTTGGAGGGATCCCCAGTTTGCAGCTTCAAGTGGAATATACAGCGAGAAGCCCTAACTTGAAAGGAGGACGGATTTCCTTGCAGTGTCTTGAATACAGGCTCGTCTTTCATCTCACAACCGGAAGGGATGTCTGAATCCCCTGTGGAGACGTTAGAGAAAGCCCTAGGTCCCTGCCTCATTTTGAAGGAATGCCTCACATCCCGTTGTCACCTCGAGAGGCACGCGGAGTTCACTGCTTCAAAAGGTGACGATGCCTGACTCCTCTTTTATATTGATTGGAATCCCAAAATCCCTATGGCTACTGGAAAGGTTCCTTGGGTGCCCTGCCTCACCTCGAGAAGCGTCCCTTGTGCCCTGCCAAGCCTTGAAGAGATTCCTGAGGTGTCTCTCGTTACTAGACAGGAGTCCTGACGTCACTGAATAAACACGTGTTTTGAAGGGCCATCCCCACCATAACTCGAGAACATACCCCAGGTCCCGCCGCAACTCGAGAAAAACCATGAGACTTCCCCTAGATGCGAGATGAGGCCTTATTCCCTGCAGTCCATGCAGAGCATTCCCGTGATCCCCATCAAGCAAGTCAGGAGCTTCGACTTGGTTAATCGAACTCGCGAAAGTCCCCAGGAACACTGTCACAAGTCTAGACAGACCCTGAGGTCACCCCAGCAATGCAAAGCAGCTCCAAGTACCCCACATCAACTCGAGATCAGGCCCAATTCCCCTGCATTGACTCCAGAGCCATCCCCCGTACCCCATTAAACACCACCAGTGGCTTGACTTCCTTCAGGCAACTCCAGAGTTGCCCTGAGAACACTGTCCCACGTCTAGAGGAATACGAACTTCAGCACAGCAACTAGAGGAATGCTCCGTGTACCCCAAATCGTTTCGAGGTGACAGCTGATTCCCTGGCTTAGGCTCAAGACGTATGCCAACTTTCCAGAAGCACCTCAAGAGGAGGCTTCTCTCAGCAATAGGTATGTGGTAGGGACCCAGAGTTTGCTGCCTCAAGTGGAATATACAGCGAGAAGCCCTAACTTGAAAGGAGGCCGGATTTCCTTTCAGTGTCTTGAATACAGGCTCGTCTTTCATCTCACAACAGGAAGGGATGTCTGAATCCCCTGTGAAGACCATAGAGAAAGCCCTAGGTCCCCGCCTCATTTTGACGGAATGTCTCACATCCCGTTGACACCTCGAGAGCCACTCGGAGTTCACTGCTTCAAAATGCGACGATGCCTGACTCCTCCTGAACATTGATAGGAATCCCAAAATCACTGTAGCTACATGACAGGGTTCTTGGGTGCCCAGCCTCACCTCGAGAAGCATCCCTTTTGCCCTGCCAAGCCTCGAAGAGATTCCTGAGTTGTCTCTCGTTACTAGACAGGAGTCCGGACGTCACTGAATAAACATGTGTTTTGAAGGGCCATCCCCGCCATAACTCGAGAACATACCCCAGGTCCGGCCGCAACTCGAGAAAAACCATGAGACTTCCCCTAGATGCGAGATGAGGCCTGATTCCCTGCAGTCCATGCAGAGCATTCCCGTGATCCCCATCAAGCAAGTCAGGAGCTTCGACTTGCTTAATTGAACTAGAGAAAGTCCCCAGGAACTCTGTCACAAGTCTAGACAGATCCTGAGGTCACCCCAGCAATGCAAAGCAGCTCCAAGTACCCCACATCAACTCGAGATGAGGCCCGATTCCCATGCATTGACTCCAGAGCCATCCCCCGTACCCCATTAAACAACACCAGTGGCTTGACTTCATTCAGGCAACTCCAGAGATGCTCCGAGAACACTGTCCCAAGTCTAGAGGAATACGAACTTCAGCAGAGCAACTCGAGGAATGCTCCGTGTACCACGAATCATCTCGAGATGAGAGCTGAATCCCTAGCTTAGGCTCAAGACGTATGCCAACTTTCCAGAAGCACCTCAAGAGGAGGCTTCTCTCAGCAATAGGTATGTGGGAGGGACCCCGAGTTTGCTGCCTCAAGTGGAATATACAGCGAGAAGCCCTAACTTGAAAGGAGGCCGGATTTCTTTGCAGTGGCTTGAATACAGGCTCGATTTTCATCTCACAGCATGAAGGGATGTCTGAAGCCCCTGGGTAGACCTTAGAGAAAGCTCTAGGTCCCTGCCTCATTTTGACGGAATGCTTCACATCCCGTTGACCCTTCGAGAGGCACGCAGAGTTCACTGCTTCAAAAGGGGATGATGCCTGACTCGTATTGAATATTGATAGGAATCCCAAAATCAATGTGGCTACTGGAAAGGGACCTTGGGTGCCCTGCTTCACCTCGAGAAGCATACCTTTTGACCTGCCAAGCCTCGAAGAGATTCCTGAGGTGTCCCTCGTTATTAGACAGGAGTCCTTACGGCACTGAATAATCACGTGTTTTGAAGGGCCATCCCCGCCGTAACTCGAGAAGATACCCCAGGTCCCCAGCGCAACTTGAGAGAAACCATGAGACTTCCCCCTAGATGCGAGATGAGTCCTGATTCCCTGCAGTGCATGCAGAGTATTCCCGTGATCCCCATCATACAAGTCAGGAGCTTCGACTTGCTTAATGGATCTCGAGACAGTCCCCAAGAACACTGTCACAAGTCTAGACGGACCCTGAGGTCACCCCAGCAACGTAAAGCAGCTCGCAGTGCCCCACATCAACTCGCGATGAGGCCCGATTCCCATGCATTGACTCCAGAGCCATCCCCCGTACCCCTTAAACACCACCAGTGGCTTGACTTCCTTCAGGCAACTCCAGAGATGCCCCGAGAACACTGTCCCAAGTCTAGAGGAATACGAACTTCAGCACAGCAACTCGAGGAATGCTCCGTGTACCCCAAAAAATTTCGAGGTGAGAGCTGATTCCATGGTTTCGGCTCAAGACGTATGCCAACTTTCCAGAAGCACCTCAAGAGGAGACTTCTCTCAGCAATAGGTATGTGGGAGGGACCCCGAGTTTGCTGCCTCAAGTGGAATATACAGCGAGAAGCCCTAACTTGAAAGGAGGCCGGATTTCCTTGCAGTGGCTTGAATACAGGCTCGTCTTTCATCTCACAGCATGAAGGGATGTCTGAAGCCCCTGGGTAGACCTTAGAGAAAGCTCTAGGTCCCTGCCTCATTTTGACGGAATGCCTCACATCCCGTTGACAATTCGAGAGGCACGCAGAGGTCACTGCTTCAAAAGGGGATGATGCCTGACTCGTCTTGAATATTGATAGGAATCCCAAAATCACTGTGGCTACTGGAAAGGGTCCTTGGGTGGCCTGCCTCACCTCGAGAAGCATACCTTTTGACCTGCCAAGCCTCGAAGAGATTCCTGAGGTGTTCCTCGTTACGAGACAGGAGTCCTGACGGCACTGAATAAACACGTGTTTTGAAGGGCCATCCCCGCCGTAACTCGAGAAGATACCCCAGGTCCCCAGCGCAACTTGAAAGAAACCATGAGACTTCCCCCTAGATGCGAGATGAGTCCTGATTCCCTGCAGTGCATGCAGAGTATTCCCTTGATCCCCATCAAACAAGTCAGGAGCTTCGACTTGCTTAATGGATCTCCAGAGAGCCCCAAGAACACTGTCACAAGTCTAGACAGACCCTGAGCTCACCCCAGCAATGCAAAGCAGCTCGCAGTGCCCCACATCAACTCGAGATGAGGCCCGATTCCCCTGCATTGACTCCAGAGCCATCCCCAGTTCCCCATTAAACAAGACCACTGGATTGACTTCCTTCAGGCAACTCCAGAGATGCCCCGAGAACACTGTCCCAAGACTAGAGGAACACTAACTTCAGCACAGCAACTCGAGGAATGCTCCGTGTACCACGAATCGTCTCAAGATGAGAGCTGAATCCCTAGCTTAGGCTCAAGACGTATGCCAACTTTCCAGAAGCACCTCAAGAGGAGGCTTCTCTCAGCAATAGGTATGTTCGTGGGACCCCGAGTTTGCTGTCTCAAGTGGAATATACAGCGAGAAGCCCTAACTTGAAAGGAGGCCGGATTTCCTTGCAGTGGCTTGAATACAGGCTCGTCTTTCATCTCACAACAGGAAGGGATGTCTGAATCCCCTGTGGAGACCTTAGAAAAAGCCCTAGGCCCCTGCCTCATTTTGACGGAATGCCTCACATCCCGTTGACACCTCGAGAGGCACACGGAGTTCACTGCTTCAAAATGTGACGATGCCTGTCTACTCCTGAACATTGATAGGAATCCCAAAATCACTGTGGCTACAGGAAAGTGTTCTTGGGTGCCCTGCCTCACTTCGAGAAGCATCCCTTTTGCCCTGCCAAGCCTCGAAGAGATTCCTGAGGTGTCTCTCGTTACTAGACAGGAGTCCTGACGTCACTGAATAAACACGTGTTTTGAAGGGCCATCCCCGCCATAACTCGAGAACTTACCCCAGGTCCCGCAGCAATTCGAGCAAAACGATGAGACTTCCCCTAGATGCGAGATGAGGTCTGATTCCCTGCAGTCCATGCAGAGCAGTCCCGTGATCCCCATCAAGCAAGTCAGGAGCTTCGACTTGCTTAATGGATCTCGAGAGAGTCCCCAGGAACACTGTCACAAGTCTAGACAGACCCTGAGGAAACCCCAGTAATGCAAAGCAGCTCCAAGTGCCCCACATCAACTCGAGATGAGGCCCGATTCCCCTGCATTGACTCCAGAGCTATCCCCCGTACCCCATTAAACTCCACCAGTGGCTTGACTTCCTTCAGGCTACTCCAGAGATGCCCCGAGAACACTGTCCCAAGTGTAGAGGAACACCAACTTCAGCACAGCAACTCGAGGAATGCTCCGTGTACCCCAAATCGTTTCGAGGTGAGAGCTGATTCCGTGGCTTAGGCTCAAGACGTATGCCAACTTTCCAGAAGCACCTCAAGAGGAGGCTTCTATCAGCAATCGGTATGTGGGAGGGACCCCGAGTTTGCTGCCTCAAGTGGAATATACAGCGAGAAGCCCTAACTTGAAAGGAGGCCGGATTTCCTTGCAGTGTCTTGAATACAGGCTCGTCTTTCATCTCACAACAGGAAGGGATGTCTGAATCCCCTGTGGAGACCTTAGAGAAAGCCCTAGTTCCCTGCCTCATTTTGACGGAATGTCTCACATCCCGTTGACACCTCGAGAGGCACACGGAGTTCACTGCTTCAAAATGTGACGATGCCTGACTCCTCCTGAACATTGATAGGAATCCCAAAATCACTGTAGCTACAGGACAGGGTTCTTGGGTGCCCTGCCTCACCTCGAGAAGCATCCCTTTTGCCCTGCCAAGCCTCGAAGAGATTCCTGAGGTGTCTCTCGTTACTAGACAGGAGTCCTGACGTCACTGAATAAACACGTGTTTTGAAGGGCCATCCCCGCCATAACTCGAGAACATACCCCAGGTCCCGCCGCAACTCGAGAAAAACCATGAGACTTCCCCTAGATGCGAGATGAGGCCTGATTCCCTGCAGTCCATGCAGAGCATTCCCGTGATCCCCATCAAGAAAGTCAGGAGCTTCGACTTGCTTAATTGAACTCGCGAAAGTCCCCAGGAACACTGTCACAAGTCTAGACAGACCCTGAGGTCACCGCAGCAATGCAAAGCAGCTCCAAGTAGCCCACATCAACTCGAGATGAGGCCCGATACCCATGCATTGACTCCAGAGCCATCCCCCGTACCCCTTAAACACCACCAGTGGCTTGACTTCCTTCAGGCAACTAGAGAGATGCCCCGAGAACACTGTCCCAAGTCTAGAGGAATACGAACTTCAGCAGAGCAACTCGAGGAATGCTCCGTGTACCCCAAAAAATTTCGAGGTGAGAGCTGATTCCATGGTTTCGGCTCAAGACGTATGCCAACTTTCCAGAAGCACCTCAAGAGGAGACTTCTCTCAGCAATAGGTATGTGGGAGGGACCCCGAGTTTGCTGCCTCAAGTGGAATATACAGCGAGAAGCCCTAACTTGAAAGGAGGCCGGATTTCCTTGCAGTGGCTTGAATACAGGCTCGTCTTTCATCTCACAGCATGAAGGGATGTCTGAAGCCCCTGGGTAGACCTTAGAGAAAGCTCTAGGTCCCTGCCTCATTTTGACGGAATGCCTCACATCCCGTTGACAATTCGAGAGGCACACAGAGGTCACTGCTTCAAAAGGGGATGATGCCTGACTCGTCTTGAATATTGATAGGAATCCCAAAATCACTGTGGCTACTGGAAAGGGTCCTTGGGTGGCCTGCCTCACCTCGAGAAACATACCTTTTGACCTGCCAAGCCTCGAAGAGATTCCTGAGGTGTTCCTCGTTACGAGACAGGAGTCCTGACGGCACTGAATAAACACGTGTTTTGAAGGGCCATCCCCGCCGTAACTCGAGAAGATACCCCAGGTCCCCAGCGCAACTTGAAAGAAACCATGAGACTTCCCCCTAGATGCGAGATGAGTCCTGATTCCCTGCAGTGCATGCAGAGTATTCCCGTGATCCCCATCAAACAAGTCAGGAGCTTCGACTTGCTTAATGGATCTCCAGAGAGCCCCAAGAACACTGTCACAAGTCTAGACAGACCCTGAGCTCACCCCAGCAATGCAAAGCAGCTCGCAGTGCCCCATATCAACTCGAGATGAGGCCCGATTCCCCTGCATTGACTCCAGAGCCATCCCCAGTTCCCCATTAAACAAGACCACTGGATTGACTTCCTTCAGGCAACTCCAGAGATGCCCCGAGAACACTGTCCCAAGACTAGAGGAACACCAACTTCAGCACAGCAACTCGAGGAATGCTCCGTGTACCACGAATCGTCTCGAGATGAGAGCTGAATCCCTAGCTTAGGCTCAAGACGTATGCCAACTTTCCAGAAGCACCTCAAGAGGAGGCTTCTCTCAGCAATAGGTATGTTCGTGGGACCCCGAGTTTGCTGTCTCAAGTGGAATATACAGCGAGAAGCCCTAACTTGAAAGGAGGCCGGATTTCCTTGCAGTGGCTTGAATACAGGCTCGTCTTTCATCTCACAACAGGAAGGGATGTCTGAATCCCCTGTGGAGACCTTAGAAAAAGCCCTAGGCCCCTGCCTCATTTTGACGGAATTCCTCACATCCCGTTGACACCTCGAGAGGCACACGGAGTTCACTGCTTCAAAATGTGAGGATGCCTGTCTACTCCTGAACATTGATAGGAATCCCAAAATCACTGTGGCTACAGGAAAGTGTTCTTGGGTGCCCTGCCTCACTTCGAGAAGCATCCCTTTTGCCCTGCCAAGCCTCGAAGAGATTCCTGAGGTGTCTCTCGTTACTAGACAGGAGTCCTGACGTCACTGAATAAACACGTGTTTTGAAGGGCCATCCCCGCCATAACTCGAGAACTTACCCCAGGTCCCGCAGCAATTCGAGCAAAACGATGAGACTTCCCCTAGATGCGAGATGAGGTCTGATTCCCTGCAGTCCATGCAGAGCAGTCCCGTGATCCCCATCAAGCAAGTCAGGAGCTTCGACTTGCTTAATGGATCTCGAGAGAGTCCCCAGGAACACTGTCAAAAGTCTAGACAGACCCTGAGGAAACGCCAGTAATGCAAAGCAGCTCCAAGTGCCCCACATCAACTCGAGATGAGACCCAATTCCCCTGCATTGACTCCAGAGCTATCCCCCGTACCCCATTAAACTCCACCAGTGGCTTGACTTCCTTCAGGCTACTCCAGAGATGCCCCGAGAACACTGTCCCAAGTGTAGAGAAACACCAACTTCAGCACAGCAACTCGAGGAATGCTCCGTGTACCCCAAATCGTTTCGAGGTGAGAGCTGATTCCGTGGCTTAGGCTCAAGACGTATGCCAACTTTCCAGAAGCACCTCAAGAGGAGGCTTCTATCAGCAATCGGTATGTGGGAGGGACCCCGAGTTTGCTGCCTCAAGTGGAATATACAGCGAGAAGCCCTAAGTTGAAAGGAGGCCGGATTTCCTTGCAGTGTCTTGAATACAGGCTCGTCTTTCATCTCACAACAGGAAGGGATGTCTGAATCCCCTGTGGAGACCTTAGAGAAAGCCCTAGTTCCCTGCCTCATTTTGACGGAATGTCTCACATCCCGTTGACACCTCGAGAGGCACACGGAGTTCACTGCTTCAAAATGTGACGATGCCTGACTCCTCCTGAACATTGATAGGAATCCCAAAATCACTGTAGCTACAGGACAGGGTTCTTGGGTGCCCTGCCTCACCTCGAGAAGCATCCGTTTTGCCCTGCCAAGCCTCGAAGAGATTCCTGAGGTGTCTCTCGTTACTAGACAGGAGTCCTGACGTCACTGAATAAACACGTGTTTTGAAGGGCCATCCCCGCCATAACTCGAGAACATACCCCAGGTCCCGCCGCAACTCGAGAAAAACCATGAGACTTCCCCTAGATGCGAGATGAGGCCTGATTCCCTGCAGTCCATGCAGAGCATTCCCGTGATCCCCATCAAGAAAGTAAGGAGCTTCGACTTGCTTAATTGAACTCGAGAAAATCCCCAGGAACACTGTGACAAGTCTAGACAGACCCTGAGGTCACCGCAGCAAAGCAAAGCAGCTCCAAGTAGCCCACATCAACTCGAAATGAGGCCCGATTCCCATGCATTGACTCCAGAGCCATCCCCCGTACCCCTTAAACACCACCAGTGGCTTGACTTCCTTCAGGCAACTCCAGAGATGCCCCGAGAACACTGTCCCAAGTCTAGAGGAATACGAACTTCAGCAGAGCAACTCGAGGAATGCTCCGTGTACCCCAAAAAATTTCGAGGTGAGAGCTGATTCCATGGTTTCGGCTCAAGACGTATGCCAACTTTCCAGAAGCACCTCAAGAGGAGACTTCTCTCAGCAATAGGTATGTGGGAGGGACCCCGACTTTGCTGCCTCAAGTGGAATATACAGCGAGAAGCCCTAACTTGAAAGGAGGCCGGATTTCCTTGCAGTGGCTTGAATACAGGCTCGTCTTTCATCTCACAGCATGAAGGGATGTCTGAAGCCCCTGGGTAGACCTTAGAGAAAGCTCTAGGTCCCTGCCTCATTTTGACGGAATGCCTCACATCCCGTTGACAATTCGAGAGGCACGCAGAGGTCACTGCTTCAAAAGGGGATGATGCCTGACTCGTCTTGAATATTGATAGGAATCCCAAAATCACTGTGGCTACTGGAAAGGGTCCTTGGGTGGCCTGCCTCACCTCGAGAAGCATAACTTTTGACCTGCCAAGCCTCGAAGAGATTCCTGAGGTGTTCCTCGTTACGAGACAGGAGTCCTGACGGCACTGAATAAACACGTGTTTTGAAGGGCCATCCCCGCCGTAACTCGAGAAGATACCCCAGGTCCCCAGCGCAACTTGAAAGAAACCATGAGACTTCCCCCTAGATGCGAGATGAGTCCTGATTCCCTGCAGTGCATGCAGAGTATTCCCGTGATCCCCATCAAACAAGTCAGGAGCTTCGACTTGCTTAATGGATCTCCAGAGAGCACCAAGAACACTGTCACAAGTCTAGACAGACCCTGAGCTCACCCCAGCAATGCAAAGCAGCTCGCAGTGCCCCACATCAACTCGAGATGAGGCCCGATTCCCCTGCATTGACTCCAGAGCCATCCCCAGTTCCCCATTAAACAAGACCACTGGATTGACTTCCTTCAGGCAACTCCAGAGATGCCCCGAGAACACTGTCCCAGGACTAGAGGAACACCAACTTCAGCACAGCAACTCGAGGAATGCTCCGTGTACCACGAATCGTCTCGAGATGAGAGCTGAATCCCTAGCTTAGGCTCAAGACGTATGCCAACTTTCCAGAAGCACCTCAAGAGGAGGCTTCTCTCAGCAATAGGTATGTTCGTGGGACCCCGAGTTTGCTGTCTCAAGTGGAATATACAGCGAGAAGTCCTAACTTGAAAGGAGGCCGGATTTCCTTACAGTGTCTTGAATACAGGCTCGTCTTTCATCTCACAACAGGAAGGGATGTCTGAATCCCCTGTGGAGACCTTAGAGAAAGCCCTAGGTCCCTGCCTCATTGTGACGGAATGCCTCACATCCCGTTGACACCTCGAGAGGCACACGGAGTTCACCGCTTCAAAATGTGACGATGCCTGACTCCTCCTGAACATTGATAGGAATCCCAAAATCACTGTAGCTACAGGACAGGGTTCTTGGGTGCCCTGCCTCACCTCGAGAAGCATCCCTTTTGCCCTGACGAGCCTCGAAGAGATTCCTGAGGTGTCTCTCGTTACTAGACAGGAGTCCTGACGTCACTGAATAAACACGTGTTTTTAAGGGCCATCCCCGCCATAACTCGAGAACATACCCCAGGTCCCGCCGCAACTCGAGAAAAACCATGAGACTTCCCCTAGATGCGAGATGAGGCCTGATTCCCTGCAGTCCATGCAGAGCATTCCCGTGAACCCCATCAAGCAAGTCAGGAGCTTCGACTTGCTTAATTGAACTCGAGAAAGTCCCCAGGAACACTGTCACAAGTCTAGACAGACCCTGAGGTCACCCAGCAATGCAAAGCAGCTCCAAGTACCCCACATCAACTCGAGATGAGGCCCGATTCTCCGGCATTGACTCCAGAGTCATCCCCCGTACCCCATTAAACACCACCAGTGGCTTGACTTCCTTCAGGCAACTCCAGAGATGCCCTGAGAACACTGTCCCAAGTCTAGAGGAATACGAACTTCAGCACAGCAACTCCAGGAATGCTCCGTGTCCCACAAATCGTCTCGAGATGAGAGCTGAATCCCTGGCTTAGGCTCAAGACGTATGCCAACTTTCCAGAAGCACCTCAAGAGGAGGCTTCTCTCAGCAATAGGTATGTTTGTGGGACCCCGAGTTTGCTGCCTCAAGTGGAATATACAGCGAGAAGCCCTAACTTGAAAGGAGGCCGAATTTCCTTGCAGTGGCTTGGATACAGGCTCGTCTTTCATCTCACAGCATGAAGGGATGACTGAATGCCCTGTGGAGACCTGAGAGAAAGCCCTAGGTCCCTGCCTCATTTTGACGGAATGCCTCACATCCCGTTGTCACCTCGAGAGGCACGCGGAGTTCACTGCTTCAAAAGGTGATGATGCCTGACAACTCTTGAATATTGATAGGAATCCTCAAATCCCTGTGGCTATTGGAAAGGTTCCTTGGGTGCCCTGCCTCACCTCGAGAAGCGTCCCTTGTGCCCTGCCAAGACTCGAAGAGATTCCTGAGCTGTCCCTCGTTACTGGACAGGAGTCCTGACGTCACTGAATAAACACGAGTTTTGAAGGGCCATCCCGGCCGTAACCCGAGTACATACCCCAGGTCCCCACCGCACGTCCAGAAAAACCAGGAGACTTTCCCCTAGAGGGGAGATGAGGCCCGATTCTCCTGCAGTGCATGCAGAGCAATTCCGTGATCCCCATCAAACAAGTCAGGACCTTCGACTTGCTTAATGGATTTCGAGACAGTCCCCAAGAATACTGTCACATGTCTAGACGGATCCTGAGGTCACACCATCAAAGCAAAGCAGCACAATGTGCCCCAAATCAACTCAGGATGATGCCAGATTCCCCTGCATTGACTCCAGAGCCATCCCCCGTTCCCCATTAAACACGACCAGTGGCTTGACTTCTTTCAGGCAACTCCAGAGATGCCCCGAGAACACTTTCCCAAGTCTAGATTAACACCAACTTCAGTACAGCAATTCGAGGAATGCTCCATGTACCCCAAATCGTCTCGAGATGAGAGCTGATTCTCTGGCTTAGGCTCAAGACGTATGCCAACTTTCCAGAAGCACCTCAAGAGGAGGCTTCTCTCAGCAATAGGTATGTTTGTGGGACCCCGAGTTTGCTGCCTCAAGTGGAATATACAGCGAGAAGCCCTAACTTGAAAGGAGGCCGAATTTCCTTGCAGTGGCTTTAATACAGGCTCGTCTTTCATCTCACAGCATGAAGGGATGTCTGAATCCCCTGTGGAGACCTTAGAGAAAGCCCTAGGTCCCTGCCTCATTTTGACCGAATGCCTCATATCCCGTTGACACTTCGAGAGGCCCGCGGAGTTCACTGCTTCAAAAGGGGATGATGCCTGGCTCGTCTTGAATATTGATAGGAATCCCAAAATCACTGTGGCTACTGGAAAGGGTCCCTGGGTGCCCTGCCTCACCTCGAGAAGCATACCTTTTGACCTGCCAAGCCTCGAACAGATTCCTGAGGTGTCCCTCGTTAGTAGACAGGAGTCCTGACGGCACTGAATAAACACGTGTTTTCAAGGGCCATCCCCGCCATAACTCGAGAAGATACCCCAGGTCCCCAGCGCAACTTGATTGAAACCATGAGACTTCCCTCTAGATGCGAGATGAGTCCTGATTCCCTGCAGTGCATGCTGAGTATTCCCGTGATCCCCATCAAACAAGTCAGGAGCTTCGACTTGCTTAATGGATCTCGAGACAGTGCCCAAGAACACTGTCACAAGTCTAGACGGACTCTGATGTCACCCCAGCAACGCAAAGCAGCTCCATGTGCGCCAAATCAACTCGAGATGTGGCCTGATTCCCCTGCATTGACTCCAGAGCCATCCCCCGTTCCCCATTAAACAAGACCACTGGATTGACTTCCTTCAGCCAACTCCAGAGATGCCCCGAGAACACTGTCCCAAGACTAGAGGAACACCAACTTCAGCACAGCAACTCGAGGAATGCTCCGTGTACCACAAATCGTCTCGATATGAGAGCTGATTCCCTGGCTTAGGCTCAAGACGTATGCCAACTTTCCAGAAGCACCTCAAGAGGAGGCTTCTCTCAGCAATATGTATGTTCGTGGGACCCCGAGTTTGCTGCCTCAAGTGGAATATACAGCGAGAAGCCCTAACTTGAAAGGAGGCCGGATTTCCTTGCAGTGGCTTGAATACAGGCTCGTCTTTCATCTCACAGCATGAAGGGATGACTGAATGCCCTGTGGAGACCTTAGAGAAAGCCCTAGGTCCCTGCCTCATTTTGACGGAATGCCTCACATCCCGTTGTCACCTCGAGAGGCACGCGGAGTTCACTGCTTCAAAAGGTGATGATGCCTGACAACTCTTGAATATTGATAGGAATCCTCAAATCCCTGTGGCTATTGGAAAGGTTCCTTGGGTGCCCTGCCTCACCTCGAGAAGCGTCCCTTGTGCCCTGCCAAGACTCGAAGAGATTCCTGAGCTGTCCCTCGTTACTGGACAGGAGTCCTGACGTCACTGAATAAACACGAGTTTTGAAGGGCCATCCAGGCCGTAACCCGAGTACATACCCCAGGTCCCCACCGCAAGTCCAGAAAAACCAGGAGACTTTCCCCTAGAGGCGAGATGAGGCCCGATTCTCCTGCAGTGCATGCAGAGCAATTCCGTGATCCCCATCAAACAAGTCAGGACCTTCGACTTGCTTAATGGATTTCGAGACAGTCCCCAAGAATACTGTCACATGTCTAGACGGATCCTCAGGTCACACCATCAAAGCAAAGCAGCACAATGTGCCCCAAATCAACTCGGGATGATGCCAGATTCCCCTGCATTGACTCCAGAGCCATCCCCCGTTCCCCATTAAACACGACCAGTGGCTTGACTTCCTTCAGGCAACTCCAGAGATGCCCCGAGAACACTTTCCCAAGTCTAGATTAACACCAACTTCAGCACAGCAATTCGAGGAATGCTCCATGTACCCCAAATCGTCTCGAGATGAGAGCTGATTCCCTGGCTTAGGCTCAAGACGTATGCCAACTTTCCAGAAGCACCTCAAGGGGAGGCTTCTCTCAGCAATAGGTATGTTGGAGGGACACCGAGTTTGCTGCCTCAAGTGGAATATACAGCGAGAAGCCCTAACTTGAAAGGAGGCCGGATATCCTTGCAGTGTCTTGAATACAGGCTCGTCTTTCATCTCACAACAGGAAGGGATGTCTGAATCCCCTGTGGAGACCTTAGAGTAAGCCCTAGGTCCCTGCCTCATTTTGACGGAATGCCTCATATCCCGTTGACACCTCGAGAGGCACACGGAGTTCACTGCTTCAAAATGTGACGATGCCTGACTCCTCCTGAACAATGATAGGAATACCAAAATCACTGTGGCTACAGGAAAGGGTTCTTGGGTGCCCTGCCTCACCTCGAGAAGCATCCCTTTTGCCCTGCCAAGCCTCGAAGAGGTTCCTGAGGTGTCTCTCGTTACTAGACAGGAGTCCTGACGTCACTGAATAAACACGTGTTTTGAAGGGCCATCCCCGCCATAACTCGAGAACATACCCCAGGACCCGCCGCAACTCGAGCAAAACGATGAGACTTCCCCTAGATGCGAGATGAGGTCTGATTCCCTGCAGTCCATGCAGAGCAGTCCCGTGATCCCCATCAAGCAAGTCAGGAGCTTCGACTTGCTTAATGGATCTCGAGCGAGTCCCCAGGAACACTGTCACAAGTCTAGACAGACCCTGAGGAAACCCCAGTAATGGAAAGCAGCTCCAAGTGCCCCACATCAACTCGAGATGAGGCCCGATTCCCCTGCATTGACTCCAGAGCTATCCCCCGTACCCCATTAAACACCACCAGTGGCTTGACTTCCTTCAGGCAACTCCAGAGATGCCCCGAGAACACTGTCCCAAGTGTAGAGGAACACCAACTTCAGCACAGCAACTCGAGGAATGCTCCGTGTACCCCAAATCGTTTCGAGGTGAGAGCTGATTCCGTGGCTTAGGCTCAAGACGTATGCCAACTTTCCAGAAGCACCTCAAGAGGAGGCTTCTATCAGCAATCGGTATGTGGGAGGGACCCCGAGTTTGCTGCCTCAAGTGGAATATACAGCGAGAAGCCCTAACTTGAAAGGAGGCCGGATTTCCTTGCAGTGTCTTGAATACAGGCTCGTCCTTCATCTCACAACAGGAAGGGATGTCTGAATCCCCTGTGGAGACCTTAGAGAAAGCCCTAGTTCCCTGCCTCATTTTGACGGAATGTCTCACATCCCGTTGACACCTCGAGAGGCACACGGAGTTCACTGCTTCAAAATGTGATGATGCCTGACTCCTCCTGAACATTGATAGGAATCCCAAAATCACTGTAGCTACAGGACAGGGTTCTTGGGTGCCCTGCCTCACCTCGAGAAGCATCCCTTTTGCCCTGCCAAGCCTCGAAGAGATTCCTGAGGTGTCTCTCGTTACTAGACAGGAGTCCTGACGTCACTGAATAAACACGTGTTTTGAAGGGCCATCCCCGCCATAACTCGAGAACATACCCAAGGTCCCGCCGCAACTCGAGAAAAACCATGAGACTTCCCCTAGATGCGAGATGAGGCCTGATTCCCTGCAGTCCATGCAAAGCATTCCCGTGATCCCCATCAAGAAAGTCAGGAGCTTCGACTTGCTTAATTGAACTCGAGAAAGTCCCCAGGAACAATGTACAAGTCTAGACAGACCCTGAGGTCACCGCAGCAATGCAAAGCAGCTCCAAGTACCCCACATCAACTCGAGATGAGGCCCGATTCCCATGCATTGATTCCAGAGCCATCCCCCGTACCCCTTAAACACCACCAGTGGCTTGACTTCCTTCAGGCAACTCCAGAGATGCCCCGAGAACACTGTCCCAAGTCTAGAGGAATACGAACTTCAGCAGAGCAACTCGAGGAATGCTCCGTGTACCCCAAAAAATTTCGAGGTGAGAGCTGATTCCACGGTTTAGGCTCAAGACGTATGCCAACTTTCCAGAAGCACCTCAAGAGGAGACTTCTCTCAGCAATAGGTATGTGGGAGGGACCCCGAGTTTGCTGCCTTAAGTGGAATATACAGCGAGAAGCCCTAACTTGAAAGGAGGCCGGATTTCCTTGCAGTGGCTTGAATACAGGCTCGTCTTTCATCTCACAGCATGAAGGGATGTCTGAAGCCCCTGTGTAGACCTTAGAGAAAGCTCTAGGTCCCTGCCTCATTTTGACGGAATGCCTCACATCCCGTTGACACTTCGAGAGGCACGCAGAGGTCACTGCTTCAAAAGGGGATGATGGCTGACTCTTCTTGAATATTGATAGGAATCCCAAAATCACTGTGGCTACTGGAAAGGGTCCTTGGGTGGCCTGCCTCACCTCGAGAAGCATACCTTTTGACCTGCCAAGCCTCGAAGAGATTCCTGAGGTGTTCCTCGTTACTAGACAGGAGTCCTGACGGCACTGAATAAACACGTGTTTTGAAGGGCCATCCCCGCCGTAACTCGAGAAGATACCCCAGGTCCCCAGCGCAACTTGAGAGAAACCATGAGACTTCCCCCTAGATGCGAGATGAGTCCTGATTCCCTGCAGTGCATGCAGAGTATTCCCGTGATCCCCATCAAACAAGTCAGGAGCTTCGACTTGCTTAATGGATCTCCAGACAGCCCCAAGAACAATGTCACAAGTCTAGACAGACCCTGAGGTCACCCCAGCAATGCAAAGAGCTCGCAGTGCCCCACATCACCTCGAGATGAGGCCCGATTACCCTGCATTGACTCCAGAGCCATCTCCAGGTCCCCATTAAACAAGACCACTGGATTGACTTCCTTCAGGCAACTCCAGAGATGCCCCGAGAACACTTTCCAAAGTCTAGATTAACACCAACTTTAGCACAGCAACTCGAGGAATGCTCCATGTACCCCAAATCGTCTCGAGATGAGAGCTGATTCCCTGGCTTTGGCTCAAGACGTATGCCAACTTTCCACAAGCACCTCAAGAGGAGGCTTCTCTCAGCAATAGGTATGTTCGTGGGACCCCGAGTTTGCTGCCTCAAGTGGAATATACAGCGAGAAGCCCTAACTTGAAAGGAGGCCGGATTTCCTTGCAGTGTCTTGAATACTGGCTCGTCTTTCATCTCACAACCGGAAGGGATGTCTGAATCCCCTGTGGAGACCTTAGAGAAAGCCCTAGGTCCCTGCCTCATTTTGACGGAATGCCTCACATCCCGTTGTCACCTCGAGAGGCACGCGGAGTTCACTGCTTCAAAAGGTGACGATGCCTGACAACTCTTGAATATTGATAGGAATCCCCAAATCCTTGTGGCTATAGAAAAGGTTCCTTGGGTGCCCTACCTCACCTCGAGAAGCGTCCCTTGTGCCCTGCCAAGACTCGAAGAGATTCCTGAGCTGTCCCTCGTTACTGGACAGGAGTCCTGACGTCACTGAATAAACACGAGTTTTGAAGGGCCATCCCGGCCGTAACCCGAGTACATACCCCAGGTCCCCACCGCAAGTCCAGAAAAACCATGAGATTTTTCCCCTAGAGGCGAGATGAGGCCCGATTCTCCTGCAGTGCATGCAGAGCAATTCCGTGATCCCCATCAAACAAGTCAGGACCTTCGACTTGCTTAATGGATTTCGAGACAGTCCCCAAGAATACTGTCACATGTCTAGACGGATCCTGAGGTCATACCATCAAAGCAAAGCAGCACAATGTGCCCCAAATCAACTCGGGATGATGCCAGATTCCCCTGCATTGACACCAGAGCCATCCCCCGTTCCCCATTAAACACGACCAGTGGCTTGACTTCCTTCAGGCAACTCCAGAGATGCCCCGAGAACACTTTCCAAAGTCTAGATTAACACCAACTTTAGCACAGCAACTCGAGGAATGCTCCATGTACCCCAAATCGTCTCGAGATGAGAGCTGATTCCCTGGCTTAGGCTCAAGACGTATGCCAACTTTCCAGAAGCACCTCAAGGGGAGGCTTCTCTCAGCAATAGGTATTTTGGAGGGACACCGAGTTTGCTGCCTCAATTGGAATATACAGCGAGAAGCCCTAACTTGAAAGGAGGCCGGATATCCTTGCAGTGTCTTGAATACAGGCTCGTCTTTCATCTCACAACCGGAAGGGATGTCTGAATCCCCTGTGCAGACCTTAGAGTAAGCCCTAGGTCCCTGCCTCATTTTGACGGAATGCCTCACATCCCGTTGACACCTTGAGAGGCACACGGAGTTCAGTGCTTCAAAATGTGACGATGCCTGACTCCTCCTGAACAATGATAGGAATCCCAAAATCACTGTGGCTACAGGAAAGGGTTCTTGGGTGCCCTGCCTCACCTCGAGAAGCATCCCTTTTGCCCTGCCAAGCCTCGAAGAGGTTCCTGAGGTGTCTCTCGTTACTAGACAGGAGTCCTGACGTCACTGAATAAACACGTGTTTTGAAGGGCCATCCCCGCCATAACTCGAGAACATACCCCAGGTCCCGCCGCAATTCGAGCAAAATGATGAGACTTCCCCTAGATGCGAGATGAGGTCTGATTCCCTGCAGTCCATGCAGAGCAGTCCCGTGATCCCCATCAAGCAAGTCAGGAGCTTCGACTTGCTTAATTGATCTCGAGAGAGTCCCCAGGAACACTGTCACAAGTCTAGACAGACCCTGAGGTCACCCCAGCAATGCAAAGCAGCTCCAAGTGCCCCACATCAACTCGAGATGAGGCCAGATTCTCCGCCATTGACTCCAGAGCCATCCCCCGTACCACATTAAACACCACCAGTGGCTTGACTTCCTTCAGGCAACTCCAGAGATGCCCCGAGAATACTGTCCCGTCTAGAGGAACACCAACTTCAGCACAGCAACTCGAGGAATGCTCCGTGTACCCCAAATCGTTTCGAGGTGAGAGGTGATTCCCTGTCTTAGGCTCAAGACGTATGCCAACTTTCCAGAAGCACCTCAAGAGGAGGCTTCTCTCAGCAATCGGTATGTGGGAGGGACCCCGAGTTTGCTGCCTCAAGTGGAATATACAGCGAGAAGCCCTAACTTGAAAGGAGGCCGGATTTCCTGGCAGTGTCTTGAATACAGGCTCGTCTTTCATCTCACAACAGGAAGGTATGTCTGAATCCCCTGTGGAGACCTTAGAGAAAGCCCTAGGTCCCTGCCTCATTTTGACGGAATGTCTCACATCCCGTTGACACTTCGAGAGGCACACGGAGTTCACCGCTTCAAAATGTAACGATGCCTGACTCCTCTTGAACATTGATAATAATCCCAATATCACTGTAGCTACAGGACAGGGTTCTTGGGTGCTCTGCCTCACCTCGAGAAGCATCCCTTTTGCCCTGCCAAGCCTCGAAGAGATTCCTGAGGTGTCTCTCATTACTAGACAGGAGTCCTGACGTCACTGAATAAACACGAGTTTTGAAGGGCCATTCCCGCCATAACTCGAGAACATACCCCAGGTCCCGCCGCAACTCGAGAAAAACCATGAGACTTCCCCTAGATCCGAGATGAGGCCTGATTCACTGCAGTCCATGCAGAGCTTTCCCCTGATCCCCATCAAGCAAGTCAGGAGCTTCGACTTGCTTAATCGAACTAGAGAAAGTCCCCAGGAACACTGTCACAAGTCTAGACAGACCCTGAGGTCACACCAGCAATGCAAAGCAGCTCCAAGTACCCCACATCAACTCGAGATGAGGCCCGATTCCCATGCATTGACTCCAGAGCCATCCCCCGTAACACATTAAACACCACCAGTGGCTTGACTTCCTTCAGGCAACTCCAGACATTCCCTGAGAACACTGTCTCAAGTCTAGAGGAATACGAACTTCAGCACAGCAACTCGAGGAATGCTCCGTGTACCCCAAATCGTTTCGAGTTGAGAGCTGATTCCATGGCTTAGGCTCAAGACGTATGCCAACTTTCCAGAAGCACCTCAAGAGGAGGCTTCTCTCAGCAATAGGTATTTGGGACTGACCCCGAGTTTGCTGCCTCAAGTGGAATATACAGCGAGAAGCCCTAACTTGAAAGGAGGACGGATTTCCTTGCAGTGGCTTGAATACAGGCTCGTCTTTCATCTCACAGCATGAAGGGATGTCTGAATCCCCTGTGGAGACCTTAGAGAAAGCTCTAGGTCCCTGCCTCATTTTGACGGAATGCCTCACATCCCGTTGACACTTCGAGAGGCACGCGGAGTTCACTGCTTCAAAAGGTGATGATGCCTCACTCGTCTTGAATATTGATAGGAATCCCAAAATCACTGTGGCTACTGGAAAGGGTCCTTGGGTGCCCTGCCTCACGTCGAGAAGCATACCTTTTGACCTGCCATGCCTCGAAGAGATTCCTGAGGTGTCCCTCGTTACTAGACAGGAGTCCTGATGGCACTGAATAAACACGTGTTTTGAAGGGCCATCCCCGCCGTAACTCGAGAAGATACCCCAGGTCCCCCGCGCAACTTGAGAGAAACCATGAGACTTCCCCTAGATGCGAGATGAGTCCTGATTCCCTGCAGTGCATGCAGAGTATTCCCATGATCCCCATCAAACAAGTCAGGAGCTTCGACTTGCTTAATGGATCTCGATGCAGTCCCCAAGAACACTGTCACAAGTCTAGACGGACCCTGAGGTCACCCCAGCAACGCAAAGCAGCTCCATGTGCCCCAAATCAACCCGAGAGGTGGCCCGATTCCCCTGCCTTGACTCCAGAGCCATCCCCAGTTCCCCATTAAACAAGAGCACTGGCTTGACTTCCTTCAGGCAACTCCAGAGATGCCCCGAGAACACTGTCCTAAGACTAGAGGAACACCAACTTCAGCACAGCAACTCGAGGAATGCTCCGTGTACCACAAATCGTCTCGAGATGAGAGCTGATTCCCTGGCTTAGGCTCAAGACGTATGCCAACTTTCCAGAAGCACCTCAAGAGGAGGCTTCTCTCAGCAATAGGTATGTTCGTGGGACCCCGAGTTTGCTGCCTCAAGTGGAATATACAGCGAGAAGCCCTAACTTGAAAGGAGGCTCGATTTCCTTGCAGTGGCTTGAATACAGGCTCGTCTTTCATCTCACAGCATGAAGGGATGTCTGAATCCCCTGTGGAGACCTTAGAGAAAGCTCTAGGTCCCTGCCTCATTTTGACGGAATGCCTCACATCCCGTTGTCACCTCGAGAGTCACGCGGAGTTCACTGCTTCAAAAGGTGACAATGCCTGACTCCTCTTGAATATTGACAGGAATCCCAAAATCCCTGTGGCTATTGGAAAGGTTCCTTGGGTGCCCTGCCTCACCTCGAGAAGCGTCCCGTGTGCCCTGCCAAGCCTCGAAGAGATTCCTGAGCTGTCCCTCGTTACTGGACAGGAGTCCTGACGTCACTGAATAAACACGAGTTTTGAAGGGCCATCCCCGCCGTAACCCGAGTACATACCCCAGGTCCCCGCCGCAAGTCGAGAAAAACCATGAGACTTTCCCCTAGAGGCGAGATGAGGCCCGATTCTCCTGTAGTGCATGCAGAGCAATTCCGTGATCACCATCAAACAAGTCAGGACCTTCGACTTGCCTAATGGATCTCGAGACAGTCCCCAAGAATACTGTCACATGTCTAGACGGATCCTGAGGTCACCCCGTCAATGCAAAGCAGCACAATGTGCCCCAAATTAACTCGGGATGATGCCAGATTCCCCTGCTTTGACTCCAGAGCCATCCCCCGTTCCCCATTAAACACGACCAGTGGCTTGACTTCCTTCAGGCAACTCCAGAGATGCCCCGAGAACACTGTCCCAAGTCTAGAGGAACACCAACTTCAGCACAGCAACTCGAGGAATGCTCCGTGTACCCCAAATCGTCTCGAGATGAGAGCTGATTCCCTGGCTTAGGCTCAAGACGTATGCCAACTTTCCAGAAGCACCTCAAGGGGAGGCTTCTCTCAGCAATAGGTATGTTAGAGGGACCCCAGTTTGCTGCCTCAAGTGGAATATACAGCGAGAAGCCCTAACTTGAAAGGAGGCCGGATTTCCTTGCAGTGGCTTGAATACAGGCTCGTCTTTCATCTCACAACCGGAAGGGATGTCTGAATCCCCTGTGGAGACCTTAGAGAAAGCCCTAGGCCCCTGCCTCATTTTGACGGAATGCCTCACATCCGGTTGACACCTCGAGAGGCACACGGAGTTCACTGCTTCAAAATGTGAGGATGCCTGTCTACTCCTGAACATTGATAGGAATCCCAAAATCACTGTGGCTACAGGAAAGGGTTCTTGGGTGTCCTGCCTCACTTCGAGAAGCATCCCTTTTGCCCTGCCAAGCCTCGAAGAGATTCCTGAGGTGTCTCTCGTTACTAGACAGGAGTCCTGACGTCACTGAATAAACACGTGTTTTGAAGGGCCATCAGCGCCATAACTCGAGAACTTACCCCAGGTCCCGCAGCAATTCGATCAAAACGATGAGACTTCCCCTAGATGCGAGATGAGGTCTGATTCCCTGCAGTCCATGCAGAGCAGTCCCGTGATCCCCATCAATCAAGTCAGGAGTTTCAACTTGCTTAATGGATCTCGAGAGAGTCCCCAGGAACACTGTCACAAGTCTAGACAGACCCTGAGGAAACCCCAGTAATGCAAAGCAGCTCCCAGTGCCCCACATCAACTCGAGATGAGGCCCGATTCCCCTGCATTGACTCCAGAGCTATCCCCCGTACCCCATTAAACACCACCAGTGGCTTGACTTCCTTCAGGCAACTCCAGAGATGCCCCGAGAACACTGTCCCAAGTGTAGAGGAACACCAACTTCAGCACAGCAACTCGAGGAATGCTCCGTGTACCCCAAATAGTTTCGAGGTGAGAGCTGATTCCGTGGCTTAGGCTCAAGACGTATGCCAACTTTCCAGAAGCACCTCCAGAGGAGGCTTCTATCAGAAATCGGTATGTGGGAGGGACCCCGAGTTTGCTGCCTCAAGTGGAATATACAGCGAGAAGCCCTAACTTGAAAGGAGGCCGGATTTCCTGGCAGTGTCTTGAATACAGGCTCGTCTTTCATCTCACAACAGGAAGGGATGTCTGAATCCCCTGTGGAGACCTTAGAGAAAGCCCTAGTTCCCTGCCTCATTTTGACGGAATGTCTCACATCCCGTTGACACCTCGAGAGGCACACGGAGTTCACTGCTTCAAAATGTGACGATGCCTGACTCCTCCTGAACATTGATAGGAATCCCAAAATCACTGTAGCTACAGGACAGGGTTCTTGGGTGCCCTGCCTCACCTCGAGAAGCATCCCTTTGGCCCTGCCAAGCCTCGAAGAGTTTCCTGAGGTGTCTCTCGTTACTAGACAGGAGTCCTGACGTCCCTGAATAAACACGTGTTTGGAAGGGCCATCCCTGCCATAACTCGAGAACATACCCCAGGTCCAGCCGCATCTCGAGAAAAACCATGAGACTTCCCCTAGATGCGAGATGAGGCCTGATTCCCTGCAGTCCATGCAGAGCATTCCCGTGATCCCCATCAAGCAAGTCAGGAGCTTCGACTTGCTTAATTGAACTCGAGAAAGTCCCCAGGAACACTGTCACAAGTCTAGACAGACCCTGAGGTCACCACAGCAATGCAAAGCAGCTCCAAGTACCCCACATCAACTCGAGATGAGGCCCGATTCCCATGCATTGGACTCCAGAGCCATCCCCCGTACCCCTTAAACAACACCAGTGGCTTGACTTCCTTCAGGAAACTCCAGAGATGCCCCAAGAACACTGTCCCAAGTCTAGAGGAATACGAACTTCAGCAGAGCAACTCGAGGAATGCTCCGTGTACCCCAAAAAATTTCGAGGTGAGAGCTGATTCCATGGTTTCGGCTCAAGACGTATGCCAACTTTCCAGAAGCACCTCAAGAGGAGACTTCTCTCAGCAATAGGTATGTGGGAGGGACCCCGAGTTTGCTGCCTCAAGTGGAATATACAGCGAGAAGCCCTAACTTGAAAGGAGGCCGGATTTCCTGGCAGTGTCTTGAATACAGGCTCGTCTTTCATCTCACAACAGGAAGGGATGTCTGAATCCCCTGTGGAGACCTTAGAGAAAGCCCTAGTTCCCTGCCTCATTTTGACGGAATGTCTCACATCCCATTGACACCTCGAGAGGCACACGGAGTTCACTGCTTCAAAATGTGACGATGCCTGACTCCTCCTGAACATTGATAGGAATCCCAAAATCACTGTAGCTACAGGACAGGGTCCTTGGGTGGCCTGCCTCACCTCGAGAAGCATCCCTTTTGCCCTGCCAAGCCTCGAAGAGATTCCTGAGGTGTCTCTCGTTACTAGACATGAGTCCTGACGTCACTGAATAAACACGTGTTTTGAAGGGCCTTCCCTGCCATAACTCGAGAACATACCCCAGGTCCAGCCGCATCTCGAGAAAAACCATGAGACTTCCCCTAGATGCGAGATGAGGCCTGATTCCCTGCAGTCCATGCAGAGCATTCCCGTGATCCCCATCAAGCAAGTCAGGAGCTTCGACTTGCTTAATTGAACTCGAGAAAGTCCCCAGGAACACTGTCACAAGTCTAGACAGACCCTGAGGTCACCGCAGCAATGCAAAGCAGCTCCAAGTACCCCACATCAACTCGAGATGAGGCCCGATTAACATGCATTGGACTCCAGAGCCATCCCCCGTACCCCTTAAAAAACACCAGTGGCTTGACTTCCTTCAGGAAACTCCAGAGATGCCCCATAACACTGTCCCAAGTCTAGAGGAATACGAACTTCAGCAGAGCAACTCGAGGAATGCTCCGTGTACCCCAAAAAATTTCGAGGTGAGAGCTGATTCCATGGTTTCGGCTCAAGACGTATGCCAACTTTCCAGAAGCACCTCAAGAGGAGACTTCTCTCAGCAATAGGTATGTGGGAGGGACCCCGAGTTTGCTGCCTCAAGTGGAATATACAGCGAGAAGCCCTAACTTGAAAGGAGGCCGGATTTCCATGCAGTGGCTTGAATACAGGCTCGTCTTTCATCTCACAGCATGAAGGGATGTCTGAAGCCCCTGTGTAGACCTTAGAGAAAGCTCTAGGTCCCTGCCTCATTTTGACGGAATGCCTCACATCCCGTTGACACTTCGAGAGGCACGCAGACGTCACTGCTTCAAAAGGGGATGATGCCTGACTCGTCTTGAATATTGATAGGAATCCCAAAATCACTGTGGCTACTGGAAAGGGTCCTTGGGTGGCCTGCCTCACCTCGAGAAGCATACCTTTTGACCTGCCAAGCCTCGAAGAGATTCCTGAGGTGTTCCTCGTTACTAGACAGGAGTCCTAACGACACTGAATAAACACGTGTTTTGAAGGGCCATCCCCGCCATAACTCGAGAAGATACCCCAGGTCCCCAGCTCAACTTGAGAGAAACCATGAGACTTCCCCCTAGATGCGAGATGAGTCCTGATTCCCTGCAGTGCATGCAGAGTATTCCCGTGATCCCCATCAAACAAGTCAGGAGCTTCGACTTGCTTAATGGATCTCCGGACAGCCCCAAGAACACTGTCACAAGTCTAGACAGACCCTGAGGTCACCCCAGCAATGCAAAGCAGCTCGCAGTGCCCCACATCAACTCGAGATGAGGCCCAATTCCCCTGCATTGACTCCAGAGCCATCCCCAGTTCCCCATTAAACAAGACCACTGGATTGACTTCCTTCAGGCAAGTCCAGAGATGCCCCGAGAACACTGTCCCAAGACTAGAGGAATACGAACTTCAGCACAGCAACTCGAGGAATGCTCCGTGTACCCCAAATCGTTTCGAGGTGAGAGGTGATTCCCTGGCTTAGGTTGAAGATGTATGCCAACTTTCCAGAAGCACCTCAAGAGGAGGCTTCTCTCAGCAATATGTATGTTCGTGGGACCCGGAGTTTGCTGCCTCAAGTGGAATATACAGCGAGAAGCCCTAACTTTAAAGGAGGCCGGATTTCCTTGCAGTGGCTTGAATACAGGCTTGTCTTTCATCTCACAGCATGAAGAGATGTCTGAATCCCCTGTGGAGACCTTAGGAAAGCCGTAGGTCCCTGCCTCATTTTGACGGAAAGCCTCACATCCCGTTGTCACCTCGAGAGGCCCGCGGAGTTCACTGCTTCAAAAGCTCACGATGCCTGACTCCTCTTGAATATTGATAGGAATTCCCAAATCCCTGTGGCTATTGGAAAGGTTCCTTGGGTGTCCTGCCTCACCTCGAGAAGCGTCCCTTGTGCCCTGCCAAGCCTCGAAGAGATTCCTGAGCTGTCCCTCGTTACTGGACAGGAGTCCTGACGTCACTGAATAAACACGAGTTTTGAAGGTCCATCCCAGCCATAACGCGAGTACAGACCCCAGGTCCCCGCCGCAAGTCGAGAAAAACCATGAGACTTTCCCCTAGAAGCGAGATGAGGCCCGAATCTCCTGCAGTGCATGCAGAACAATTCCGTGATCCCCATCAAACAAGTCAGGACCTTCGACTTGCTTAATGGATCTCAAGACAGTCCCCAAGAATACTGTCACATGTCTAGACGGATCCTGAGGTCACCCCATCAACGCAAAGCAGCACAATATGCCCCAAATCAACTCGGGATGATCCCAGATTCCCCTGCATTGACTCCAGAGCCATCCCCCGTTCCCCATTAACAAAGACCAGTGGCTTGACTTCCTTCAGGCAACTCCAGAGATGCCCCGAGAACACTCTGCCAAGTCTAGAGGAACAGCAACTTCAGCACAGCAACTCGCGGAATGCTCCGTGTACCACAAATCGTCTCGAGATGAGAGCTGATTCCCTGGCTTAGGCTCAAGACGTATGCCAACTTTCCAGAAGCACCTCAAGAGGAGGCTTCTCTCAGCAATAGGTATGTTGGAGGGACCCCCAGTTTTCTGCCTCAAGTGGAATATACAGCGAGAAGCCCTAACTTGAAAGGAGGACGGATTTCCTTGCAGTGTCTTGAATACAGGCTCGTCTTTCATCTCACAACCGGAAGGGATGTCTGAATCCCCTGTGGAGACCTTACAGAAAGCCCTAGGTCCCTGCCTCATTTTGACGGAATGCCTCACATCCCGTTGACACATCGAGAGGCACACGGAGTTCACTGCCTCAAAATGTGATGATGCCTGACTCCTCTTGAATATTGATAGGAATCAAAAAATCACTGTGGCTACTGGAAAGGGTCCTTGGGTGCCCTGCCTCACCTCGAGAAGCATCCCTTTTGCCCTGCCAAGCCTCTAAGAAAATCCTGAAGTGTCTCTCGTTACTAGACAGGAGTCCTGACGTCACTGAATAAACACCTGTTTTGAAGGGCCAACCCCGCCATAACTCGAGAACATACCTTAGCTCCCGCGGCAATTCGACCAAAACGATGAGACTTCCCCTAGATGCGAGATGAGGTCTGATTCCCTGCAGTCCATGCAGAGCAGTCCCGTGATCCCCATCAAGCAAGTCAGGAGCTTCGACTTGCTTAATGGATCTCGAGAGAGTCCCCAGGAACACTGTCACAAGTCTAGACAGACCCTGAGGTCACCCCAGCGATGCAAAGCAGCTCCAAGTGCCCCACATCAACTCGAGATGAGGCCCGATTCCCCTGCATTGACTCCAGAGCCATCCCCCGTACCCCATTAAACACCACCAGTGGCTTGACTTCCTTCAGGCAACTCCAGAGATGCCCCGAGAACACTATCCTAAGTCTAGAGGAACACCAACTTCAGCACAGCCACTCGAGGAATGCTCCGTGTACCCCAAATCGTTTCGAGGTGAGAGGTGATTCCCTGGCTTAGGCTCAAGACGTATGCCAACTTTCCAGAAGCACCTCAAGAGGAGGCTTCGCTCAGCAATCGGTATGTGGGAGGGACCCCGAGTTTGCTGCCTCAAGTGGAATATACAGCGAGAAGCCCTAACTTGAAAGGAGGCCGGATTTCCTTGCAGTGTCTTGAAGACAGGCTCGTATTTCATCTCACAACAGGAAGGGATGTCTGAATCCCCTGTGGAGACTTTAGAGAAAGCCCTAGGTCCCTGCCTCATTTTGACGGAATGTCTCACATCCCGTTGACACCTCGAGAGGCACCCGGAATTCACTGCTTTAAAAGGTGACGATGCCTGACTCCTCTTGAATATTGACAGGGATCCCAAAATCCTTGTGGCTATTGGAAAGGTTCCTTCGGTGCCCTGCCTCACCTCGAGAACCGTCCCTTGTGCCCTGCCAAGCCTCGAAGAGATTCCTGAGCTGTCCCTCGTTACTGGACAAGAGTCCTGACGTCACTGAATAAACACGAGTTTTGAAGGGCCATCCCCGTCCTAACCCGAGTACAAACCCCAGGCCCCCGCCGCAAGTCGAGAAAACCATGAAACTTTCCCCTAGAGGCGAGATGAGGCCCGATTCTCCTGCAGTGCATGCAGAGAAATTCCGTGAACCCGATCAAACAAGTCAGGACCTTCGACTTGCCTAATGGATCTCGAGACAGTCCCCAAGAATACTGTCACATGTCTAGACGGATCCTGAGGTCACCCCATCGAAGCAAAGCAGAACAATGTGCCCAAAATCAACTTGGGATGATGCCAGATTCCCCTGCATTGACTCCAGAGCCATCCCCCGTTCCCCATTAAACACGACCAGTGGCTTGACTTCCTTCAGGCAACTCCAGAGATGCCCCGAAAACACTGTCCCAAGTCTAGAGGAACAGCAACTTCAGCACAGCAACTCGAGGAATGGTCCGTGTACCACAAATCATCTCGAGATGAGAGCTGATTCCCTGGCTTAGGCTCAAAACGTATGCCAACTTTCCAGAAGCACCTCAAGGGGAGGCTTCTCTCAGCAATAGGTGTGTTGGAGGGACCCCCAGTTTGCTGCCTCAAGTGGAATATGCAGCGAGAAGCCCTAACTTGAAAGGAGGCCAGATTTCCTTGCAGTGCCTTGAATACAGGCTCGTCTTTCATCTCACAACCGGAAGGGTTTTCTGAATCCCCTGTGGAGACCTTAGCGAAAGCCCTAGGTCCCTGCCTCATTTTGACGGAATGCCTCACATCCCGTTGACACCTCGAGAGGCACACGGAGTTCACTGCTTCCAAATGTGACGATGCCTGACTCCTCCTGAACATTGATAGGAATCCCAAAATCACTGTGCCTACAGGAAAGGGTTCTTGGGTGCCCTGCCTCACCTCGAGAAGCATCCCTTTTGCCCTGCCAAGCCTCGAAGAGATTCCTGAGGTGTCTCTCGTTACTAGACAGGAGTCCTGACGTCACTGAATAAACACGTGTTTTGAAGGGCCATCCCCGCCATAACTCGAGAACATACCCCAGGTCCCGCCGCAACTCGAGAAAAACCATGAGACTTCCCCTAGATGCCAGATGAGGTCTGGTTCCCTGCAGTCCATGCAGAGCAGTCTCGTGATCCCCATCAAGCAAGTCAGGAGCTTCGACTTTCTTAATCGAACTCGAGAAAGTCCCCAGGAACACTGTCACAAGTCTAGACAGACCCTGAGGTCACCCCAGTAATGGAAAGCAGCTCCAAGTACCCCACATCAACTCGAGATGAGGCCCGATTCCCCTGCATTGACTCCAGAGCCATTCCCGTACCACATTAAACACCACCAGTGGCTTGACTTCCTTCAGGCAACTCCAGAGATGCCCTGAGAACACTTTCCCAAGTCTAGAGGAATACGAACTTAAGCACAGCAACTCCAGGAATGCTCCGTGTACCCCATATCGTTTCGAGGTTAGAGCTGATTCCATGGCTTCGGCTCAAGACGTATGCCAACTTTCCAGAGGCACCTCAAGAGGAGGCTTCTCTCAGCAATAGGTATTTGGGAGGGACGCCGAGTTTGCTGCCTCAAGTGGAATATACAGCGAGAAGCCCTAACTTGAAAGGAGGCCGGATTTCCTTGCAGTGGCTTGAATACAGGCTTGTCTTTCATCTCACAGCATGAAGGGATGTCTGAATCCCCTGTGGAGACCTTAGAGAAAGCTCTAGGTCCCTGCCTCATTTTGACGGAATGCCTCACATCCCGTTGACACTTCGAGAGGCACGCCGAGTTCACTGCTTCAAAAGGTGACGATGCCTGACTCCTCTTGAATATTGATAGGAATCCCAAAATCACTGTGGCAACTGGTAAGGGTCCTTCAGTGGCCTGCCTCACGTCGAGAAGCATACCTTTTGATCTGCCAAGCCTCGAAGAGATTCCTGAGGTGTCCCTCGTTACTAGACAGGAGTCCTGACGGCACTGAATAAACACGTGTTTTGAAGGGCCATTCCCGCCGTAACTCAAGAAGATACCCCAGGTCCCCAGCGCAACTTGAGAGAAACCATGAGACTTCCCTCAAGATGCGAGATGAGTCCTGATTCCCTGCAGTGCATGCAGAGTATTCCCGTGATCCCCATCAAACAAGTCAGGAGCTTCGACTTGCTTAATGGATCTCGAGACAGTCCCCAAGAACACTGTCACAAGTATAGACCTTCCCTGAGGTCACCCCAGTAAAGCAAAGCAGCTCCATGTGCCCCAAATCAACCCGAGATGTGGCCCGATTCCCCTGCATTGACTACAGAGCCATCCCCAGTTCTCCATTAAACAAGACCACTGGCTTGAATTCCGTCAGGCAACTGCATAGATGCCCCGAGAACACTGTCCCAAGACTAGAGGAACACCAACTTCAGCACAGCAACTCGAGGAATGGTCCGTGTACCACAAATCGTCTCGAGATGAGAGCTGAATCCCTGGCTTAGGCTCAAGACGTATGCCAACTTTCCAGAAGCACCTCAAGAGGAGGCTTCTCTCAGCAATAGGTATGTTGGAGGGACCCCAGGTGTGCTGCCTCAAGTGGAATATACAGCGAGAAGCCCTAACTTGAAAGGAGGCCGGATTTCCTTGCAGTGGCTTGAATACAGGCTCGTCTTTCATCTCACAGCATGAAGGGATGTCTGAATCCCCTGTGGAGACGTTAGAGAAAGCTCTAGGTCCCTGCCTCATTTTGACGGAATGCCTCACATCCCGTTGTCACCTCGAGAGGCACGCGGAGTTCACTGCTTCAAAAGATGACGATGCCTGACTCCTCTTGAATATTGATAGGAATCCCAAAATCCCTGTGGCTATTGGAAAGGTTCCTTGGGTTCCCTGCCTCACCTCGAGAAGCATCCCTTGTGCACTGCCAAGCCTCGAAGAGATTCCTGAGCTGTCCCTCGTTACTGGACAGGTGTCCTGACGTCACTGAATAAACACGAGTTTTTAAGGGCCATCCCCGCCGTAACCCGAGTACATACCCCAGGTCCCCGCCACAAGTCGAGATAAAGCATGAGACTTTCCCCTATAGGCGAGATGAAGCCCGATTCTCCTGCAGTGCATGCAGAGCAATTCCGTGATCCCCATCAAACAAGTCAGGACTTTCGACTTGCTTAATGCATCTCGAGACAGTCCCCAAGAATACTGTCACATGTCTAGACGGATACTGAGGTCACCCCATCAACGCAAAGCAGCACAATGTGCCCCAAATAAACTCGGGATGATGCCAGATCCCCCTGCATTGACTCCAGAGCCATCACCCTTTCCCCATTAAACACGACCAGTGGCTCGACTTCCTTCAGGCAACTCCAGAGATGCCCCGAGAACACTGTCCCAAGTCTAGAGGAACACCATCTTCAGCACAGCAAATCGAGGAATGCTCCGTGTACCCCAAATCGTCTCGAGATGAGAGCTGATTCCCTGGCTTAGGTTCAAGACATATGCCAACTTTCCAGAAGCACCTCAAGCGGAGGATTCTCTCAGCAATAGGTATGTTGGAGGGACCCCCACTTTGCTGTCTCAAGTGGAATATACAGCGAGAAGCCCTAACTAGAAAGGAGGCCGGATTTCCTTGCAGTGTCTTGAATACAGGCTCGTCTTTCATCTCACAACCGGAAGGGATGTCTGAATCCCCTGTGGAGAACTTAGAGAAAGCCCTAGGTCCCTGCCTCATTTTGACGGATTGCCTCACATCCCGTTGACACCTCGAGAGGCACCCGGAGTTCACTGCTTCAAATGTGACGATGCCTGACTCCTCCTGAACATTGATAGGAATCCCAAAATCACTGTGGCTACAGGAAAGGGTTCTTGTGTGCCCTGCCTCACCTCGAGAAGCATCCCTTTTGCCCTGCCAAGGCTCGAAAAGATTCCTGAGGTGTACCTCATTACTAGACAGGAGTCATGACGTCACTGATTAAACACGTGTTTTCAAGGGCCAAGCCCGCCATAACTCGAGAATATACCCCACGTACCGCCGCGACTCGAGAAAAACAATGAGACTTCCCCTAGATGCGATATGAGGCCTGATTCCCTGCAGTCCATGCAGAGCATTCCCGTGATCCCAATCAAGCAAGTCAGCAGCTTCGAATTGCTTAATGGATCTCGAGAGAGTCCCCAAGAACACTGTCACAAGTCTAGACAGACCCTGACATCACCCCAGCAAAGCAAAGCAGGTCCAAGTACCCCACATCAACTCGAGTTGAGGCCCGATTCCCATGCATTGACTCCAGAGCCATCCCCCGTACCCCATTAAACACCACCAGTGGCTTGACTTCCTTCAGGCAACTCCAGGGATGCCCCGAGAACACTGTCCCAACTCTAGAGGAATACGAACTTCAGCACAGCAACTCGAGGAATGCTCCGTGTACCCCAAATCGTTTCGAGGTGAGAGCTGATTCCATGGCTTAGGCTCAAGACGTATGCCAACTTTCCAGAAGCCCCTCAAGAGGAGGCTTCTCTCAGCAATAGGTATGTGGGAGGGACCCCGAATTTGCTGCCTCAAGTGGAATATACAGCAAGAAGCCCTAACTTGAAAGGAGGCCGGATTTCCTTGCAGTGGCTTGAATACAGGCTCGTCTTTCATCTCACAGCATGAAGGGATGTCTGAATCCCCTGTGGAGACCTTAGAGAAAGCTCTAGGTCCCTGCCTCATTTTGACGGAATGCCTCACATCCCGTTGACACTTCGAGAGGCACGCGGAATTCACTGCTTCAAAAGGTGATGATGCCTGACTCGTCTTGAATATTGACAGGAATCCCAAAATCCCTGTGGCTATTTGAAAGGTTCCTTGGGTGTCCTGCCTCACCTCGAGAAGCGTCCCTTGTGCCTGCCAAGCCTCGAAGAGTTTCCTGAGCTGTCCCTCGTTACTGGACAGGAGTCCTGACGTCACTGAATAAACAGGAGTTTTTAAGGGCCATCCCCGCTGTAACTCGAGTACATACCCCAGGTCCCCGCCGCAAGTCGAGAAAAACCATGAGACTTTCCCCTAGTGGCGAGATGAGGCCCGATTCTCCTGCAGTCCATGCAGAGCATTCCCGTGATACCAATCAAGCAAGTCAGCAGCTTCGAATTGCTTAATGGATCTCGAGAGAGTCCCCAGGAACACTGTCACAAGTCTAGACAGACCCTGACATCACCCCAGCAAAGCAAAGCAGGTCCAAGTACCCCACATCACATCGAGTTGAGGCCCGATTCCCATGCATTGACTCCAGAGCCATCCCCCGTACCCCATTAAACACCAACAGTGGCTTGACTTCCTTCAGGCAACTACAGAGATGCCCCGAGAACACTGTCCCAAGTCTAGAGGAATACGAACTTCAGCACAGCAACTCGAGGAATGCTCCGTGTACCCCCAATCGTTTCGAGGTGAGAGCTGATTCCATGGCTTAGGATCAAGACGTATGCCAACTTTCCAGAAGCAACTCAAGCGGAGGATTCTCTCAGCAATAGTTATGTTGGAGGGACCCCCACTTTGCTGCCTCAAGTGGAATATACAGCGAGAAGCCCTAACTTGAATGGAGGCCGGATTTCCTTGCAGTGTCTTGAATACAGGCTCGTCTTTCATCTCACAACCGGAAGGGATGCCTGAATCCCCTGTGGAGAACTTAGAGAAAGCCCTAGTTCCCTGCCTCATTTTGACGGATTGCCTCACATCCCGTTGACAACTCGAGAGGCACGCGGAGTTCACTGCTTCAAAAGGTGATGATGCCTGACTCGTCTTGAATATTGATAGGAATCCCAAAATCCCTGTGGCTATTTGAAAGGATCCTTGGGTGTCCTGCCTCACCTCGAGAAGCGTCCCTTGTGCCTGCCAAGCCTCGAAGAGATTCCTGAGCTGTCCCTCGTTACTGGACAGGAGTCCTGACGTCACTGAATAAACAGGAGTTTTTAAGGGCCATCCCCGCTGTAACCCGAGTACATACCCCAGGTCCCCGCCGCAAGTCGAGAAAAACCATGAGACTTTCCCCTAGTGGCGAGATGAGGCCCGATTCTCATGCAGTGCATGCAGAGCAATTCCGTGATCCCCATCAAACAAGTCAGGACCTTCGACTTGCTTAATGGATCTCGAGACAGCCCCAAGAATACTGTCACATGTCTAGACGGATCCTGAGGTCACCCCATCAACGCAAAGCAGCACCATGTGCCCCACATCAACTCGAGATAATGCCCGATTCCCCTGCGTTGACTCCAGAGCCATCCCCCGTTCCCCATTAAACACCACCAGTGGCTTGACTTCCTTCAGACAACTCCAGAGATGCCCTGAGAACACTGTCCCAAGTCTAGAGGAACACCATCTTCAGCACAGCAACTCGAGGAATGCTCCGTGTACCCCAAATCGTCTCGAGATGAGAGCTGATTCCCTGGCTTAGGCTCAAGACGTATGCCAACTTTCCGGAAGCACCTCAAGAGGAGGCTTCTCTCAGCAATAGGTATGTTGGAGGGACCCCCAGTTTGCTGCCTCAAGTGGAATATGCAGCGAGAAGCCCTAACTTGAAAGGAGGCCGGGTTTCCTTGCAGTGTCTTGAATACAGGCTCGTCTTTCATCTCACAACGGGAAGGAATGTCTGAATCCCCTGTGGAGACGTTAGCGAAAGCCCTAGGTCCCTGCCTCATTTTGACGGATTGCCTCACATCCCGTTGACACCTCGAGAGGCACACGGAGTTCACTGCTTCAAATGTGATGATGCCTGACTCCTCCTGAACATTGATAGGAATCCCAAAATCACTGTGGCTACAGGAAAGGGTTCTTGTGTGCCCTGCCTCACCTCGAGAAGCATCCCTTTTGCCCTGCCAAGGCTCGAAAAGATTCCTGAGGTGTCCCTCATTACTAGACAGGAGTCATGATGTCACTGAATAAACATGTGTTTTCAAGGGCCAAGCCCGCCATAACTCGAGAACATACCCCACGTACCGCCGCGATTCGAGAAAAACCATGAGACTTCCCCTAGATGCGATATGAGGCCTGATTCCCTGCAGTCCATGCAGAGCATTCCCGTGATCCCAATCAAGCAAGTCAGCAGCTTCGAATTGCTTAATGGATCTCGAGAGAGTCCCCAGGAACACTGTCACAAGTCTAGACAGACCCTGACATCACCCCAGCAAAGCAAAGCAGGTCCAAGTACCCCACATCACATCGAGTTGAGGCCCGATTCCCATGCATTGACTCCAGAGCCATCCCCCGTACCCCATTAAACACCACCAGTGGCTTGACTTCCTTCAGGCAACTCCAGAGATGCCCCGAGAACACTGTCCCAAGTCTAGAGGAATACGAACTTCAGCACAGCAACTCGAGGAATACTCCGTGTACCCCAAATCGTTTCGAGGTGAGAGCTGATTCCATGGCTTAGGCTCAAGACATATGCCAACTTTCCAGAAGCACCTCAAGCGGAGGATTCTCTCAGCAATAGGTATGTTGGAGGGACCCCCACTTTGCTGCCTCAAGTGGAATATACAGCGAGAAGCCCTAACTTGAAAGGAGGCCGGATTTCCTTGTAGTGGCTTGAATACAGGCTCGTCTTTCATCTCACAGCATGAAGGGATGTCTGAATTCCCTGTGGAGACCTTAGAGAAAGCTCTAGGTCCCTGCCTCATTTTGACGGAATGCCTCACATCCCGTTCACACTTCGAGAGGCACGCGGAATTCACTGCTTCAAAAGTTGATGATGCCTGACTCGTCTTGAATATTGATAGGAATCCCAAAATCCCTGTGGCTATTTGAAAGGTTCCTTGGGTGTCCTGCCTCACCTCGAGAAGCGTCCCTTGTGCCTGCCAAGCCTCGAAGAGTTTCCTGAGCTGTCCCTCGTTACTGGACAGGAGTCCTGACGTCACTGAATAAACAGGAGTTTTTAAGGGCCATCCCCGCTGTAACCCGAGTACATACCCCAGGTCCCCGCCGCAAGTCGTGAAAAACCATGAGACTTTCCCCTAGTGGCGAGATGAGGCCCGATTCTCCTGCAGTCCATGCAGAGCATACCCGTGATCCCAATCAAGCAAGTCAGCAGCTTCGAATTGCTTAATGGATCTCGAGAGAGTCCCCAGGAACACTGTCACAAGTCTAGACAGACCCTGACATCACCCCAGCAAAGCAAAGCAGGTCCAGGTACCCCACATCACCTCGAGTTGAGGCCCGATTCCCATGCATTGACTCCAGAGCCATCCCCCCTACCCCATTAAACACCACCATTGGCTTGACTTCCTTCAGGCAACTACAGAGATGCCCCGAGAACACTGTCCCAAGTCTAGAGGAATACGAACTTCAGCACAGCAACTCGAGTAATGCTCCGTGTACCCCAAATCGTTTGGAGGTGAGAGCTGATTCCATGGCTTAGGCTCAAGACGTATGCCAACTTTCCAGAAGCAACTCAAGCGGAGGATTCTCTCAGCAATAGTTATGTTGGAGGGACCCCCACTTTGCTGCCTCAAGTGGAATATACAGCGAGAAGCCCTAACTTGAATGGTGGCCGGATTTCCTTGCAGTGTCTTGAATACAGGCTCGTCTTTCATCTCACAACCGGAAGGGATGTCTGAATCCCCTGTGGAGAACTTAGAGAAAGCCCTAGGTCCCTGCCTCATTTTGACGGATTGCCTCACATCCCGTTGACACCTCGAGAGGCACGCGGAGTTCACTGCTTCAAAAGGTGATGATGCCTGACTCGTCTTGAATATTGATAGGAATCCCAAAATCCCTGTGGCTATTTGAAAGGTTCCTTGGGTGTCCTGCCTCACCACGAGAAGCGTCCCTTGTGCCTGCCAAGCCTCGAAGAGATTCCTGAGCTGTCCCTCGTTACTGGACAGGAGTCCTGACGTCACTGAATAAACAGGAGTTTTTAAGGGCCATCCCCGCTGTAACCCGAGTACATACCCCAGGTCCCCGCCGCAAGTCGAGAAAAACCATGAGACTTTCCCCTAGTGGCGAGATGAGGCCCGATTCTCATGCAGTGCATGCAGAGCAATTCCGTGATCCCCATCAAACAAGTCAGGACCTTCGACTTGCTTAATGGATCTCGAGACAGTCCCCAAGAATACTGTCACTTGTCTAGACGGATGCTGAGGTCACCCCATCAACGCAAAGCAGCACCATGTGCCCCACATCAACTAGAGATAATGCCCGATTCCCCTGCGTTGACTCCAGAGCCATCCCCCGTTCCCCATTAAACACCACCAGTGGCTTGACTTCCTTCAGACAACTCCAGAGATGCCCTGAGAACACTGTCCCAAGTCTAGAGGAACACCATCTTCAGCACAGCAACTCGAGGAATGCTCCGTGTACCCCAAATCGTCTCGAGATGAGAGCTGATTCCCTGGCTTAGGGTCAAGACGTATGCCAACTTTCCAGAAGCACCTCAAGGGGAGGCTTCTCTCAGCAATAGGTATGTTGGAGGGACCCCCAGTTTGCTGCCTCAAGTGGAATATGCAGCGAGAAGCCCTAACTTGAAAGGAGGCCGGGTTTCCTTGCAGTGTCTTGAATACAGGCTCGTCTTTCATCTCACAACGGGAAGGAATGTCTGAATCCGCTGTGGAGACGTTAGCGAAAGCCCTAGGTCCCTGCCTCATTTTGACGGATTGCCTCACATCCCGTTGACAACTCGAGAGGCACACGGAGTTCACTGCTTCAAATGTGATGATGCCTGACTCCTCCTGAACATTGATAGGAATCCCAAAATCACTGTGGCTACAGGAAAGGGTTCTTGTGTGCCCTGCCTCACCTCGAGAAGCATCCCTTTTGCCCTGCCAAGGCGCAAAAAGATTCCTGAGGTGTCCCTCATTACTAGACAGGAGTCATGACGTCACTGAATAAACACGTGTTTTCAAGGGCCAAGCCCGCCATAACTCGAGAACATACCCCACGTACCGCCGCGACTCGAGAAAAACCATGAGACTTCCCCTAGATGCGATATGAGGCCTGATTCCCTGCAGTCCATGCAGAGCATTCCCGTGATCCCAATCAAGCAAGTCAGCAGCTTCGAATTGCTTAATGGATCTCGAGAGAGTCCCCAGGAACACTGGCACAAGTCTAGACAGACCCTGACATCACCCCAGCAAAGCAAAGCAGGTCCAAGTACCCCACATCACATCGAGTTGAGGCCCGATTCCCATGCATTGACTCCAGAGCCATCCCCCGTACCCCATTAAACACCACCAGTGGCTTGACTTCCTTCAGGCAACTCCAGAGATGCCCCGAGAACACTGTCCCAAGTCTAGAGGAATACGAACTTCAGCACAGCAACTCGAGGAATACTCCATATACCCCAAATCGTTTCGAGGTGAGAGCTGATTCCATGGCTTAGGCTCAAGACATATGCCAACTTTCCAGAAGCACCTCAAGCGGAGGATTCTCTCAGCAATAGGTATGTTGGAGGGACCCCCACTTTGCTGCCTCAAGTGGAATATACAGCGAGAAGCCCTAACTTGAAAGGAGGCCGGATTTCCTTGCAGTGGCTTGAATACAGGCTCGTCTTTCATCTCACAGCATGAAGGGATGTCTCAATCCCCTGTGGAGACCTTAGAGAAAGCTCTAGGTCCCTGCCTCATTTTGACGGAATGCCTCACATCCCGTTCACACTTCGAGAGGCACGCGGAATTCACTGCTTCAAAAGTTGATGATGCCTGACTCGTCTTGAATATTGATAGGAATCCCAAAATCCCTGTGGCTATTTGAAAGGTTCCTTGGGTGTCCTGCCTCACCTCGAGAAGCGTCCCTTGTGCCTGCCAAGCCTCGAAGAGTTTCCTGAGCTGTCCCTCGTTACTGGACAGGAGTCCTGACGTCACTGAATAAACAGGAGTTTTTAAGGGCCATCCCCGCTGTAACCCGAGTACATACCCCAGGTCCCCGCCGCAAGTCGAGAAAAACCATGAGACATTCCCCTAGTGGCGAGATGAGGCCCGATTCTCCTGCAGTCCATGCAGAGCATTCCCGTGATCCCAATCAAGCAAGTCAGCAGCTTCGAATTGCTTAATGGATCTCGAGAGAGTCCCCAGGAACACTGTCACAAGTCTAGACAGACCATGACATCACCCCAGCAAAGCAAAGCAGGTCCAAGTACCCCACATCACCTCGAGTTGAGGCCCGATTCCCATGCATTGACTCCAGAGCCATCCCCCGTACCCCATTAAACACCACCAGTGGCTTGACTTCCTTCAGGCAACTACAGAGATGCCCCGAGAACACTGTCCCAAGTCTAGAGGAATACGAACTTCAGCACAGCAACTCGAGGAATACTCCATATACCCCAAATCGTTTCGAGGTGAGAGCTGATTCCATGGCTTAGGCTCAAGACATATGCCAACTTTCCAGAAGCACCTCAAGCGGAGGATTCTCTCAGCAATAGGTATGTTGGAGGGACCCCCACTTTGCTGCCTCAAGTGGAATATACAGCGAGAAGCCCTAACTTGAAAGGAGGCCGGATTTCCTTGCAGTGGCTTGAATACAGGCTCGTCTTTCATCTCACAGCATGAAGGGATGTCTCAATCCCCTGTGGAGACCTTAGAGAAAGCTCTAGGTCCCTGCCTCATTTTGACGGAATGCCTCACATCCCGTTCACACTTCGAGAGGCACGCGGAATTCACTGCTTCAAAAGTTGATGATGCCTGACTCGTCTTGAATATTGATAGGAATCCCAAAATCCCTGTGGCTATTTGAAAGGTTCCTTGGGTGTCCTGCCTCACCTCGAGAAGCGTCCCTTGTGCCTGCCAAGCCTCGAAGAGTTTCCTGAGCTGTCCCTCGTTACTGGACAGGAGTCCTGACGTCACTGAATAAACAGGAGTTTTTAAGGGCCATCCCCACTGTAACCCGAGTACATACCCCAGGTCCCCGCCGCAGGTCGAGAAAAACCATGAGACATTCCCCTAGTGGCGAGATGAGGCCCGATTCTCCTGCAGTCCATGCAGAGCATTCCCGTGATCCCAATCAAGCAAGTCAGCAGCTTCGAATTGCTTAATGGATCTCGAGAGAGTCCCCAGGAACACTGTCACAAGTCTAGACAGACCATGACATCACCCCAGCAAAGCAAAGCAGGTCCAAGTACCCCACATCACCTCGAGTTGAGGCCCGATTCCCATGCATTGACTCCAGAGCCATCCCCCGTACCCCATTAAACACCACCAGTGGCTTGACTTCCTTCAGGCAACTACAGAGATGCCCCGAGAACACTGTCCCAAGTCTAGAGGAATACGAACTTCAGCACAGCAACTCGAGGAATGCTCCGTGTACCCCAAATCGTTTCGAGGTGAGAGCTGATTCCATGGCTTAGGCTCAAGACGTATGCCAACTTTCCAGAAGCCCCTCAAGCGGAGGATTCTCTCAGAAATAGGTATGTTGGAGGGACCCCCACTTTGCTGCCTCAAGTGGAATATACAGCGAGAAGCCCTAACTTGAAAGGAGGCCGGATTTCCTTGCAGTGTCTTGAATACAGGATCGTCTTTCATCTCACAACCGGAAGGGATGTCTGAATCCCCTGTGTAGAACTTAGAGAAAGCCCTAGGTCCCTGCCTCATTTTGACGGATTGCCTCACATCCCGTTGACACCTCGAGAGGCACGCGGAGTTCACTGCTTCAAAAGGTGATGATGCCTGACTCGTCTTGAATATTGATAGGAATCCCAAAATCCCTGTGGCTATTTGAAAGGTTCCTTGGGTGTCCTGCCTCACCTCGAGAAGCGTCCCTTGTGCCTGCCAAGCCTCGAAGAGATTCCTGAGCTGTCCCTCGTTACTGGACAGGAGTCCTGACGTCACTGAATAAACAGGAGTTTTTAAGGGCCATCCCCGCTGTAACCCGAGTACATACCCCAGGTCCCCGCCGCAAGTCGAGAAAAACCATGAGACTTTCCCCTAGTGGCGAGATGAGGCCCGATTCTCCTGCAGTGCATGCAGAGCAATTCCGTGATCCCCATCAAACAAGTCAGGACCTTCGACTTGCTTAATGGATCTCGAGACAGTCCCCAAGAATACTGTCACATGTCTAGACGGATCCTGAGGTCACCCCATCAACGCAAAGCAGCACCATGTGCCCCACATCAACTCGAGATAATGCCCGATTCCCCTGCATTGACTCCAGAGCCATCCCCCGTTCCACATTAAACACCACCAGTGGCTTGACTTCCTTCAGACAACTCCAGAGATGCCCTGAGAACACTGTCCCAAGTCTAGAGGAACACCATCTTCAGCACAGCAACTCGAGGAATGCTCCGTGTACCCCAAATCGTCTCGAGATGAGAGCTGCTTCCCTGGCTTAGGCTCAAGACGTATGCCAACTTTCCAGAAGCACCTCAAGGGGAGGCTTCTCTCAGCAATAGGAATGTTGGAGGGACCCCCAGTTTGCTGCCTCAAGTGGAATATGCAGCGAGAAGCCCTAACTTGAAAGGAGGCCGGGTTTCCTTGCAGTGTCTTGAATACAGGCTCGTCTTTCATCTCACAACGGGAAGGAATGTCTGAATCCCCTGTGGAGTCCTTAGCGAAAGCCCTAGGTCCCTGCCTCATTTTGACGGATTGCCTCACATCCCGTTGACACCTCCGGAGGCACACGGAGTTCACTGCTTCAAATGTGACGATGCCTGACTCCTCCTGAACATTCATAGGAATCCCAAAATCACTGTGGCTACAGAAAAGGGTTCTTGTGTGCCCTGCCTCACCTCGAGAAGCATCCCTTTTGCCCTGCCAAGGCTCGAAAAGATTCCTGAGGTGTCCCTCATTACTAGACAGAAGTCATGACGTCACTGAATAAACACGTGTTTTCAAGGGCCAAGCCCGCCATAACTCGAGAACATACCCCACGTACCGCCGAAACTCGAGAAAAACCTTGAGACTTCCCCTAGATGCGATATGAGGCCTGATTCCCTGCAGTCCATGCAGAGCATTCCCGTGATCCCAATCAAGCAAGTCAGCAGCTTCGAATTGCTTAATGGATCTCGAGAGAGTCCCCAGGAACACTGTCACAAGTCTAGACAGACCCTGACATCACCCCAGCAAAGCAAAGCAGGTCCAAGTACCCCACATCACCTCGAGTTGAGGCCCGATTCCCATGCATTGACTCCAGAGCCATCCCCCGTACCCCATTAAACACCACCAGTGGCTTGACTTCCTTCAGGCAACTACAGAGATGCCCCGAGAACACTGTCCCAAGTCTAGAGGAATACGAACTTCAGCACAGCAACTCGAGGAATGCTCCGTGTACCCCAAATCGTTTCGAGGTGAGAGCTGATTCCATGGCTTAGGCTCAAGACGTATGCCAACTTTCCAGAAGCCCCTCAAGCGGAGGATTCTCTCAGAAATAGGTATGTTGGAGGGACCCCCACTTTGCTGCCTCAAGTGGAATATACAGCGAGAAGCCCTAACTTGAAAGGAGGCCGGATTTCCTTGCAGTGTCTTGAATACA